TGAGCGGACCGCTGGGAGGCATGGGAGATCGTCCACGCCATCAACAAAACTGCATCTGGCAAGTCCCCAGGGCCCGACGGGCTGGGCACTGCGTTCTACAAAAAGTTCAAGCACGAGCTGGCCCCAATCCTCGCCGCCATCGCCAACCGCTCGCTCGAAAATGGTCGCCTTCCGGAATACATGCAGGACGGCTTCGTCAAGCTGCTGTACAAGAAAGGCCCGCGCTCTGACCTTGGCAACTACCGACCAATCTCGCTGCTGAACTGCGACTTCAAACTCCTGACCAAAGCAGTGATCGCTCGGCTGCAGCTGGTGGTCAACGACATCATACCACTCAACCAAAACGGTTTTGTCACCTCTCGGACCATCGATGGCTGCGTCCATCTCACCCGAGATGTGATTGATCTGTGCAACACCATCAAAACCCCTGGAGTGATTGCCATGACAGACGCGTCCAAGGCGTTCGACAAGGTCTCACACGACTTCCTGTATGCTGCACTCAGAGCGTACGGAGTCGGGCCAGGCTACATCAACATGATCAAACTCTACAACACCAATGGCCGCTCCTCGATGGTGTACCAAGGCCGAGTCTCGGATCACTTTCCAATCCAACGGTCGGTGCGACAGGGAGGCTGCGACTCGCCGACGCTCTTCGCGCTCTACGCCTGCGCCATCGTAGACTACATTACGTACGGCGCAAAGCTCAAGTTGTTGCGGATCCCCAGCAGCAATCTCAAAGCCGATCGCAAGCGTGGCCGAGCGAATGAGGACCGGCCAGACGACCTTGTCATCCTCCCCACCCTCTTCGCAGATGACTCGTCCTACTTTCTCGCCTCACCAGCAGACGTCCCAAACCTGCTGAACGAGCTCAAGTTTGTGGGGACTGCCACAAATCTGGAAATCAATGCACCAAAGACCACCATCATCCCGCTCGGACCAACTGCAACGCGCAAGCCTCCCCCCGACCTGGAAGGCCTCGAGTGGGTTGGACCAAACTCTACGACGCGCTACCTCGGTGTCATGCTCGGCCACGGTGATCTGACCGTCGCAAACTTTGGCGACCTACTTGACAAGCTGCACGGCCAGCTGTCGAGATGGCTCGTCCACGGACCGTCACTCCCAGGTCGTGTGCTCATCGCCAACACCATTGCGCTGTCCAAAGTCTGGTACCGAGCGAGGTTTGTGCCCCTCTCGTCCGAGCAGACAGCAAAACTCACCCGCATCATCGACAAGTTCCTCTGGCACCCAAGCAAATGGCCGCGAACTCACCAGGCCAACGTCGCAGCACCAATCAAATCCGTGGCATGCGGACTCGGACTCATCCCTGTTCGGCGTCACCTCAAAGCCCTCCTCGCCCAAGCCGCCCTGGCATGGTGTCAGCCGTATGCTGCCCCATGGAAGCACATCGCGGCCCACCTCTGGCGTGCGGCAGACAAGCCAGCATGCCCACTCAACGTGCTCAGGCTGGTGATCAAGGCCTCGTCAGACTTTATTGGCATCTCTGCATTCTGGCACAAAGCCTTTGAGGCATGGCACGAGCTCAGGCCAGAGCTCCAAACCCCTGCCTGCCGCGACGAGGCGCTCGCTCACCCGCTCTGGGACTCACCGGACATCCAGGACGACGGCAAGCCGCTCTGGTGGCCGAGCTGGATCCTCAACGGATACATGCGCGTCCGCGACCTGCGCCGCTTCATCGGTAACCCAGCTAGAGAAGAGTGGTCCCCGCTCTCGCTCGTCAAAAGCTTCACCAACGCAAAATACTACAACAAGCTCCACGAGGCACTCGACCGGAGCCAGCTCTCGTCGCTCGTAGAGCAGGATAGCGCCACAATCCCGTCAGTGCAAGATCTACCGTGGTGCTGGGCCCAACCAGCCGACGACGACGACGCCAATCCCAAACTCTTCAGAGTTGTCAAACTCCGCACGGGCAGCCCGCTCACAAGCAGCTCACTCGGAGCCGGCCAAGTGTTCTACGAGTCGGAGAACGCCCTGATCGCGCCTGCCCAGCCAGGCCTAGTCCTCACCAAGTTCCGCCTGGCAACCGCGCAACACGCCACCGTCGTCTACTGGCGAGCTCCCAACACCAAGCCTGAACCAAACAAGCGGGGAAAGATTTTCCTCCCACGAAAGCAGCTGTACCATGTTGGCCGCACTCAACTCATGCCCCTCATCTGGAGCAACATCGTCCTCAACGGTGTTCACTCAAGCGTCCAGAAGCCCCTGCAAGTCACATCGCACAAGCTCAAACTGAAAACGCTAAGGCAGCTGCTCACTCCACGTCCCTCGAGACCAGACGCCCTCCAATGGTGGATCAACAAAGTTGGCTACGTGCCCTTCGAATCACTGGCCAGCTCCATCAGAACCAGTCTAGTCACATCCAAGCAAGCCTCCCTGCTCTGGCGCATTGCACACCGCACCAACCGACTGGGCGCCGACTGGCTGGAAACAGATGGTCAAGCGCTGCGCGCCGGCTCGCTCTCCCGCGAAGAGTACGACGACAGAATTGCCACCGGGCGCTACGACTGCGCGCACTGCAAACACGACGGCCGCTCGGCCAAAGAGACCTGGCACCCCATCCTTGTCCGCTGCCACACAGCCCAAGCGGTTTGGGAAACCGCGAACGCCATCTTCCAGCACGCTCACTCAAGTTCCCTCCCAATGTTCGACAAAGCCCTCCTGTTCGGTCCCTTCCCCACCACGCTTGCGCGTAAAAAGGAAATGCGAGCGCTTGCCACGATCCTGTACCACCTCGGACGCTGGGCAATCTGGCGCACCCGCTGCGAAGCAAAAATCAACAACACATTCACACCCAGCCATACCACCTTCATCAAACTCGTCCACTCCCGCGCCCTGCAGGACATTGTGCCGCGAGCCCCGCCTGCTGACTCTCCCACGTCGAAGATGTGGGGAAAGTGCATGGTCAGGTCAGAAGAGAAGACCACCATTTCACTTCTACCCCCGAAACCCGGTGAGCATGAGCAAACCGAGTCACCAAGCGGCGCCCGTATGACCAGGACGCTGGCACCAAACTTGCAACCGCAAGAATCAGTTAAAAACACGTTGCCCTTGTCACTTACTCCTTGCCCCTGATCATGATCCTCCTCTTTGTGGTTTTTGAGCCTTAGAAGCTTTTCCACTTTCCAATAAACGTAATCAAAAAAATAATACATGTAATTCAACTACCGCATGTTGCGTGTTGCTGTTTGCGCTTGTTTATGTGCTGCTTTCCGAAGGACGAACTTGCGACATCCATTCGTCAGTGGCCGTGTTCGTCTTCCGATTTGTCATGTACAGATTTGTTGCTCGGAAAGAGTGGAATCATCTTGTTTGATCCATGCAATTTGACGTTGATTTTCGGTCACAATAACACAAACATTGAAGCGAATGCACAAACAACTTGCCGAGACAGCTCAGCGAGCGGCTTGGCCGTGAAGCCTTCTTGTGTCGGCCTCGCCTAGTTGGACATGCTGGCGCTGGAAGACGACGCTGCGGAACGAGCCGTATCAGGCAATGCAAAGTACCAACCAAGGTGCTTGACCGGTGGGACATCCCCCTTTGTGAGAGTGTGGGTCACTTGCTTTGTTTCGCCGCTCTCCGTCAGGGTGAACGAGACCTCTTTGGAGTCACCGATTTGGTCAAACAAGAACTGGCGCAGGTCCCCTGCTGTTTTGAACTGCTGCAGGCTGTCTCGCTGGTGAGCTAGGTGCCGAGTCTGCACGAGAAGGTGCGCCAGCGCATTGCACACTTCTTGTGTTTGTGTGCCCCACGAATAGAAGGAACTCGCAATGTGCGTTGCAGGGCTGTGATGCGGGTCGAACGAATATGCGCCTGTTGTTGCAGCAAACAGTCAGCGCATGCTCTATTCATCAATCGGCTGAGAACTAATACGTACTTTGCATAGCGGTCTGAAATCCTTGTGCGAATTTGTTCAGCGCGCTACGCTCCAGCGCCCACGAATTCTCTGCAGGTTTAGCAGTTGCCAAACGAGCTGTTGACATGACCCCCACAAGAACAAGCGTGTCGTCTTTGTATTGTGTCTGCACGTAGTGCTGATCGAGGTGCTGGCGGGCAGAATTTTCGTATTTGCGAAGCTCAGCGGGGCCTGTCGGCTGGAGGTGCATATGCAGCTTCATCTGCAGACCAATGACGACACGTTTCTTCGTCGCCTGATAGTCGGCAGCCATCAGCAAAAGAAAGTGAGAACTCAGAGTGACGACCACTCAACCAACAACAACGCGACCAATATCTATCTCCAAACTTACGTGACCAGCAAGGTCGGCGTGCAAGTAAGCATCGATTCCTGGCTCGTTCTCTGGGGCAAGTTGCATGAACACATCCGTGTTCCATTTGTTGGGATCCAGCATGAGTGACAGGTTTTTGCAGTCATCACTGAACTTGACCCCAGGCAGTAACTCGATGAGAGGGACAAGAATGGCACCCGAAGAAGCTTGAGCTGACAGCACGTGATGGGCAAGATACGCAGTCACCCGCAAGTTGAAGAGGTGGACAACGAGTCGCTCCCACAGATCGGGCTTGGACGGTGGGTTTGCCAGATCCTTGGAGATGCACGTAAGACTTGCTTTCAGAGTGTCTGCGAGCCGCAGGACGACATCGAGACTGTGTTTGACAGGCTCGAGGTCGAAATCGATCGGGACTGCGAAATGTTCAAACCCAAATGAGTGCCTCGTTTCCAGTCATTCAGATGCACTCATTCACAAACGAGCAGATCAGCTCCTCAAAAAGCCAGAACTTACTCAACTTGACCTCCTTGTACAAGTTGAACTGCAGGGACAGCTTTTGAGCATTCTGGTCAGGGGTCTGGTCAAGCGTCACGTCATCCTGATCTGACGTACCGACGAAAGCCGCGCCGCGGCTGACCCAAGCAGCTACTTTCCTGTCAAGTTGCGATACCATCACAGTATCAAACGCGCAAAAGTGCACCAACTCGATCAAAGAAACAGCGCTAATTTCGGGCGTTGCGATGGCACTTTCCGTCCGCACACTCATCGCTGCTTCAATGTGACGCGGCAAGCCACCAGCAATACGAAGTTGACCCACCAAGCTCGCATTGAGTCGCCAGGCAACTGACTTCTTTGATATGTTGGCAACTACATCAGCAAACTCGGCGGTGTGGGGGCCATCAAACGGTTCCATTGGAACTGGATTGACCTCTAAGTTGCTCGAGCCAGAAGCGTTGGAGTCCAACGGCTCGACCAGACCGGGCGTGAGGTGTTCTGGAAGAGTTCCGGCGTAGAGTACAAAGAGCCGTGAAGCCGGATCGATGGTGGCATTCTTGAGAGACCAAAGTGTCTGCTTCAGCAGCCAACGCTGAGATTTCAACTTCTCCATGTAGCGTTGTCTGGCCAGATGTGCCTGTACGACCGAGGCTTCAGAAGCGGACCGTACTTGTGGGACCGGATTCGCCTCGGAGACCAGCTTCTCTTGTGCGCCAACCTTGTCCTGCTCGGCTGCCTTTCTCGCAGCGTCCGCCTGTTTCACAGTGGCTGACTCTTTCACAGCGGCCAGCGCTTCCATCGCTCCAGCGGACACAGCAAGCAATCTGTTGATTTCGTCGACCGCAATCGCAACGTACGGTAACTGATCCCCAGGTTTCGGCGCATGACCGTGCCGACGCTTAAACTCGAACTGCTGGATAAACTCCAGAGTAGCAGTCACCTCGAAGCTCCCGGTCTGCGCAAAGTTCACTTCAAAGAAGGTCCGCGAGATGTTGAAGTATGCTTGCAGAAGGCGAGTCGCAAGAGCGTGTTCAGGGTGGGCGTTGCGGGCGACGGTCCAGTCTCTGGTGATGTCGAAACTGGTTGCGTTATTGAAGGTGACAAACAAGGAAATAAACTCGAGTTCTCGGTTGTTGAATACTTCAGGAGCGATGCGGCCCACAAACTCTTGGCAGAGCCTTGTTTTTCCTGCACCAGGCAACGTCGACGCCAGAAGTGATGGAAAATCCAGTCGATCGGTGCTGTTCCCTGGTCGCTCCAATCGGGTGCTCATGTGCGCTTTAATAGCAGTGGTTGCCACTTGCAGGTCGACGAGGGGGTACGTGGGAGAATACTGGCTCAACAGAAACGAACCACCAAAAGTGAGTGCCACACCCGGAACTCTACCACAAATGCCAACAGAGGACAACATACCTCCCGTTCCTGCTTCGGCGTGAGTTGAATCAGACCCTCAAGTGAAGCTTGGATAAGTTCCGGTGTGTTTTTCAGCTTAGCTGTCATGAGAGCAAAATGTCAGCAAAGAAATCCCAACGACTCAGTCACACACACACACACACACACACACACACACACACACACACCACATACCAGTGATGTTCGTTGCAGCAAGCTGCAGTCGCAGCTGTTCGATTTGCTGGTCCGCGCCTCGCTTGGAGTCAAGCTCGCCATTCAGCTCCTCAAGCAAGTCAGCTCCCAACAAATTGCGGACCACCAGCTTGGCACAGCTGAGAGATAACTCCAACTCCAGGAGTGCAGCTGCGGCATCGGTTTTCTGCTCGACAGTTGGAGAGGCAGCGCCCGCTTGTTGACCATCCAAAAGCTGCTTGAGCCTGGCGCGTTGGTTTGGCCTGTCGGCGCTTTCTGAAATTGGCGCCAAATCGACTGAGACGCCAAGACATGCGGCCAACGCGCGCAGCTGTTCACTGTCCAAATGCAATAAAAAGCAAAGTCAGTCAAGTCAAGACAAAGACAACTCCAGTGTGACGAGTAGGGCAATCAAATTCATTACCTGAGCGTTGCTTGAGCTGGATTCGCTGCCTATCCAAAAAAAAAAAAAAAGAAAAAAAAAAAGAAAAAGTCAGTACCTCCCGTCCTCGCCACCATCAAAGTCAAAGTCGATGCTTTAGTCTTTGTTCACTGAATTACACCAAGTTACTGTCACGAGGAATTGAGGGATGGCTGGGGGGGGGAGAGCGGGAGAAGGGAGAAGCAGAAAGAAAGGAAGAAAGGAAAAAAAAAAAAAAAGGACCAGGAACAGCCAACACGACAGTCTGAAGCGACGGGTGCGAGCCGGCCATGCCACCATACTTCTCTATTCGCGCTCATAGTATCACTCAACGTAGTAGACGGAGGGGCGCTGAAACGACAGGAGCCGGTTGAGAAAATAAAAATGAAAAAAGAAGACAAAGAAAAGAAAAAGATAATAAAAAAAAAAGATAATAAAAAAAAAAGATAAAAAAAAAAGCCATGCGCTCGTTCGCCGCTGGTTCGGGGCTTCAATGCGCAGCGGCTCAATGGTGCAGGGGCAAGGGGATCATTTGCATTGCAGCGGCATGCGAGCGGGGAGGGTGGAGAGGCGACAGACAGGAGCAGGGAGAAGGTTCCAAACCAAAGCAAAAAAAAAAAAAAAAAAAAAAAAAAAAGCGCCAAAAATCGCCAATTGCCAAGAATTGCCAAGAACAGATCGATGCATGTCGTTCGACCCCAGTTTCGATGGAAAGAGTCGGTGAAAGTATCAAAGATGAATCGCGGAAGTGTTTCTTGCGGGAGGCAGAGTGCACGATAGAGTGGAGCTGGGAGAGACCCATGAGAGGCCTTCGCAGCACTTACAGCCATGAGTGAGAAAACGAAATAGACTGAAGTGATTCTCTTTTGAGAAGTGATTTTCCTCCAATTCCGAACCTTGCTCATCATGATCCAAAATCCAGTGCGAGTATGATCGAGTTTTGATCGAGTTTTGAAATCTCTCCCCGGGGGTAGAAGGGGACGGGGAAAGGGGGCAGAGATCAGGCTCAATGATGACGAAGAGCCATTGAACTGGGCTCATCCCTAATCGGTCTTCCCCTCATTCTACACTGCATTCTTAGAAAACGATACCTCCGCATACATTTCGTACGCTTCACTAGTGATTTTAGGTCAAGTTCCGGGTAAGCTCGTAACACAGCTGAAGCGCTGTTTTGCCGCGTTTGACTTACCATTGTGAAAAATCTGAAAGGCACTTGCTGGACTGAGAGTTCAAGACTCGATGTGTGTTTTGTGACCAAGGTAGGTCTGTTATGGATTGACGCGTATCTGTACTTGGAGTGTGTTCACTCAAAGCTCAATGCCAAGTCAAAATTTCAAAGTGCTCCAACCGCCCGGCTTTTTGCACATTATGTATTAAAATTCTGTTGAACAAGAATATGAAGAGAGCCAGAGTCAAGGTGGTCTCAACTTTTTGTCCGGTTGGTGGAGTAACTTCCCTAAGACAAGGAAGGCCACAAACAAACACGGCCCCTCTGAGAGACCGAGCGGATCTTGCTGTGACGGCGAACCAATGCCAGGGCTCGACTCACGCTCCGATGCAGCGCTCGCGTCGATGGAAGGCGCCACTCTGGAAACGTTGCTCCTTGGATAGCGGCGGTCACGAGATTGGAGCAAAGCTCTTGCAGCACCATGCAGCCCTCGAGACTGAAACTGGCCATCAGTCAATTGCAGCCTGACCCCGATTCGCCAGTCGACAGCACACGCTGGCTGTCCAGACAACTGTCGCGAAGCAAATCCCCAATTTCGTTAAAGAAGAGGAGAATTGTTGGGTGTTCGCATGGTTTTTTTTTTTTTTTGCTTTACATGCATCCAATTAACTGTACATGCAGGCACTTACTTTAGTTCACAACTAGTATTGCCCGTTTCCCTGAGCGCAGTGATTCCCGCCTCGGTCAAGAAGTTATCCTCCAAGCTGTTGTTGCCAGTGAAGTTGTCGGTGAGGTCGTGAGAATGTAGCACAAGTCGAACGACATCCAAAGAGTCGTGATGCACAACCTACCGAATGGATGTCAGCGTCTTGTTCACCTTGAGCGCCTCGGCGATTGCCTGAGCGCCAATATCGCCAATCTGATTTGCCCACAGACTGTCCATCAGTGAGTCCTCGGGCTGCCCTCTGCTGGATCACAAGCTCATATGCATCAGTCAACAGTGAAAATGCCTTACTCGAGCTGATTCACCGTCGTGTTCACTCTGAGTGCCTCCGCGATCGCCTGCGCACCTGCATCGCCAATCTGATTCTGGTACAGACTACCCACCCCTCCATCAATGAGCCATTCTGCAATGCCATCTGCTTGAATCTTCCATTCACACCCATCGCTCAATACGAGAATCTCTTACTGAAGCTTTGTCAGCGTGGTGTTGACGACGATTGCCCGAGCAATGGCTTGCGCACCAGCATCCCCAATCCGATTCACCCACAGACTGCTCGTCCTCGACATCGGTGAGCCACTCGGAATGCGTTCTGCTTCAATCCACCCACTCAGAAGTATCGTCATGTCTTACTAGAGCTCAACCACGCTCTTGTTCACTTTGAGCGCCTCTGCAAACGCCTCTGCGCCAGCATCGCCAATCTGATTCTCACGCAAGCTGGCCGTAAACCCCTCGTTCCATCAGTGCGCCACTCTTCAAGCTCTCTGTTGAAGTGGCCGCCCATAGACTTACTCAAGCACAGCCACCGTCGTGTTCACTTTGAGTGCCTCCGCAATCGCTTGAGCTCCTTGATCGCCAATCTGATTCTGGTACAAACTGACCTCCCCAACCCCCCCCCCCAATCGACTTGCACGAGTGAGCACCCTCTGCGGGTTCGCTCGCTCACACGCATCAGTTCAAGAAGGTGAGCTGCCTGACTCGAGCCCAGTCACAGCCGTGTTCACTTTGAGTGCTTCAGCCACCGCCATAGCGCCTGCACAGCCAGCCTCGCTCTGCCAAAGACTGTCTCCATTGGTCGTCAGCACACGTTCCACACAATGCTTTTTTTTTTTTTTTTTTTTTTACAATGAAGCTCGGCTGCATCTGACCTGAGCCACCCGCTCGCCTTCGTGACTTGGTGATACAAATCGTGTTGTCTCTGAGTCGCTAGCATTTCCTAAGAAAGACTGCATTGGTCTGGTTTTGTATCCAAACAATGGCCAAATGAACCTCTCCCTCCAAAATCACACAAGTGGCAGCAAGGCACTCGGGCAATGTAAAAGGGTGAACGGTTGTGATTTAGTTTCGCTGCCAAGTGTCTGAAGTGAACATGAAACAAGCCCACGTCGATCGAGCAGAAACGGAAAGCGACGGTGCCTTTGAACAGTTGAAGGCGCGCACAACTATAAAACTGAAAGAATTGAACTCAACTTTCACAAGCGTTCACGAAACACAAACAAACAATGACAATTCAGGCCGCGCAAAAAGCGACCAACAGAGTCGCGAAAGCCGCGACAAAACAGTCGAGCACAAGTGTTACTGCTGGTGTGAGGCATTGTACAGCGGATTATCAAATTCTTTCGTGGACGACTTGAACAGCGGGTTGTCATCACTGTGTTGGGAGCAGAAAACAAAACGACACAACCAGCACCCGGTTAGCACTTGTTTCCAGCCTTGAGGGAAGCAAACGTCGCCCCCCCCCTCCACACACACACACACACACACACACACACACACACACACACACACACACACACACACACACACACACACACACACACACACACACACACACACACACACACACACACACACACACACACACACACACACACACACACACACACACACACACACACACACACACACACACACACACACACACACACACACACACACACACACACACACATCCTCCTCTTCCAACAACTGTTCGACTTACCCTTTCCACCGCATGCTCTCCTTGTCACGCTGGAACTTTTCCCACTCGCGTCGATCGGCGATGGTGTGAACAATCTTCAGTGCGATGAGACCAATCAGGAAGGCGAGGCCGAGGGCAGCACCAACGGCGGCACCAGTAACAACGCCAACATCGACCGTCTCAGAGTCGACCGAACAAGCTTGGCCATGAAGAATGGGACCAGAGCAGCCGGCAATGGCGCTCTCGTTGTAGGTGCAGAAACCACCAGCGCTGCACCAGGCGCACTCGGGAAGGCGCGTGCAGTTGCTGCAGCTAGTTTGGTTGCTGCAGATGGCGCCAGGGCAAGAATCACCGAGAATTGTCGCGTTGCAGAAAATGCAACCCTGGTCGTACCAGCCAGCCTCGCAGACGCACTGTCCGAAGCAGCCACACGTGCCGTGTCCGTTGCACTCCCGACCATTGATGATGGGGCATGCTTCGACTTTGCCTGTAGCGCAGCAAGAACAAAAAAATGGAAAGCACAATGCCAAAATGAGGTCAACCAAGAAAGCGTTGCGCGCGACATGTTTCTTGACTCATGCACGTACAGCTGCAGTCGGCACCAGTGTAGCCCTCGTCGCAAGTGCACACGCCGCAAGCGCCGCATGAACCATGACGGCCGCAAGGAATGCCACCGGAAATGGGGCAGCCGACGGTCGAGCCTGGGGAAAAAGCGGGAGAAAAACAAACAGTAAGAAGTCGATTCGAGCAAACATTGCAGAAGAAAGAACAGAGAACCGGGAAACAGACAAGAAATAAAAACGTAAAAACATAAAGCTCCACCCAAAAAGCAAAAATCAAAATCATCAACACTCACAGTTGCAGTTGAGACCATTCCAAAGAGGAAGATTGCGCACAGGATCGCGGTCGCATTGGCAGACACCGCAAGTGCTGCTGTCGACGTGAAGGCAGACACCGTTGCCACTGCATGCAACGCCGTCCGACGATGCGGGGCAAGGCTTGGAGCCAGCATTGCCTGAAGGAATACAAACAAACGAAAAAAAAAAGGGGGGGGTTAGGGAGCAGCCGAAAAAAAAAAGCCAACCACAAACAAAAAAACAAAGGCAAATTTCAGCTTCGGATCCAAAATCTCACTTACAATCACACTTGGAGCCGACAAATCCTTCGTCGCAAACACAGACACCGCATTGGCAAGAGCCATGTCCGTTGCACAGACCGTTCGAGGTGAATGGGCAAGGGCGATTTTGACAGGTGCAGTTTTCACCAGTATAACCAGGGTTGCATTTGCACTGAGACGATTTTGGAAGAACAGAAGGAAAGAGAGGAGAAAAGTTGTGAGTACGCGCCTCCACGCTCTCCACCAAAAAGCCAAGGGCACACGCGGGGATTTTTTTTTCTTTGTTTCCAACAACTGTGAGCGCCATTACCTTTCCGCAAGTCGCAGCAGAGTCCGTCTGGCAAACACCTTGGCCACCGCATGTGACGCCATTGCTGTCGGTGGGGCACGTGGTACCGACGGGGCAACCACACGTTTCGCCAGTCCAACCGGCGTTGCAAACACACTGACCGCAGACGCACTGACCACCACCCTGATGTTTTTTTGTTTTTTAAACACAAAACCAAACGAGACGCCAAAGGTGAGCAAACGACCGCCAGAAATACACAAAATACAAAGTAATCATCATCAATCATCCTCTTGCCTGATTGACGTTGCAATTGTCATTGCACGGAGTGGCGCTGCAGTTGCAAGCAGGGCCGGTCCAAGCGGACGTGCACTGGCAGACGCCGCACGTGCAACCAGTCGACTGACCAGCGCCGCCGCACAAGTCGCCATTCTCGTCAACGGGGCAAGTGGCGCCAAGGAGGCACTTGCAATTCGTGGCTGGGTCATAGCCAAGAGCGCACTGGCAGGCGCCGCAGTTGCAGGTGCCGCAGCCTCCGGGCAATTCACTGCAGAGTTCATTGCAGCCGCCGTCGCAAATGTTTGTCGAGCACTCGCAGGTCGGACCAGACCAGCCCGACTGGCAGTTGCACCGACCAGAGCACACGTTGTTTTGCGGATTGATGATTGAAGTGTCGCAGCTGCCGTGACTCGCGCCCGAGCACTCGAGCGAATTGCTGCCAACAGGGCAAGATCCGCTCGACGAGTCGAGACCAGCAAAGCAGTTGCAGGTGGGACCAAAATAGCCATCGTTGCAGACGCAGTTGCCGCAGATGCATTGGCCATTGCCGTTGCAGTTGTCCTGGCAAGCAGCGACGGGGCAGTTGCATGCGTCGCCAGTGTAGCCAATGTCGCACTCGCACTTGCCACACAGGCAGCTGCCGCGACCAGAGCAGTCTGCTCCGTTCACGACCGGGCACGGCAGGTTGTTGTTGGCGCGCAGACAGCTGCATGTAGCACCAGTCCATTCAGGCAAGCAGACGCACTGGGCAGAGAGAAAACCAAAACAAGACAAGCAAAAAAGGGGGTGGGAGTATTCAGAAAGAAGAGAGAGTCAGAGAGAGTCAGGTCAGTCATGAAACGAAAACAACAACAACAACCAAAAAAAAAAAAAACCCAGACCAAAAACAAACGGCAAGCTTGTTTTTGTTCTTGCGTCAAAAACCTACCTTGCCACAGTCGCAGTTCACTGCGGTCGTGCCATTCACGTTGCAGTCAAGGGCTGCGCAAGCATCGTCGCAGAGAGGGACCTTGCAGTCCGCCAGCTTGATGGACAGGAAAGCCGATCCAACGCCGGGGAAGACGACCTCAAGCGTGCTGGTGGCAGACGTGATGGATTGGGTGTTGGCAGTCGCGAGCAGCGTGATGGAGAACGTAGCAGGCGAGGTCGTGGCGGTGGATGGGGAAATTTGGCTGACGAATCGAGCGGCATCAGTGTCGCCAACGCGAGCAAGAACGTTGTTGGCAACGCCGGCATAGGCGGCGTCAAACAAGGCCAAAAAGTTGTTTGAATCCGAGGCCAGGGAAAGATCGGCGCGACCAAAGCCAAGTTGATTCACGAGGGACGTGTAGATGTTGTTGGACGCGGCGTTTGTGACAATGAAGGCAGGCACCACAAACTCGCTGAGGAGCGCCGCGGACAGCAAGCCCAGGGTCGGGTACTCGTACTCGGTGGAGGCCCAGACCGCATCCGTGCCGGTAAAGCACCGTTGCTGCGCGTACTTGTACACTGCGTGTGGGGCCGACGAAAGCGCCTCGGCGTCGCCAGCAAAGTGGAAGGGCGCATCCGTGACGACGAGGAGCATGTGGCGATGGGTCGGATCCCAGTTCGAGCACAGAGCCGCCTGCACAGCAGCATCCAAAAAGCTGTTGGGCCTGTCATTCACAGAATAGCCGTTCGTGCTGGCCGTGGGCTCTTGAACGGCGCTGCGAGCGATGGAAAAGTCTCGCGAAAAGGCCGACGAAGCCGCGTACTGGGACGCAATCTTAAAGTTCCAGTCGGTCGGTCCGCCGAGCGGCACCACGGGCTTGTCGACAAACGTGCCGAAACGCACATAGGCGCACTCGCTTCCGGAAGGAGGTGCAGTTCCGCCGTTGCAGTTCTTGTTGATGCTGTTGCTGAACGCGGTCTGGGTAAAGCTCTTCAGAGTGGCAAGATCGTCGGCCATTGTGGCAGAAACGTCCAGAAGGATGAACAAATCGAGCGGTTTGCTTGTGGAGACAGTGACAGTAATGGGGACGACAACGGGAATGTCTGTGCAGGTTGAAAAATGAAAAAGGGAGGTTTTGAGAAAACGAAAACAGGAACAACGGCGTGAGACGGGAGACAATCACAGCGGCAAAAGGAGCGCATCCAACAAAAAAAAAAAAAAAAAACACAACAACACCACAACACAGTAACGTACTGTAACGAAGGGTGACGTTCGCAGCGGCGGGGTAAATCTCGGGCGTTCCAGAGATGGGAGCAGCCGTGTAGGTGCTGGAAGGATTGTGGTACGAGGCAGCCGGGCAGTCGCCTTGAGCGGAACGGCATGTGCCGTCCTGAGCACACCAGCCGCATCCAGCAATGTTAAGATTGTTGACACACGACTTGCAGTCCGTCAGAGCGGCGCAAGTGTCTGTGCAGAGCGAAAAGCACAAAAAAAGCGGGGTGGAGGTGAGTGCACGTCTCTCGTGCCTCCTACTCTCAAGGAAAGCGATTCGACTTACTGGGATCGACGCACAGGGCACTGCAGAGAAAGGAGCAATCCAAAATCAAAACGAAAAAGAACAAAAAAACAAAAAAAGGACAAGAAGTCGCACTTTCACGGTGAGTTGCTGCTGCTGTTGCTGCTGCTGCTACTCAGTTGGCATGAAACCACAACAAAATGGGCAGCAAAGACAAGTACCTGACGTAAAGACGCTTGACGACGTTCTGGCACGGATCGTTAAAGTACGAGTTGAAACCGCCGCCACCCTGCGCAGCATTGTTGGTGTTGGTGATGGTGCAGGTCTGCTGGCCAAGACAGAAGCTCTCGACGACGGAGCGGGAGGAGCGCGAGTTGCAGGGATCGTACGCCATGGACGAGCACGGCGTGGTGCCAACAGTGAACGGGGAAGGTTGGGGCAGACCGTACGACGCAAAGACGATGGCTGAAATGGTCTGTCCGGTCGGGCAGGTCAGCGTCATACCGCCGCCATACTCGTCAACGGCATTGCAGATGGTTGTCGGAGGTGCTGTCAGATGGAAACGCGGCCACAAGCGATGGTGAGCCACGCAAGTACAGCGACAAAAGGTAAGGAAGGCTTTGGGTTTTTGTATGTTTTTTTTTTTTTTGTTTTTTTTTTGTTTTTTTTTTTTTTTTGTTTTTTTTTTGTTTTTTTTGTTTTTTTGTTTTTTTTTGGCTTTATCGATTCCAGCAGCGTTGTTTTTTTGCTCCTGGTTCCATCTCTGGCGCGGTGGCTGAGCGAGGAAGAACGGCGCAGCGTGCGCACTGCGCGTCACAGTGCGCGCCTGTCTCTCCAATCTAATGGACGATGTGGGTGGTGAACGCCCTGGCGCTCCTCCTCGCGACTTTGAGCCAAAGGAAAGGGCGCGCAGTTTTCGGTTGTCCTTTTTTTCTTTTTTTTTTCTTTTTTTTTTTGGTTTTTTTCGCTCGTTTGTTTCATCGGCTGCTTCGCAACAAACACAGAAGCTGCTCCAGTCCAACCGGGATGACAACACCATTCGCATCAACTTGCATCGTCGTCGGCATTGACCATTTCATGAGCTGACGCGGGGGCGCACCGAGCGCAAAGCAGCAAACCCGATTTTAGATCAAAACAAGCGCCACACACAACTGGAAAAAAAAAAAAAAAAAAAGCCTGGCCAGACAGAGAAGCAGGCTCAATCACGACAACGTACCGACAGCGGCGTCGGCCGATGACGCAGACAGCGCCAACATTAGCGCAACTGCAGCCAGAAGCGCAGTCCAGCAACGCATGGAAGTTTGGAAAAGAAGAATGAAAGGGGGAAAAGCACACACAAAAAAAAAAAGAGGGAAAATAAAAAAAAATAAAAAAAAAAAAGAACCAAGAGTGTTTTGATTTGTTTTGGCCTTTTATTTTTATTTTTTATTTTTATTGATTTTTTTATTGTTTTTGTAATTGTTTTTTGTTTTTTTTTTTTTTTTTTTTTGAAAACTGCGGCACAAATGTATTTTGAGCCTGTTGCTGCCTGCCCCTCCAGCTCGTGTTTGGAAGCGTTTCTGGCATTCCTTCGCATTCTTGCGAAGTGCGAAAGCTTTGCGGGCATGCCCAGATTGAGCGTGTGAGACCTGCTCGAACAGGACAGGGGCGAGCAAAGAGCGCCTGCGCAACGCCATGCGGGAAGGCGCAAAAAACGAGCCAACCAAGCAACAGCGCCGAGCCACAGCGCCACACCTCACGAAAATGTGGTACGAAACGATGAGTTAGCCATGTTCTCACGAAAGCCCCCTCCCCCCGCCGCCGCGAGGTGGTGCAAAAAAAAAAAAAAAAAGCAAGTTGCAAATCGCATGCACTTGGCAAGTGTGGCACAAAGCGAGTGTCGGCCACATTGAAATGTGCTCATCTGCTCTGACTAAAGGTAAGAGTCTGAGCGGGCCCCGTCTGCCCGCGGTGTCACAAGTCTGCTGCGGTCAAGTGTGACTTTTTTGGCGTGTCAAGAATGCGAAAGTGCGGCATGGCCATTCATCCTGATGCCAGGAAGCCGGTTGCAAGCTCAACGAACGGCCGTTGGACTGTGCCGTGCTGATAAGGCGATGATGGAAAGGGCTTTTGTTTGTTCTTTTTGCTTTTTTTCTTTTTTTTTTCCCCGCTTGCTCTTTTTTTGGGACTTGTCCCTTTTCCCCGTATGCAATGGATTCGCGTTTAGATCATTTTACAAAGCAAGGGGGAAAAAAACAAAAAAAAAATCATCAAAATTAAAATTAAAAATCGAACAAAACAACAAACAGTCGTTTTATTTTTGTTTTTTTTTTCTTTTTTTTATTTTTTTCCTTGTTCTTTTTTTTTTTTTTTTTCTCTCGTTTTCGTTCCTTTTGCGCTTTTTCTTTGCAAGTGGGCTCCCATTTCCGCGTGGTGCACTTGCCGACTTCCTTTTGACTCTTTCATTCTCCTGCTGTGCCATGACAGCCTCGTTGGACGCTCGCAGCGGTCGGCTCTCGCTGGCGGCTGTCGCTGTTGTCGCCACACTCCTTCTTGCCGCTGTCGTTTGCCCCTCGAGCGCAGCGCCTCTCGGTCGTCGCACGCCTCTCACCGCGCGCCTCGATCGCACCGATGGTCTTGTCGGGCGTGCTGCTCAGTCGGGTACGGTTGTCCTCGCCGTTGTTGTTGTTGTTGTTGTTGTTGTTGCGAACCCTGCGTTTCGGCTTCTCCGGTTTTTTTGGTTTTTTGGGTTTTTTTTTTTTTTCGTTGGCAAAACAAAAAAAAAAAAGAAAAAAAAAAAGACGCTCTTGTTTGCAGCAACAGTGGTGTGGCTGCTTGTTTGTTTGGGGGGGGGGGTTCACTTTGTCAGGAGGCGAGAGAGAAGGCTTGCGCTGTGACTGCGCTTTGTGTCTCTGTGTGGCAGCCACAAGCGCATTGCGTAGTTGATCTGTGTTTGTTTCTTTTTCGTGTTTTTTTTTCGTGTTTTTTTTTTCGTGTTTTTTTTTTCTTTTTCGTGTTTTTTTTTTTCGTGTTTTTTTTTTCTTTTGTTTTGTTTTTGTTTTTTTTTTCTTTGGGTTTTTCAATTGTTTTCCGTCAATTTCCTCTCTCTCTGTGCACTGCGCCTCTGTTTTCGTCCTTTCTTGTATTCGATTGCGCGTGTATCATATCATCATGTGCTGATGCGTTGGTCTGGCGCTCAACCCCCGCCCTCCCCCAAAAAACTCGTTCCTCTCCGTCTTCAATTCCACTCACCTTCTTGCCCTCCACCGCTTGATCCATCCTCATCACACACTACTCCCTCTTCCCTCGTCTTGTCTTCGTAGGTGACTGGATTGCGTCCCTCAACTTACGGACGGACGCAAACTCTCAACAACAATGCAACCCGCTCGAATCTGGCCATGTTGCGCGCCTGGCTGGCTTTGGCTCGCTCGTCGGTTTGCGCACGTTCGACAACTGCCGCATGACCGAGCGCCTGCATGCGACGCCAACTGCCACGCACGAACATTCTATCGAAATTGCCGCAATGGCTGCTCAGGAGCAGCAGTCGGACTCGATTGAGCTCGCCTTTGCCGTGACGCTGCCAGCCGGCGCTCATCCGCGCATGCTGCGCCGTGGCATCTCTGCCAAGCCGCGTCTTGTTTTCGGCCACCCGCAGTTCCTCACCGCATCGTACGACGGATTGGCGGCGTTTGACGCAAACAACCACTCTTTGCCAACGGACATGACGTGCGCCTCGGCCGCCGACCCGTCCATGCGTGGCGACATTTACTGCCGCGGAGTGTCCTTCTTGCTCATCATCACCGTCAACAACGCTGCCTCCGCTGCCTTCCCCATTCTCGTCGACCCGATTGTGGCAACTGGCTATCCGGTCGGCGTCCTGAATGACGCAAATCTGTACTGGTCCTACACGGCTCCCGCAGACGCACAGTGCGTCTTCCCGTTCACGTACAACTCCATCTCGCGCTCTACGTGCATTTCCGATGGCACCCGTTTCAACTTTTGCGGCACGACCGCCAACTTGGACGCAAATCCCTTGGCGTGGAGGACGTGCGATCAGGCTGCTGTCGGCTTCACTGTCGGCATTGGCCAGCTCGGCTCGACCGCTACTGGTTACAACGATGTGGTTTGGGGTGCTCCTGGCTCGAACGGCAACATTGGTGCCGTCCAATGGAGCAAAAACACCAACGGTGTTTTGTCTGCCACGCCTGCGTCGCTCACGAGCAGCGGCACGTGCGCGAGCTCTGCTGGTGCGCACTACGGCGCGACGCTTGCCATCCAACTTCAGAGCTCGGGTGCTACTTCCTCCCGCCTCATCTTTGGCTCGAGCAACTGCGCCGATACGACCGTCTTTACCGGCGGCTCCTCTGCACCTTCTCGCGTGAACACGTACAACTACAAGGCGTGGGCGTACGGCGTCGGCACTATGGATGTTGCTGGCACCAACCCCAACTTTGTGGTCAGCCACTCGTCTGGATCTCCCATTACTACGTTCGGCAATGGCGTGTCTGGCTACACTCGTGGTGCCGCGCCCTTCAACGTGTATGCTGACGGTCGATTCACCGCAAACATGCTGGTCGCCGACACCAAGGCCTTTGCCAACAATGCTGGCCTTGTTGGCTACGTCTCGTGCTCGAGCAGCTCCTCTTGCTCAAACCAGTGGAGCGCCACCATCGATCAGATCGACTCCGGCTGGGGCAATGCGCTGCTCTTGGCCGACATCAACGCCGATAGCTACCCGGATGCCATCATTGGTGCTCCTCAGTACACCTCGTTCAATGGTGCGCGCCGCAACGCTGGTATGATTCGCCTGTACCTTGGCACTGGCTCGAGTTCTCTCGAAACGGCGCCCGCCTGGACCGTGTACGGCACAGCCAGTGGCGACCAGTATGGCTATACCTTGACCAACCTGTACGACATTAACGGCGACGGAGCTCACGACATTGCTGTCGGCGCTCCGTACTCGAACAGCGAGAAGGGCGCCATCTACATTTATCTCGGCTATTGGGACAACTCGGTCACGCGTCTGAGCGGTCTTCGTCTTCACCAAACCATCATTGGAGCTGCTGCTGGCCACCTGCTCGGCTTCTCCATGGCTGGCGGCCGAGATTTGAACAACGATGGCATCCCCGATATGGTGATTGGCATGCCCAAGTACAACAATGGTCGCACGGACTGGGCTGGCCGTGTTGCTGCCGTCCTGAGCAAGCCGTACACGGACGTGAATGTCAACATTCGCAACAACCTCTTTTTGGCCAACATTAACACGTCGATGACGACTCCTCTCATCATCCAAACCACCATTGCCAATGCCGGCTTGCGCGAGACCGGGCCCATCACCCTCACCATTAGCATTCCCGACGCCACTGTCTTTGGTGCACCCACTGTTCTGCCCGAGTACGGCCTCACCGCGTACTACTACAACTCGCAGATCTCCATGGGCAACTTTGCCGGCCAGACCCCCGTCTTGCAGCGCAACGAAGATACCGTCAGTTTCAACTTGGGTACCGGCTCTCCTGATGCCACCGTGAACGTTGACTACTTTTCGGCTCGCTATGTCGGGTATATCGTGCCTTCCAAGACTGCTTCCGACTACAGGTTTACGCTCGTTGCGGATGACAATGCTCGCGTTTACGTCAGCAACACTGCCATTGTGAGCTCCACGGGCGGATCTTCGACGTCCAATGCACTGTCTCTCACTGCAGGCGTGCAGTATCCGTTTGTCGTCGAGTACAATGAAGCTGCCGGCGCTTCCTCGCTCGTTGTTACTTGGTCGTCCTCCAGTGCCGGCATCCTGGCCAACACTCTTCTGCCCACGGAGAACCTGCGCCCCAGCGTCCAGACGCGCACCATCACATGCACCGACCTCACCTGCACCGTCCAAATGAACAGCCTTGTTCCCGCGCGCTCCTGCTGGGCCTGCCAAAGCAACCCTGCCGGCACTCAGCAGTTTATTCAGCTCCAGTACACGATGGACCAGACTCGCAACTACCCGGCCACGGCGACATGGACTGCCGTCAACCAAGTCACCCCTGTGGTGTTTGGCCAGGTCACTGCCGTGCACTCGCTCAACTTTTTCACCTTTGCCGACCTGCGCATGAACGCCGTCCGCGCTTTTGTTCCCCAGGCAGACCCCAACTACGCAACCAACCCCACCTGCTCGAACGTGGCGACCAGCGTGTGCTCCATTCCCAGCGGCTCGACCACGCTTGTCTTGCGCAACATTGGCTTTGTGAACAACGGACCGGCCACTGCATTTGCCGTCTCCCTGCTCATTTCCTTCCCGACTTCGGTCGAGTTCCTTCGCGTGCAGCGCATTTCCGACAAGACGACCAACAACGCTTCCATCTCGGGCTTTTCGTGCTCTCGCGTCGATGCGGGCGTCTCGTGTCTGTTCTCCAACTTGAATTCTGGGTCGAGCTTTTCGATTCCCAACTATGAAATTGTCTTTAGCATTGCCAACCTGCGCGTTGCTGGCAACTGGCAGTTCAAGACGTTGCTCTCGACGCTCTCCGCCATCACGACCCCCGCCCTGGCTGCCGGCGTGTCCAACTTGCTGAACGCCCCCGACGCAACTGCCAATCTCGGTCTGGCCAACCCGCGCGTGTCTGCTGGCTCGTACTGCGCTGCCAACCAGGTTTGCGCTGGAACGGCCTACCAAGTGTCTTTCGACATTCAAAACACGGGTGCTTTTGGCTCGGCTCGCCCTCAGCTTGTGATTGCGCCACCCACCGCTTTTGCTGCCTCCGCGAGCTACTCTGCCCTTCCCATCCGACCCCGTATCTCGCAGGATGGACAAACGCTCGATTGCAATGTCGGCCCGGGCAGCAACTACACGTGCTTCTTCCCTCAAGCGAACATTGCGGCAGCCTCCACGGCCGCGGTGCAATTGATGCTCACCTTGAGTGCCAACACTCCGGTTGGTACCGAGCTGAAATTCGCGGCCGTCATTTCTGGCAATGCCACCGAATCCACGCTGGCCGACAACGCCCTCCAGTTCTCGTACACGAGCTGCCGCAACAGCACGTTTGTCGTCACCATGTCCACCTCTGCGACCTCCATTTACCCGAGCAACTCGCTGACCGTTCTTGCATCGGTCAACAACCGTGGTCCCAGTGACTACGACGATGCTGCTGCTCAGACGATGGTTGTGACCCTGCCCAGCGGCGTCGATGTGCTGTCAAAGTCGGATGTTGCTTGCACTGGCGGCTCCAATGTGCAAACGTGCCCCATCCCTGATCTTGCCAACGGCTTTTCGGGATTCAAATCCTTCACGATTCGCCTCACGAACAGCGTCATTCCCGGTGGTGTTTACACTACCACGCTCACCTCGACCGCGACCGCCGGCACTTCGTCCGCATCCACGTCGACCAACGTTGTGGACGACACCAATTTGCAGGTGTTGATCAACGCCGCCGAGTCGTCGCTGTTTATCGGCTCGCCGCAGCTGTTCACTGTTGGTGTGCAAAACAACCACCCAGTCAACAACGCGACCAACGTTCAGCTTGTGGTGTTCCTCCCCGTGTCTGTGGCGCTCGACTCTGGCAATCCGATCCAGATTGCCTCTGGCGCGTATGCTGGAATGTACAGCACTTACTGCACAAACCAAGTCGTCGCTGGCTCCGATCCCAACCAGCACATCAAGATCACCTGCACATTCCCTGAGGTCACCGTGCTTCAAGCGGGATGCAGTGTTGGTTCGAGCCAAAAGTGCCAAGTCATTCTCACCATCCCAACGCTGGCGGTCGATGCCGGCGATGCCGTCAGTATTAGCAGCTTCACCACCACTGCGTCGGTGACTGGCCAGAAGCCCGATCAGGGCAATGCCAAGACTGCCTCCATTTCGTTCTCCATCTACCGTTTCCCTGATTTGGTCGTGAGCATGTCGCCCGTTTCGTCTGTCGCTGTGCACGAGAAATTCGCCGTCGACGCCGTCTTTTTGAATCAAGGCCAGATCGCTGCTACGAACGTCAGCTTCACCCTTGTTATTTCGCAGCTGTCTGGAACGGTCAATCTGCAAGCTGTGACCCAGTCGCTCGATGCCTGCGATTCGCACTCGTTCACGACCTACGAAGTGACGTGCAACATGACCTCGCTTGCACCCGCCCAGTCGGTTGCTATTCAGCTGCAGTACAACACGTTGGGAGCAGCCAATGGCGTGTTTTCCACCTTTGCTCGAGTGCAATCCGCAACCAATGAGATTGATACCGACAACAACCAAGCCGCCCTGTCCACCACCATTCTTGACACGTACACTGACTTGGCCATCGACTCGCGTCCGTCCCCGTACCAACTCCAGAATGGCGACAACGTCACCTTCACCTTCACCGTCCTCAACTATGGTGTTTCGACTGCTCGCAACCTGGTTGTCTCCACCACGTCGTGGCCGTACCAGTTCCTGCCGTCCACCTCGGTGACTCAGAAGCCGTCGTACTGCACGTTCTCAAACTCTGACCGCAACCTCAATTGCGACCTTGGCGCCGGTGGTCTGATTCTCGACCCTGGCTACTCGACCCTGTATGGCACTGTCGGCTCGTCGATCAGCTTCACCATGACCTGCCAAGTGAATGTGATTCCGTCCTTCCTGAAGACCTTCCGTGCATCAGCCGATGTGTTCCAGCTCAACATCACCATGACGGCGGAAGACACTGTGATTCCCAACCTTGCTACTGTAAGTTTTGCGATGATGGATGGCATGTTATGGGGCGGGGAGTCTGGGACGGAGTGTTGCTGTTGGTTCACTCCGCTTTTTTTTTTTAAATTTTTTTTTTCGTTTTTATTTATTTTATTTATTTATTTATTTTTTTTTCATGGGATGGTTTCGTTGCATTTCCCCCCCCCCGTGTCTCACTTGCCATGCTTGTCTTGTCCGACCCTTCCACAGTCTACGTCGAACGTTCAAACGTTCAACGTGTTCGTCATTCCTCCTGCGCCTGTCCCAGCCAAGTCGGAGTCTGGCATGGACGAAAAGTACCAAATTTTGATTGCCGTTCTCTGCTCGATCGCTGGCGCTGTCATTATTGGCCTTGTTGCCAAAAAGTTGGGCTTCTTTGATCGCAAGCCCAAGCCACCGACTCTTGACGAAGACGAGTTTATGCAACAGCAGAATCCCCAACATGACGACTAAGAGAGCCAATGTTGTATCCGTGACTTTTAGCTGTTAAATTGCTCAACTTCGACCACTTGTGTCTTTGTCTTCAACCCCGACCGTTTGTGTCTTGTCCTTCTCAGGTTGTTTGAGATTTGTCTTGTTTTTGCTTCCCTTTTTTGTTGTTGTTGTTGTTGTTGTTGTTGTTGTTGTTGTTGTTTGTGCGTTGTAACTCGTGTGAAAAATCAATCCGCACTTTTTGGACTTTCCGGCTTGTTTGGGGTTTTTGACATACATGGCAAAGAGGTGGGTGATCTGCATTTAAACTGCATTTTGGGAAGACCTCTTTGATTTTTCAACCGCTGTGCTTTTTATTGAGATTGCGGGGGGGGGCATGCAAAGGGACAAGTAACATCAAACATTCAAACAACAACACAAAGGGGAACATCTTTAGAACTTCATACCAGGCGGTAAGCCCAAACAAACTATTTAAAACAGCCCTGCTCGACGGCGACGAACAAGCTCGTTGATGTAAGCCTTCATCAACTTTGCAATTTCCAAGACCTGCACGAACATGATCATCAGAGTTAGATCATTCCCACAAGAAAACAAAATACCGAAGAAAAAAAATGAAGCGGAACGCGCTTGAAAAGAAAAAAATCTACAAACCTTGGTGGTCTCAAAGGTGACGGTGCCTTGGCCATCAATGACAATCTTGTACGTGTTGGCAACGGGCGCTCCGAACGAGAGAATGGTCTCGTAGCCGTACGAAGCAACGCACTCGCGAGTGCCTGGCTTGTACAAGGCAACGCCCTTGATGCCGACGGCCAACCACAAATTCTTTGGAATGTTCTTTTCTTTGACGGGGTTCTGCGAAACGGCGCAAAAGTAACAGAGAAAGTGGGCAAGTGAGATGATAAACAACACGGCACCAACAATTGCGACCAGAACGGTACCTCAACATCAAAGATGGTGCAGCCGTAGCCATCCCAGCTCTGAAGGATGGCCATGAACTCGGAGAGAGCCATCTGGTTGCCCTTCCCGCGAAGCTTGGACCATTCGGTGGCAAGTTGAGCCTAAGAACGAAGCGAAGGGAGAAGGACGAGAAGAGAAAAAAAAAAGAAAAAAAAAAACATGCAGGTCAGCAAATAGCAAATCAAAAAGCACATCCCCCCGCCCGCCCTTTGCTTTGTTGATGATTCCCCCACCTTGATGCCGAGAATTTCCTGGGACTGCGAGTCGTCAAAGTTCGACTTGATCTTGCGCAGCGTGCCCGTCATCGTGTTCTTCAAGGCCGAAAGGCTGATGGGAGAATTGGCGAGGGTATTTTCAACCTTCATGGGGTAGTACTTCTTGAAGTCCGTGCTGCACTCGAGAATGAAACGCAAGACAGAAAAAAAAACCAAGAGGGAGGTGGGGAACGATCAGAACCGAATCACATGCCAGAACGAGCCGTGCTCACCCACTCTCTGTCAGCAAAACGTACCATTGCTTGTCAAACTGAATGCCCGGATCCATGTCGCCCATGTCGTACTGCATCATCAGCGCAGACAGCTTGAAGAGTTGGTTTTCATCGCAAGGGAAGCGGCGCGCCATGACTTGCTCGCAAGCCTGTCGGAACAAAAACAACAAGAACACAAACCCCCACCAAAAAAAAAAAAAAAAAAACAGAAATCCAAAAGGGTCAGAACAAAAAAACTTTGAAACCAAATTCTTCTTCACTTCTTGTCAACCAAACAGAGATGGGGGGGGGGGAGGAAGGAAAACCTACCGCAGCATGGACAAACTCAAGCTCAATCGGACTGAGATTGCGCGTGTGGACCTCGTGAACACAGAACAGCTTAAAGACAAGACGCCAGCCGTCGGCACCGGGGACATAGCCGGCACGCTTGTACTTTTCCCACTTGCCCAAAATGTCGACAACAATGGTCTTCTCCTCAATGGACTTTTGAACATCGCCCGAGAGCTCGTACAATCCAAAGCCGTTGATGCAGCGCTCCATGTTCAACTTGCGCTTGAGCAGCTCCGTGACCTCGCCGGCAGTCGTGAAAGAGTTGATGGCAACCTTGCATGTGCGGCCGCCTTGGCACAGCACGGTGATGAGCAATTCCTTTTGCGTCTGGATGGCAACAATCTCTTCTTGCGAGGCCGGGTAGTCGCGGTACTTGGTCTGCTGGATGCAGTCCATGCAGTACGCAGCGTACTTGGCAACCTCCGTGTTGGGGTAGCGGTCGAGCGAGCGCTTGAGGTGGAAGCGCAGGAATCGCACGTACTTGCGCGCGGGCAAGAACGAGCAGCCGAGCACGGTGAGAATCTGCCAGTTGCGAATGGAAATCTGGCTGTTGGGGTTGGCATTGTCCGTGGTCTGCTTGATGAGCTGGCAGTACACTTCGTTGCGGATCTTGGGCAAATCAAAGCACGTTTGCAAAATGTACTGGATGAGGGGCAGCGGGTTGACAATGTACTCGGGATGGACCATGTACTGGCTAATCTTCATGGCCTCCTCGAACAGCGTCGTGTACGTGCGCGCCCCGGTCTTGTCAAGCGAGAGGTCGCCGTACGGCAGTGGCAGGAGCGAGCTCTTGAGCGGCTCGCTGCCACAGGTGAGGATGGGGTAGGACGAGTAGATGCGATCGACATCGGCCACCTTGGCGGTCTTGAGCTCGGCAATGAGCTTTTCGGTCTGCGTCTCGATGGGTGCCTTCGAGTCGATAATCTCCTGGATGGCCGAGACCCAGCGAGTGGCGTCCGCTTGGGTGGCGGCCACCAAGTAGTACGAGCGGCGACGGGCGTGGACAAAGAACGACCACGAGCCTGTGTTCTGGCCGACCAGTTCGTCAGGCGGCACGACAGAGCACAGAGAGTTGAGAGGGATGGTGCCAATGGCCACGTCCGTGTAAGGGTCCTTGTGGTAGTAGATGACATCCTTGCGCAACGTAAACCAGCGCTTCTTGCGCGACTTGCGTGCGCCACCTTCCTTCACCAGCCAGCCCTTCTCGAGAATCTCCTGGTCAGAGTCGCCAGCGTGCTTCTTGCGCGGGGTGAGAACGCGAATCCACTCGGCGTACTCTTGCGGCGTCTCGGCCTGCATCTGGAAGACGCGGTTGGCCGTCACAATGGCAAACGTGTTGGGTCGGGTCGGGTCGTTGGTGGAGCCAACAGACAGAATGTCCACCAAGTCCACCTGGCCCTGGGCGTTGCGGAAGTCCACCTGAGCGGAATCGAGCGACTTCATCTCGTCATCCGTCTTGGAGCGAATCGCCTTCAACTCGGCCAGCCACTCCTCGCACGCTTCAGCCGATTCGGCAAACATGTAGTAGGTGCGCTCGGTCGTAATAAGGCCGAAGGCATTGTCCTTCTTGCACTTGGACTTGGCAGCGGCAGGCTCCTCAATGCCCGACACATCCTTGCGGATGTCCACAGTGCCCAGGCACTCTTCTTGCTCGGCGTCCGACTTAAAGTAGGAGAGCTTGCCATCCTTCAGGACCATCCAGCGCAGCTTCCAGGACTTGACGGCGCCGCCCTGCTTGGTGAGCCAGCCTGCCTTCTGCGACTCGCCCTGCTTGCCCTTAAAGTAGGCGAGGGTGCCGTCGCGCAGAATAAACCAGCGGCGCTTCCAGGTCTTGATTCGACCACCCTGCTTGACCATGTAGCCCTCCTTGTACTCGTCGATGGCCTCCGACTCGGCCTCTTCGTCGTCAGACTCGGCGCCCTTGTCAATGCCGCCCTGGGCCTCTTCGTCGCCCCCGTCGTCGAGGTCGAGCTCGGCCGCAAGCTTGGCCGCCTCGGCCTTGCGCTTGACATCGGCTTGAGCGCGACGCTTGGCTTCCTCCTCGGCCTTGCGCTTGTCGTCCTCGATCTTGCGCTTGGCATCGAGCTCGGCCTCGAGCGCTTTGGCCTTTTGAGCATCCGCCTCGTTGGCCTGACGGGCGCGCTCTTCTTCTGCGGCCTCCAAGCGAGCCTCCTCGTCGGCCTTGCGCTTGAGTTCTTCGAGCTCGCGCGTCTTGTTCTCGCGCTGGAGACGCTCCATCTCCTTGCGACGCTCCTCTTCCTTGCGACGGATTTCTTCGCGGCGGCGCTCCTCTTCCTTGCGCTTTTGCTCGAGCAAGCGCGCGCGCAGCAAGCGAGCGCGATAGCCGCGGTAGATTTTTTGAATGTGCACGGCTGCCTTGCGCTTTTGCTTGAACTGCTTTGCGCCGTAAAAGCCCTTGTAGTTCTTCTGGATGAGGACGATGGCGCGACGAATCTTGAGGAAGCGGCGACGAATGGCATAGCCCAACACGCGCGACTTGATGATGCGCAGCACGACGGCAAGCTCATCCTCGCGCTTCTTTTCGAGCACAATCTCGAGGCTCTCGCGCAAAAACACCTTCGTCTTGCCGATCTGCCAGTCCTTGCCCTGAGGGTCGTAGTTGCGGAGGACTGCCTTGCACTTTTCAATGTCGTTCGGGGCCTTGACGCCGCGTCCCAGCACGCGGTAGCGGTACAAAAAGTCGTCAAACACACGACGGACGGGATAGCCGGCACGGCGAATGCGAACCGTCTCCAGCATGCCAGAGTAGCGCAGCTGGTTGAGGACGACAGGCGCCTCGAAGGACGCCGGCACCTTCTTCATGTTGGGCTTGACGCAGCGCACAAAGTAAGGGTGTGCGGCGCCCAGCGCAGTCATGAGCGACGACAGCGAGTCCTTGAATTGGGCGCTAACGGTCGGCTTTTTGCGAGCACCAGCCTTGTTCTCCTTGGACGAGTCGGCGACAGCGTCCTTCTCAAAGAGGTCGTACACAAAGTCCGACTTGGACTCTTGCAAGAGCAGCACAAGGTCGTCGCGGAAGTTGTCGCGGTTCTTTTCGAGGAAGCCGGCAGTCTCGTACTGCACATCGCCAGCATAGTGACGGATGCCGTACGACGTCTTGGCGAGGCGGGGCTTGATGTAATACTTGTTCTTTTCGTGACGCTCGTGGAACTTTTGCAGCAAGGTCTCGTCCGTGCCCTTGGGGAAGCGAGACTCTTCATCGAGCAGCGCCAGCAGACCGAGCTTGGCCTCGATCAGATCGAGACACTCTGCGTTGTCCACCCAGTCAATGTCAGCCCAGCTAATGTTCTCCTTTTGGTACTCGAGCTGCTCAAGGGAAAAGATGTGTCGGTTGAAGTACTGCTGGAGCTTTTCGTTGGCATAGTTGATGCAGAACTGCTCAAACGAGTTGACTTGGAAGTTTTCAAAGCCGAAAATGTCGAGGACACCAACAGACAGGAAGGTCTCCTTGGCATGGATGGTCTTGTTGATGCGGGTGATAATCCACGAGAAGACACGCGAGTACAGAGCCATGGCGAGGGAGTCGCGCGATTCCTCCGCTTGGGCGCCGTCCAGAGGCGTGGTAATGCTCTCGCCACGCAGGGTGATGGTCTTGGACGTCAGATTCTCGCCCAGCTGGCCGTCATCGACGCCAAACATGGCGGACGCGTTCGCCAAGTCGGTTCGGTTTTTCACTTGCGCACCGCCCGAAGTGACAAACTCAATGTTGCCAAGATGGAGAATGCCGGCAATGACCTTGAAAATGTCGGTCGATTGCTCGGGGGTGAAGCCCATGGTGATCATAGCGGACTGGGCGATGGGGGAAAAGGATTGAGAATTGAGGGGTGAGAAACCCAATTTGAAACAGGCATCCTGCAAGCGTTCGCTCGCCGCCGCTCAAAGCATTCTCCCGAAAACAAAAACAAAAAAAAAAAAGAAGAAAAAACCATATGTGCAAACTCACCCGAACAGACTTGTAATCGCCAACATCATCGATCGACGGGTCGCTGAGCACACCGCCCATCTTGGTGTAGCGGTAGTTGTCGGCGGACGTCAAAAGGAGCGAGGCTGTTTGTTGGAAAAGGACAGGCATGCCGTACAAATCAGTCAAAGCCCAAGAAAGACGATAAAAAAACAATACACCCGAAACAAAACCCCCTTACCCTTCTCCTCGCGGGAGCCGCCAGTCAAAAGATTGTAAAACACGTGGTAGTTGCGCTCGCCAGGGTTGAGACGCACAACGCGGCCCTTTTCCAGCAAGTAATCGATAATTTTGGCGCCCTCGATGGCGCCGCGATCCGAGAATTGGATTTTGATAAACTTGCCGAAACGCGAAGAGTTGTTGTTGTAGACCGTCTTCGCATTACCGAAAGCCTCCATGATGGGCGAGCTTTCCAGAATTTGCTTCTCGACCAGGGACTCTGCGTTTGACATGGTCGACAAGTACTTGAGGATGAGCTTGGTGGATTCCGTCTTGCCAGCGCCGGATTCACCACTAATAGGATCGGCGTACGCACAATATTTTGGACCATGGGTTGGTGAAGACGAAGGATGACAGAGCGATGATGAAAACACATGCAAAACAAGTGCGCCTCCCCCGCAATATTCCAGACACGCACCTGATCAGCACGCATTGGTGGTGGTTGGTCTTCCACAGCGCATAGTAGGCCTCGTTGGCAATGGCGTAAATGTGCGGGGGCAGCTCGCCCAGCGCACGCTTGTTGTACGACTTGAGCAGCTTGTCGCCGTACATGTCAATCTTCTTGTACGGGTTGACGGCGCAAAGAATCGATCCAATGTACGTCTGGCAGTTGGAATGGCGACAAATCAAACGAGGCGAGTCAGTGCGCGGACGGCCCTTTGTGTTGGCAATACTTGTTTTGTGGCACGCAAAAAAAAAAAAAAAAGAGTTGCGTGGTGTGTGCTGTTCAACTGACATAGATGAGATCTTTGGCATAGCGCAGGTCAATGTTGTGCAAGATGGCGCCTTCGTGCAAATCCGCAAGAGTCGCCATGTCCTCGACACTTGTCACCGACGTCGGATGCATTGGCATGACAGTGTCGCGCGAAACGTTCTTGGCATCGAGCTTGAAGTCCTGTTCAAGAGCAAGTGGGGCGTCAAAATCCGGTTTAACGCTTTGTGAGCCAACGTCGAGAGCGGGCCATCCTGGCGTGATGAGCATTGTGGCAAAAGAGAGAAGCACCAACCTGGCCAGATCGGAGCTTGAAGGCGTAGTTGCCTCCGCTGCTGCTGGTAACTGTGGCCGCCGCCCAGGTTTCTGGCGTCTTGACCCACACCGTCGATCCCTGGTCGTGTGAGGTGCCAAAAAAAGCATCGAGAGCGGGGTCAACAGTGAGCGAGAGGGGACAAGAGGAGGAGACAAGAGGAGGAGTGAGAGAGAGCCACACTCTCATTCCGCAACCACCGTCGCTCGTCCGCAAGCAAGGCAGACTTGGCCCAGCCAAGCACGATCTGACAGGACAGCCATGAGCGCTGTGTCGCGATCTCTCGCTTGGATGAAGACAGACGAACAACGATTGGTAAAAAAGTGTAAAAAAAAAATAATAATAATAATAATGAAAAATAATAATAAAAATAATAACTGTTTTTTTGTTGGTTTTTTTGTTTTTTGTTTTTCAAAAGGACGAGCAATCTGTGCGTTGTTGGCAGACACCATATGACCGCGCTGTGGGGCTGTGCAGCAGAATGGCTGGCGTGCTCGGCGTGCGTGCTGCAGGGCGTTTTCACTGCGACGCTCATTCAATAACATCCCACATTGAACCAAACAAAAAAAAAAAAAAAAACGAAAAAGGCAGGAAAAACAAAAAAAAATCATAAAACGGAAAAAAAAAAAAAAACAAGGAGCACAAATCGACGATGCTGAACAAAGCCATCAGACGCCGTGCGTGGACAGCCACCCAAGAGTGCATGGTGTTTGCTCATGGGGCGCTCACGGGGCTCACAGAGGGGGGGGGCGGCGCAGGCAGCAGCAACCGAACGGCCCGCGCGATCAAACCGATGTAATATTACGATTAATTCAAAATGACCTCCCAGTAATGCAAAACCGCACTCAAACGCTGCAGGATTGCTGCACGGAGAAGGGGAAGGGGAAGGGGTGGCAGCAAAGCCACACAGACACTGAGATTCACAACAACACACGCCCCAAACGGGGACAGGGCGGAAAAAGGGGGCGGGGCGAAAGCGAGGCTGGAGCGACGGCGGTTTCAAAAATCAATAATAAATAAAAAATAAAAATAAAAAAAGCCCAATCTCAACCCAAACAAAAAAAAAAAAAAAAAAAAAAAAAAAGCCGCTGTTTTGCATTTGATTCTGAATTCTGATTCTGATTCTGATGCTGAAGACGAAAACGCACCGGTTCAAATGACGTTGCCATTTGTGAATGCGGAATGACCAAAAGAGAGTGAGGTTGACGCGACATCATCAGTGATCATCATTACTGGCAATGTCACTCTCGACAAGGAACAAGCCAGGAAAAGAACAAGAGATTGGAGATGTTGGATGCAAAATTGGAATCAAATTTCATTCAATAAAGCAACAAATCGCACGAACAGAAAAATCCAGTCTCAAAACACACAGTCAAACAAAACATCAAAAAAAAAAAACCTGAACGAGGATTTGGGAGCGGGGGAAGGGTCTGAAGTAACAAACGATCGAGAAAGCAAGCTCGCCCAAGCTCGACGAATGGGGGCTTGGGTGCTCTCGATTCAGGGCCGACGGTCGCAGCCAGGCTTTAGACAGCAGCAGCGGAGGCTTTGGCGCCACCACGGAGCTGCAGAGCGTTGAGAACAGTCAACGCAATCTTCAAAAAGAAGGACAGTCCAACATAAAAAAAAAAAAAAAAAAAAAAAAAAAAGGTGAGCAAAACGCTTCGTCCACACTTGTGCACTCCAAACTCCACCAAGAACAAGAAGAACATACCCAGACAATCAGGGCGACCCAGGCGGCACCCTCTGCGGTATGCATCTTGGTTGATTGGGACGAGATGGTCGTGCCAGAAACATCAACCTCGCTGTCGCAGTCAAAGTTGTCGCAGAGCGTCTTGGTGCCGTCGGTGATGAGAGCGGCAGCAGCGAGCCAGAGCACAACAGCAATGGCTGACAGACCCAGCTCCTTTTTCGTGTGTGTTGGTTTGGGTTGAACCGATTCAAAAAGTGAGCCAAACACAAAAGCAAACTTCTCCCAAACATAAAAACCACAGTTTCTCTTACAATCATCTGGAGGATGCGCATGGTCGAGCCCTTCACGGCAAAGACAATGCCGGCGATCAAGAACACGGCCGAGACGACCAAGTAGATGGCGCCTACGCTCCCAAATTGTCAAAAGTGAGTGAGATCATCACAAAATCACAAACAGCAAACACAAGAAACCAATGGTCTTGTACCAATGGCCAGCGCATAGTCGCAGGCTTCGCGCTCGCCGCCAGTCGCCGTCAGCTTGAGCGGGCATCCGATGTCCCTGGGCAGGTCCCATGCGTTGTAGGCAAGGTCGATGCTTGCGAGCACGATGATGGAGAGGAGCTGTGGGGTGAGACCGCAACGACAAGGATTGGTTGAGTGAGGTAGCACACAATGCGCAACCATGGTTTGAAATGGATTCAGAGCAGCGCCTTGCAAGAGACGCAGCAAAAACGACGGCGCATCCAAGCAGTGGCCAAGCAGCAGCGTAGTAGCAGCAGCACAGAAGGGGAGCAGAGGACCGGAGAGGAGAGGAGGAGGAGGAGAGGAGGAGGAGAGACGCAAATGGCGTCCTACCGAGCATCTGTGACGACACACGCTTCGCCCGCTTCAATTCCCCCCCCCCGCCTCAAACTCAACCCTCCCCCGCCAAGCACCCAAACACCCAGCCTCAGCATCAGCAGCATCAGCAGCAACGACGCCCTTCTCACAAAAAAAAAGTACGACCTTCGCTACGATTGTTTTTTGTTTGTTTGTTAAAAATAATCATCATAAAAATAACAATTGCGCGTTTTTCCCGCGCTCTGTGCTCTCTGCTCTGTGCTCGCAATGGCTCGCTTCCGAGTCTGCGATGCTGACACTGCATGAGTGTGAGGTATGAGCGTTCGAGTGGTGTGTGTGTGATTCACACTCAAACCGTACAAAGGCCACAGCGTAGAGCACAATCCGCGCAATCGACGAGACAGCAACCATTCTGTTCTAGTCAAATCAATAAAACAAAAACGACTGAAATTTGGGGGGGTTTTTTTGTTTTTTTATGCCGGTTTTCTTCCCAATCACCCAGTTTTGACGCGAAACTGCCGCGAATTCCGGCATGCAAACAGCTACAATGCGCACACTGCTGAACGCGAAATATCATTGGCTTCAATATTAAAGTAAATGCGAACGCCGGGCGGTCTTCCTGCAAACAACCAAACGCGTTGCGGAATTTGCATGCGAACTTGTCGGGTCTGCGGCTCCTGCTGGGTCGTTCTTTGCAAGACAAGGACATTGTTGTATTGTTCGTTGCTTTGTTTGTACTTTGATGTGCAGGAATATCGGGAAAAACAAGTTTGCTGCAATTCTCGAAAGTGGGATGGACTGTGAACAATTGGTCTTGCATATGCACACCAACACAACATGACGTAAATATATTTCGCATGCGCAAAGTGGCGTTCAATTGCAATGCATTGTTTCAATCACGAAACAAGATAAAATTGAGAAATGCTTTGAGAGAAAAGAAAAAAACCGGAGGCGAGGTTTCCGAGAAGGTCGCGGCTTCATTTTTTTTTTTTTTTTCCCAAACGACGCTTCATGATCGTGCCGTGCAAATTAGCGCCCATTCATTGTCAACAATAGCATCGGTCGAGGTCGCTAGTGAGGAATTTGTGTATTCTGGCGAACACCAGCTGCAGTTGCGCCCATTCATCGTCAACAATAGCATCGGTCGAGGTCGCTAGTGAGGAATTTGTGTATTCTGGCGAACACCAGCTGCAGTTGCGGCAACAACCACAACAACAACAACAACAACAACAACAACAACAAACAAACAACAAACAAAAAAAAAAAGGAAGATCCAAGTTTACTCTTCAGCAAATAGTCACGAGCGATGTGCCCCACCCTCGCATCGCATCGCATGTAATCGTCACATCAATAGATTCAATTCGTCCTTGTTACGGAGTGGAATGGCAGAGCTGGGGCACTTGAGCCTAGTCGCCTCGGAGGCCAGCGTGCAAATCCGCAAAGCTCGGGGTGTAAAACTCTGGTCGAATCGCGTTGCTGGTGGACTGCAGCGTTTCGAGGGATGTCACGCCTGCGGTTGGTCGATCGAGAGATTAAGACCGGAACGAAACTCTGCAAGCACACAACATTCAACCAAAATAACAATTTTGTTTTTTGACGTACCCGTCAGGACGAGCAATGTGTGCAAGTTTCCATTGAGACCAAATTGAATATCTGTATCGAGACTACAACATGCATGCAGCAGCGAAGGATTGTTAGACGTGAGCAAAATGTAGCAAAATCGACACATTATTCCAAAAAAACAAAAAGGATGCTTGTACCGGTCACCGACCATCACCGTCCTTGCAGGGTCATATCCGATTCTGCGAGTGACCAAGGAAGACATCTCTTGTGAGCGAGCAGGTATATCGGGAAGCTCGTTTTGAATCAGCACACATACGCAGTCTTAACACAATCCAGCATAAAGTGACTGGGCTTGCCCATCACAAGCGCGTTTGACCCATGGGCGACTTCAAGAGCCGAGACGATTGTGCCCGTTCCTGCGAAAAGAATCCCCCGATCGCAAAACAGACAGACAAACATCAAGCAGGGAAGATTGAGCTCGCCGACTCGCCCTCGACCACACACTGCCAGCAAAGACTGACTGAGCAGCAGCGTAAAAAAACGACAATACCTGGAAGTAGACGGCCTCCCTTGGCAGGAAACGTCGAGTCATGATTCGTGGCAATGAAGAGGCACCCAGGCTGTTGGATGTAAGTGTACGCTCTCGCCAGCTTGAAGTAATTGATGGCGGGGTCAAATCCAACCACCACAGCGCCAATCTAAATGCCAATGGACACACATCCACCAAGCAGGCCAAAAAGGGGGGTGAGGGTTTGGTCACTTGCCAAACACGCACAAGATACAACTTCAGGCATGCTTTTGATGCTTTTGCCTACCTCAGGATTGTCTTCCACGTAGCCTTGGTCAATAGAGGTCCATGGATTGACAGTGTCCTCCTAGATGGTCAAAACATGGATGCTCATCGTAATAAGATTGGGCAGTTCAATGCGGGGGGGGAGGGAGAGGAGGGAAGGCGTTTCGTTGGTACCTTGTAACCTCCGACATACTGAACGCCCACGCTCGTCAATTCATCAAGCAAACCTTGAGCACCAAGCACGTAAGCCTTTTTGTCAAATTTGATTTGACGCAGGTAGTCTGCCGCTGCGAAGGACGAGCCGAAAATGTCATTCTGTCCATTGCATTTGCCAAGTGAGCTGAATTGGGTCAACCAGACATCATACCACCAAACCGACAACGGGTATGTAGCTTGTGTTTTGAGGCATCGACAAAGCCCCTGAATGCCAGATAGATGAACGACGAGGACTTGGGCGACGAGTTATGAAACTCTGCGTGAGCTTACCACTGAGACATCCAGACCCAAGCTTGTGAATTTGGCCACATACATGGCTCTCGACTTGGAGCTGTTATTCGTGAGGAAGACGACGCGTTTTCCCTGTCCAGCGTGACCATGCGTGAGCAATCGAGTTGTTGAGCATGGCGACGAACGGCCGCTCCAGCAACCCCAGAACCCAGCACCACGAGTCCGTGGTCGGGACAAACTTTGATGGCCGAGTGTCTGAATCGGTCTCTGAAGCAGTCTCTGGACTGTGGGATCGCGCCCTTGTTCTCGAGTGCCACAATGCATTGTTCAGTTATGAGTGATGGATTGACCTACCGCTTGCTTGAGCGCCTGCAGCGTCTCCTTGACACCGGGAATCAGCTTGTCCGCCTGCCAGATGACTCCTGTGAATGTGCACGTTGCAGTAACACCGCGCGGACGGTCAGTAATCATGGACCACGAAAACTCAGATCACACTGCAAAACCCCAAGTGCCTTCAACCCTCACCGTCGCAGTCCAGGATGAACGTGTCGATCGACGCAATGTACGCCTTGAAATCGCCCAGCTGAGGCACGGGCGTCGCAGACATTGCGTTATTGCGTTATTGTGTTGAACGTTTGAGTGACGGTTTCGAGATTGAAACAAAAACACAAACAAAAGGACTGAGAGTTTTGATTGAGGGGGGTTTGGCAAGCTGAGGGTGTGGCCGTGCTGAGAAATCACACAATACTCAGAGCTTGCACATGGACGCTGAAACTCCAACGTCTCGGTTGGCGAGTGATCTGTTGTTGCAGCACTGGCCGCTTTTCCCCCCCCCCCAACCTCGTTGACAGCCTCACGCTGAAACTATTATGAAACTATTAGAATGAATGACAGCCGAAGCAACACGTTTCGTTGTCAGTCACTATTTGTCAACAGAATGGGAAACGAGCAAAGCAGAGCTCAAACTGACCAGGCAAACGCGCGAGTATGGCCTTGATTTTGCGTTTTATGCCCTTAGCGATACTGATGCATGCTCACTAAGCGCTCCTTCTCTCCCCTTTCTCTCCCTTGTTTCTTCTCTCTTTCTGCTGCTGCTGCTGCTGCTGCTGCTGCTGCTGCTGCTGCTGCCGCTGCCGCCCCGCTACTACTCAGCGCCCGGCTGGCGGACCGCGCGCAGGACCCACGCTCAGCCTCAAGCTCGCCATCCGCGGCGATCGCTGCACGGGCAAGTCGACCCTCTTCAAGCGCCTGCAGGGGCAGCCCTTCGATCCCGAGTACACTGAGACGGCGCAGATCCAGGTGAGAGCGACAAGCTCAACCAAAGCTCAGAGCTCCTCAGTCCAAAGTCTCAGAGTCTCAGAGTCTCAGAGTCTCAGAATCTCAAATCTCACTCATTCTCTCTTCATTCTCAACTTGCACTCCCCCTGTCCAGGTCTCCTCCATTCAGTGGAACTCCAAGCTGCTGCCAGATCCCATCGACGTCGAGGTCTGGGACGTCGTGGATCGCGCACAGGTCTCACAGGCAGAGGCTGCCAGACTCCAGCAAGGCGCCAAACTCAAATTTGCAGGCGGTCCGAGCGGCGACGCTGGTGCTTCAGCCGATCCAGCGACAGACAAGGATGCGACTGCTGCTGCTGCTGCTGCTGCTGCTGCTGCTGCTGCTGCTGCTGCTGGTTCCGACCCGAAAGACGCCCGCGCAGTGGACGTCTACCGCGGTTGCCACGGCGTCATTTTTTGCATGGACGTGACCAAAAAGTGGACGTACGACTATGTTCGACGTGAGCTCGCCAACGTCCCCAAGCAAATCCCCGTGCTCGTGCTCGGAAACATGCGCGACAAGATGGCAATCGCAGAGGCAGAGGCTGGCATGCCGCTCGTCGACACGCCTCCAGTTGATGGCGAGCCCCGCCGTTTCCCAAAGCTGGCAGCCTCGTTCCGCGGCAAATTTGTCGATGCTCAGGAGGTCCAAAGCTGGATTGAGCAGTTGAACGAGGAGGAAGAGCGCGTTGTGCTTTTCGCCGAGTCCAGCATGGTCAACGGATTTGGTTTGCGTTTTGCGCACTCGTTCATGAATTTGCCCTACCTTCAGTTGCAGGTAACTGGGCGACAGTGTGCAGCTGTTCCTGACATGGTATACTCATCCCCGATTCTTGGTTTGACTCGCTTTTTTTTGTTTGTTTGTTGCAGCGCGAAACGCTCGAGCGCAGGCTTGCTGACAATCGCAACGAATATTCAGGGGCGCTCGGCGACTTGGCTCGAATGAGCTCGTCTGAAGACTACTTTTACGACCGGTGAGTCATGCATGCAGTGCACCACCACCACCACCACCACCACCACCACCACCACCACCACCACCACCACCACCACCACCACCACCACCACCACCACCACCACCACCACCACCACCACCACCACCACCACCACCAAAAGGGAATCTAACATGCCTTCTTGCCTTGTGCTCGCAGATTCCTCAAAAAGATTGATCGCAAGCGCTCAGCACCTGCTGCTGAGGTCATTCCACCAGCCAACGCGACTGCACCAGTCGCTACTGCACCCGCAGCTCCACGAACAGAGCCTGTCAGCGCCCCAGTCCGAAAGCAATCGAGCGTGCAAGACGTTGCTCCAGTTGCTGCCAAGCCAGCTGAGCCTCAAGCCGCTCCACCCGCGAGCACACAGCCTCCTGCACCGCCAGAAGCTGGGAAAGGACGATTTGGTTTGGCATCCTTTGCCAAGCTACTCTCGCGTCGACCAACAGGTACCGTCATCTCATGTTGCTGTCCTTTGAGAGCGCGTTGAGAAACCCACTTTTGTTTCTGATTTTTCTTCACTTTTGAATTGTGCTCTTCAGAGTCAGACGAGTCCAGTGCGCCGTCAAGCCCAGGAGTCGCAGGCAAAGCTCAATCGCAGCCTCAGTCCAAGCCCGCTCCAAAAGTCGAACAGAAAATCACCGACGCCAACGAATTCGTCCCGTCTGAAGATCTGGATGACGCATTCTTTGGAGACGACGACCAAAAGAAGACCGCGACCAGCGGCGGTATTCTCTCCATGTTTGGTCGCAACAAACAGCAGGCTGCTGCAGCGGCACCAGCAGCAGCTGCACCCGTTGCGAACGCAGCGCCTCGCGCCGACGACTCTGATGACGACGATCTCCCGGCCGCGGCCATTACCAATCGCAAAAAGAAAAAGTCTGTGGTTGCCAAGGACCAAGATCTCTCTGACAGCGATGCTGACGGCACGCCTGCCAAAAAGCCCGCCGGCAAGGTCCAGCAGCAGCCTGCTGATTCTGACTCGGACGACAACCCAGCGCCCGCCGCCGCGTCGAGCACCTCGGTTGCTGCGGCCAGCGATGACGACGATGATGACTTACCCGCGGCCGCCGTCACACTGAAGAAGAAGGCCGCAGCTGGAGGCAAAAAGGCTGCGGGCAAGAAGGGTCGACCAATCATTACCGAAGAGTCGACCGATTCCGAGCCAGAGGTTGTTGTTGTTGCCAAGGCCGCTCCTGTGGCACCAGTCGCCAAAGCCCAGATGTCGACCGGGCCGCGGCAGCCCGACTTTGTGAGTGCACACGACTTTGACGATGACGATGACGATGCACCTCGTCCAGCGCCGCCGCCGCCAGCAAAGCAAGCCACACCTTCGTCACCCCAGGTCAAGGCTGCAAGCGCAGCGCTCGCGGCCCCCGTCAGCAGCAGTCCGAGCGTCCAAGCCCTCCCGCTGACGTTCGATCTGCCAAAGCTCATCATTCGTGACAAGAATGCGCCGCCGTCCGATGATTCCGACTCGGATGACGACAAGCCAAATCCTCTCGTCAAGGCCAAGGTCAAGGCTGTGGTCAAGCAACCTGTGGTCAAGAAGACCACCTCGTCGTTCTATTCGGATGACGACGACGCACCGCCAGTTGTCACCAAAGGCAAAGCCTCGAAGAAAGCCCGAAAGGATTCCAGCAGCAGCGACAGCGATAGCGACTCGCCTGCAGCCAAGCAAAAGGCAAAGAAGGCAGCCGCCGCCCTTGTCGACGATCCGTTTGATCTCGATATCGGCGACGTTGTCGCACAGGCTGCCGCGTATAGCAGCAACCCCAATGGCCAAATTCTCATCACGCCCGTCCCGACGCATCGTGTGGTCGCCTCTGCCGCACCTCCAGCGTCATCCAAGGCGTCAGACGACAGTCCGAAGAAAAAAAAGGCGGCGTCCAGCAAGCCTGCTGAAGCCGACAGCGATGACGACGACAGTGACGCTGAGGTGAAGAAGAAGAAGAAGAAAGCAGCCAAGGTCAAGACGGCTCCTGTTGACAATGACAGTGATGAAGAGAAGAAGCCGCGCAAGAAGAAGTCTGTTGTGAAGGTTAGGGTTTTTGTCGCGCAGAGTTGATATAATTGGGGTTGCAATTCCATTTGAATTTGGATTGAGAGAGGTATGCTGATCATTTTTCGTTTGGCCTTTGTCACACATACTTTGATCTGCAGCAGGCTGCAGACGATGAGGCGCCGGCGAAATCGACCAAAAGCACGAAATCGGCGGACGGCACCGCCAAGAAGAAGAAGAAGAAGACTGAGAAAACGGACGACGAGCCTGCAGCGAGCAAACCGCGCAAAAAGTCCTCGGCGGTTGTTGTCGACGATGACAGCGATTGAGCCATTGTCTGAAAAGCAACCAATGAGAGTCATGTTTGTTTGATTTTGTTGGCTCGTTTGATTTGCAATGAGACACATTTCAATTCTCCAGTCAAAAGGGGCAACGAAACGACATGCTCTGTCCTGTTTTTTTACCCACGAATTGGCCGGGTTACAGCATGCTGGCGGTTTGCGTTCCTGCCCCGACGGAGGATTTCTCCAGGAAGCGGTGCGCAGCGGCAGCTACATTTTGGGGGTTTGTCAGATGCACATGATGGTCACCTTCCACGTCCACGAATTCGAAATCGCTCGTGCTTTTGGAAAGCACATCCACGCAGCCCTGGAAGTAGTCGACAGGGAACGGCCATCCGCCTTTGGCTCTGGATTGGAGGCAAGACCAGAGTCGAGTGATCAGACAATCTCGTCATGTTGTTCACAACGAGGCGCCAGAGGTGACTCACCGAATGATCATGGTCGGAGCAACAACGCGGCCCAAAAACGCATGGAACTGCTTCACGTTGATTCGCTGAAGAGAATTGGCGCGAAGGAATGGGTCGTGATTGAATTTGGTCGTTCCGTCGCTATTGGTTGTCATTCCACGAGCAGCCAGGCATTGAACGGCTTCTTCTGTCAGAGCTTTGTTGTTTTCGCGCATTCTGGCAAATCGGTTTCAAGGAGATCAGCCACAAAGCAGCGCCCAAGCAACCAACAAAGCCATCCAGGAGCTTGCGAAACTCATGAATGCATCAGACCATGACACATCATGAATGCATCAGACCATAAAACATCAGGCTCAATCTGAAGGATGTCTACAAGCGTACTTTGCGATGGCAGCACTGGCAGAGTCATACGGCTTTCCAGGTTTTCCCAGCAGCGCAGCGTTCGACTCGATACCGGCACGCAAATGCTCTGGTGCTGATTCATCGGTGCCCGGGAACGGCGCAAGACCCTGCCGATGCGCATCAGCAACCAACGAGGTGGGTCAAATGCATGGCACCAACGACAAGCGTTCAGCAACTATTTACCTCGATCAAAAGCAAACGCTCCACCATTTCGGGGAACGTTCCCGCAAACATGGCGCCAATTGCTGCACCTGAGTATTTTGTTTTTCAATTGTTGCAAACAAAATTACCCATTGAGCTTCAGCAGTTCACTGGTGGCCAATTGCAGCCAATTGTCGTTACCATTGCTGTGACCCATGTACGTAAACCTTGTCCAACCCAGCGCGTCCACGATGCGTTTCACGTCCTGAACGTAATCGACCATCAAGTAGGTGGCTTTCTTGTGGTACGAAAGACCGTGGCCTGGGAGATCGACCGCAACCAGCTGAATGTCTGCCGTGGCGCAGCAGACATTCACAATTTCAAATCTTGGTGTACGACTGAACATTGTCACGGCCGCCAAAACCAAACTTTCTGAGCAAGCACGCCACTCTCACCTGATGGGAGATACGGAGCCAGACGATCAAACGTCCCCGCGTTGTCCATCCACCCTAAATCCAAGTTGCCCAAATTATTACCACCAAGGGTGAGTTTCCTCTGGTCGAACCTTCCATCCATGCGCTCCTCCATTTCTGTAATTTCTTCAGCCATTATCGGATCAAGCCACCGAAGGACTCGGCGCTTCGGATTCTGCCGTCTCGGATGTCGAGCACGCAGCGTTCGCGGCAGAAGGGAACAATTTCAAAAATTCGCCGCCGCTCCCGCTCTCTGCTTGGTTTTATTCGCTCACCGTGCACGCCGAGCACTCGCTTCCCAGTCACAGGACCCCACGCTTTGCCGTAGACCGTGCCCAGTCCGCCGCGCAGGGGCAGCGAGAACTGTCGGGCGATCGCGCCTGCTGCGTGCTGTCCCACCAATGCTGCAGCCATTGGCTTGGAATTGGCTTGGAATTAGGTAGACTGAGCGGAAAGCGGCCTCGTCCAATTTCGACGAGGGTGAAGCCACAATGCACTGTACACACACGTAAGACAATCCAGAGCCAAAAAAAAGCAAGCAAACAAAAAAAAAATCATAAGTTACTGTATGATCAGAGATCGCTCTACCAAGATCTAAGAGCAATAGACTTCACTTTTACAAAGCGATGAGGGAAGACACTCCAAATACAGATACAGACACACAAACATCCACAACAGATTACAGACCTGGAACCCAAAGAATTCAGGCAAGTTGTTCTGGCAGAGTCCCACTCGACCCTCAAGCCAGCACAAAATCACACAAACCAACACACGCTCAATGTCACGACGAGAGCCGCGAGCGTTTCAACTCTTCTCGAGGACGCAGGTCGGTTGTATCGCCATTGTGGGAAGAAACATTGCCAGCCGGTACATCCACCAGAGCGAGCACAGAATCGTCAAGATCGTCATCAGCCAGATCAAATTCGTCGTCGAGCACCAAAGCTTGGCGAGGTGCTGCTTGATGAAGAGGCGCAAGGGCCGCGGGTGTGGAATGATCCGTTCGGCTTTCCGCCATCAATGCTTGAGCCGCTCCCATCAGCGAAGATTGCCCACTGGTTCCCGTGCTAAACGCCGACCTAGGTTGAACATGTGGTCCCGTTGGTACTGAAGCGGGTGACCCTGCGGCTGCTGTGGCAAACAGCGAGGATTGGCCGGACGGGCGCGTGGTTGGAGTGTGAGGCACAGCGGGGTTTGCAGCTGGTGGCGGTGGTTGAGGATGCTGCTGCTGCTGCTGCTGCTGTGGAAGTGCAGGGCGCTGCTGAACGAGCGATGCCTGGGGTGGGCGAGCTGGCGAAGATGGAGGCTGCGGCACCGTCGGACGCGGATGCGGAGCAGTGAATGGCCGCGCTGCCTGCTGGTGCAATGCGGACGCCTCTCGGGCACCACCTGTTTGTTGTGTTATTGCTTTACGCTGAGCATTTTGCTGCTGCTGCTGCTGCTGCTGTTGTTTTTGCCGGCTCGCTTGCTGAAGCTGCTGCCGTTCACGTTCTTGTCGTTGGCGTTGCTGGTCGGCTTCCGTGCGTTCCAGCTCTGCCTTTGCAGCTCGCGCAACGTCAAACAACCCTTGTAGAATTCCATTCCATATTGCCGGCTCCACAAATCTGTCATTTCCCGGTGGTTTCTACTCCAAGCGAGTCACGTCAGGCACGCAACCCACAAAACAACAACAAGTCCAGGCATGCACAACATTCAACCCACCTTGCCATCTTGCGATGGATAGTCGCGTTCCGAGCAGAATATCCGGACAATATTCTTAAGTGTTACGTTCAAGTGTTGTGTTCGAGGCGTTGGACTAAAAACCGATACCTAAAACGACAAAAAGGAGCGTGCGTGTGTGTCGTGAGCACTGTTGCTCGCCAATGCATGCCAATACACTCAATACACTCGATCTTACATCTTTTAATATCAAAACCGCTCCAGCGCTTATCAAGGAGCCGAATTCTTCGAGAACTTTGTGGTGAATTGTGCCGGACATTTCGCCTAACGAATGAAATAGGGTGAGCAGCTGTCATACACAAGGCCGACACATGCAACACTTTCATCGATATTGGTACCTGTGGGATCCTTGAGGGTCACGCTGGCATCTACGTCGAGCGGATTGTAATTTTTAAGCAGGACAACTAGGAAGGGGATTTTGTGATCGTAACCAAACCGTTTGGCAAACTGCAAGTTAAAGTCTGCTGTTAACTCGTAGTACTCAGAAGCTGAGTGCGGGCGATAAGAAAGCAACAAAAACAAGAACAGAGGAATCGGAATGAGTTTGCAACCATCGATCACAAAGGTCAAACTCACGCCGTTACTCTCACCTGATTCGGCAGACTCGCAGAGCATGGTCTGCCAAGCCCCTCGAGTAAACTCGTCGTCCTCGGCAGCAAGTTGTTGCGAGGAAGGCATTGCTTGGGAGAGCGTGAATGCTTGTGTGCTTGGGAGCTCGATGCCGGGTTTTCCGGCTTGGCCCAAGCGGCGATCCGCCTGGTCGGGTCCATTTCCACCGGCTTCTGACGCGTCGCTGCTATGCTGATAGCGCAAGACGACGACTGCGTCTGACAGCACCTGGTTGTTGCGCTGCGCCCAAGTGTCGAGTTCCACCAAAACAGACAAAACCGTCGTCGATGAGTGTCTATGAAACAATGAAACGCGATCGGTACCATCTCCGTCTCCATGACTGTCTTCAGGGTTGCTTACCAGCGGGGGCAACTGGCCTGCAGGACCTGGGAATCTCCTCACTGTGACTGCCTTTGGTGCAGCAACAGAAGCAGCAGCGGATGGCATTGGCGCCATCGCAGTAGCCGCATTGTGTGCACTCGCGTGGTTGCCGCTACTGGCACTGGCACTGGCACTGGTGGCGGCGGCGGTCGCGGGCTTGCTGCTGCTGGTGGGCTGGCTCGGTGCTTGCAACATCTGCCTTGGCTGGCTCCAAGCATGGCGCTGCTGCTGCTGCGGCTCTGGCATGGGCACTGCGTCTGATCTCGCGTTCACTCGTGCAGTCATCTGCGCTCCACTCTGAGCGGCGGCTGTGCCAGTGGTAGGAGTCGCAGTAGCAGCGATAGGAGTCGTTGAAGCGGTTTTGGCGGGAAAGTGGATGAATGCGGATTCAGTTGCAGCAGCAGCAGCAGCAGCAGCAGCGGGCTCTGGATGTGTGTTCAGAGCAGCAGCAGCATGATGATGCCGTGGTGTTGTTGTGCTAGTCGCACTGAGCTGGACGACGGCTGCATCGAACGCGTCGTCAATCTCGAGCAGATCGACCTCGTCCGCATTGTCATCATCCATTGCGCAGCACAGCTTCAAAAGCAAAAAAAAAAAGCAAAGAATCAAAAAGAAGAAGAAGACGAAGAAGAAGAAGCGATTTGCTGGAGTGAGTGAGTGAGTGAGTGAGTGAGTGAGTGAGTATGCTTGGAACTTGAGTGAAGTGAAGTGAGGACTGACTGGCGCCAATGCAATGCAATGTTAGTCCAGTCAATGTAGAGCTCACATGTACATTGCATGAGATTGTGGACTCGAAATCAACCCCCACACAAACAAACAAACACCTTGGCTGCTTCTTGCTTGGTACAGCAGTTGACTGGTCCGCACAGTGTCTATTCGCTGATGTTGATCTCTGCATCACTTGCAATGACATGTTGGTTTTGCTTCACTCTTTTTTCTATTTTTGTTGTTGCTGTTTTTCACTTCTGAGCTTTTGTCTGAGCTTTTGTCTGAGCTTTCTATTGTCATCCCTCGCCAACGCACTCTTCTTCCTGCTCGTCGTCGCTTCCGTCGTCGCTTCCTTCGTCGCCGTCGAATAGAACCATCATCTTGCAAATCCAAATCATGTCGATGACTGTGCAGAAGCGGCTGATGCGCGAGCTCGCTGAGGTTGAGCGCAATGCAGCTGCAGAGTTTGACCTCGGCTCGAGCGAAGACAACCTGCTCGTCTGGACGGCCGTCCTGCGACCACCAGCGCCGTCCCTCTACCAAGGCAAGTGCTCAATTCGCTTGCAGGTGCATTGGCGGTTTGGGGAAAGGCGTGTGTGTGGGCATAGCGGAGCTCCGGCTTCCACCTACATTGAAAGCTCACTCGAAAACATGCTCGTATACCCACCGCACTCTGACCTTGCACAATGCCTCATTCATTGGACTTGTCGTGCATTGAATATTCGGGATTTTGTTTTGACTTTCTTCCCCCCTTCAGGCGGCGTCTTCCACGTCTCGATTCGCGTCCCAAACACGTACCCAATGACACCGCCCGCTGTCAAGTTCTCAACGCGCATCTGCCACCCGAATATTCACTGGAAGGTGAGATACCTAGCACAAGCTTACTTACCGTCTATTTGCTTGCGGGCTGTCGGATGAGGCATTTTGTGATTTTCGTACTCACTCACTTCTCGCTCAACTGCTCCAATGTGCATTTTTGCTCCTTCTGCTGTCAAAGTCGGGCGACGTGTGCCTGGATATTCTCAAGACTGCGTGGAGCCCCGCTTGGACACTGCGAACACTGTGTCTGGCCTTGTTGGTGCTTTTGGACAATCCTGAGGTGGACAGTCCGCTGAACTGCGACGCCGGCAACCTGCTTCGCTGCGGCGACAAGCGCGGCTACAAATCCCTCGTCACCATGCTGACTGCACTGCACGCAACGCCAGCAAGTGCGTCGTCCTCCCCAAATTAGCGGGTTGTTGAAATGGACTGTTTTTGTTTGTGTTGCAGGAGTGTTTTCCTTCATGTTGTCGATATGCCCGTCTGTCTGTGTGTGTGTCTCTGTGTGTGTGTGTCTCTCTCTCTCTGTCGTTGTATGCTGTTCTATGCTGATGCTAATATAACCTCCCTTCCACACCAAAGCTGCACCTCAGACAAGTGGAAACTCGATTTGCTGATTTCAAACAAACTAGCTCTTGCATGGCTCGTTCGACTACCTGTGACTTTTAATACGAGTCGATTGCTTTCTCACTCGCTTTTGATTCGCTTTTTTTTTTTTTTTTTCCCCTTTCATTCCCAGTTGTTCTGAGATTCGTCGTATTCAGCTCAGTCCATTCAATCTTGATCCAATACACAGCAAACCCAAGCCATGGCCTCCTTCCACAACGGCAACCATTTCACCAACAACCGCGCCAACAACAACAACAACAACAACAGCGATGATGATGACGACGACAGCGGGTCGGACGACGACCATCACCATCACCGTCAGTATCCTCACAGCAGCGAGAGCAACAACAACGGCCATGTCGCGCACCACCTCAACTTTGGACCCGTCGGAGCAGCGAGCTCCAGCTCTAGTAGCAGTGATGCCCAGTCGCAGCCACAGAGTCAGCCACAGAGCCAGCCGCAGCCGCAGTCGCAGCCCGTCGCGCTCACGGCGTACCAGCAGCAGATGCAGTTGCAGTACCAGCAGCTGCTCCACCAGCAGCAGCAGCAGCAGCAGCAGGCGCGCTCCATCCAGCAGCCCCTCGCAGGCAGCAGTGGCAGCCAGCTGTGGAGCCCCAGCCAGACCGGCATGGGCATGGGCATGGGCATGGCAGGCCAGCACAGCCCAGCAGCAGCAATCTCGTCGTCCGCGTTCGCCCAGCTGCGGTCGCCGTCCCTCACGCAGTCCCCGCGCCTGGCCAGGCACCTGTCGTCCACCCGAGTCATGCGCGCTGGCCTCGGTGGTGGTGGTGGTGCCAGCGGTGCCAGTGGTGCCAATACGAGCGCGTCCGACTACGCAGACTCTGATTCTGCTGCTGCTGCGTCTGCCGCTCACGACTCGATCACCAGCGACGAGCCAAACCTGCTCTTCCACCAGATGACGGCCTCGCAGATCTTGTACGTCCCCAAGCGCAAGCAACCAAAGCTCGTCGGAAAATACATTCTGGGCGACGTGCTGGGAGAAGGTGAGTGTCTCAGAAAAAACAAAAAATCTGAGATTGACAATTTAGGGAGGGGAGGCGAGGGGGGGGGGAAACAGGAACTCTGAGAAGTGTGTGAAATCTGATGAGGGCTACTACGACGTGTATTGGGACCTTGACGTCTTGGAACAGGATCGTACGGAAAAGTAAAGGAAGGCATCGACTCGGAAACGCTGCGTCGCGTCGCCGTCAAGATTATGAAGCGGAAAAAGTTGCGCAAGATTCCCAACGGAGAGGCGAACGTCAAGCGGTAAGAGCAGCGTCGTCGCTTGTTCACTGTGCATCTGGACGACTTATACAATTCATCGGAAAACAAAAAAAAAAAAAAAACCTGCTCAAAACTCAGGGAAATCTCACTGCTCAAACGCCTCAAGCATCGCAATGTCATCGAGCTGATCGACGTCCTGTTCAACGAGGAGAAGCAGAAAATGTACATGATTTTGGAGTACTGCACAGGCGGGCTCCAGGAAATGCTCGACCAGACCGAGACCCACAAATTCCCCGCGTGGCAAGCGCACGAGTACTTTAAGCAGCTCGTCGAAGGGCTCGAGTACCTGCACTCGCAGGGAGTTGTTCACCGCGACATCAAGCCAGGCAACGTTCTGCTGACGCTCGATGGCGTGCTCAAAATTTCCGATTTTGGCGTTGCCGAGGTCAGTGGTGGTGGTTTTTGTGCCTTGCCATCCCAGTTGTGACGACCAAGATGGCTGACCAACCGCTTTTTGAACCTTGTGTTTGGCGCAGGTGTTGGACATGTTTGATGCGTCGGATGCTTGCACGAGCAGCTCTGGCTCGCCAGCATTTCAACCACCCGAAATTGCAAACGGCTCGGAAGTCTTCTCGGGCTTCAAAGTGGATATCTGGGCGAGTGGCGTGACCTTGTAAGCTTGCTGAGTTGTACTTTTCCCATGTCACGGTTGGAGGCTTTGATTTCCAACGTGATTTCTTGTGAACAGGTTCAATATCACGACAGGAAAGTATCCTTTTGAAGGCGAGAATATTTACAATCTCTTTGAAAACATTGGCAAGGGCGTGTACTCGATTCCTGCCGATACCGATCCTCTGTTGGGGGATTTGATAAAAGGTCGGTATTCCTTTCGTCAAGGATCGTTGCATTTTGTTTTCTGCATGTTGACTAACAAAGAGTCGAATTTATTCTGTGTCGGCTTTTTTTTTTGTGTGTGTGGTCAGGCGTTCTGGACGTGGATGAAAAGAAGCGATTCACGTTGCCAAGCATTATGCACCACCCGTACGTTTTGAACGTTTTCTTTTGTTGTGACGTTTCGCGTCTCTCTCTCTCTCTCGTGTTGCATATGCTCAGTTTCCATCCCATGCCCTTCTATCAGATGGATGCAAATGGACCACCCTCGCGCCGGGCTGCCGCCCGTGCCCATCCCGCCCACTCCTCAAGGCGACGAATTCCGAAGCACTTCAATCCTGACCTACTTGGAAAGCATGTACATAAGCCAACTTGATCCTGGCGCTGAAGCGATGAATCAGAGCAGTAAGCGAGATCTGGAACGTTCTGTGGTCTTCTTGGTGCACTTGTGGCTAAGCTGTTCACGATTCTCTAGTGGCACATCTGTACATGACCGAGGCACGGCAGCAGGAACTGCAACACTCTGCAGACATGCACGACGATATTGTCGAGAATCCTCGAGGCTCGCATGCGTCCGCCGCGTTATCTGCATCGAACGACAGCCCGGTAAGTGGACTTGTGTGGAAATTCCAGCTCCGGTCAATCATCCTTGACTTACAGTTGTGTTTTTTTGGCTTTTCGCTCTGCATTTGGATAGTCCCAACGGATGAATGTGAAGCGGTTTTCGTTGAAGCAAGCTGGCAAGTGCACACAGCAGTAGTGGTTGTTGTTCTCAACATTGTTATGAGCGTTTCGGTTTTTTGATGATGTTTTTGTTTTTGAGCAGTGCTGCGTTTCTCTAAGTAAAATGCTTTTCTTGGTTTTATCCTGTCCAAGCGGTTGTGCGTGTTGTTTGAGTGTTATCTATCGCATCAGTTCGTTGAGCTCTGAGCGGTTGAGTGCCTCACTCCTTGTTTTGGTTTGTTTGTTTATCAAAACTCTCCAAAAACCTCAGACCTGCACTCAACTTTGCCTTTTGACTGCCGAGGTCGAGTCTGAGCGCGTTGTTGCTTTTTTTCAAAATCGCACTCTGCACTCTGGATTGTGTGACTGTCGGGATATCGGTCGCGAACGAGCAGCCGGGCAATCGGACGTCCGCACAGCGTATCGCGCATCATTCGCTCACATTGCAATGCCAGCATCATCAGCCATGGCAGACAGCATCATTGAAGCGACGTCCCCTTCGTCGTATTCCGAGCTGACTGCCACTGAGCAGAGTGAGCCGAGTGAGCAGAGTGAGCAGCAGAGTGAGTCAGCGTCGGCGTTACGTCCCACGCTGGTCAGCCGCAAGCACTCGTCGACCGCGAGCACAACCGACGCACAACCATCATCATCATCATCATCATCATCATCATCATCATCAACAGCTTCATCAACAGCTTCAGCTTCAGCAGTGTTCATGGACCAGACCATCGGAGCGGCGACCAACCACGACACGGCGACCCCACACGAGCCAGGCGACGACCGCGGCGACAGCCTCGGCGACCACGCTGCCGGCGCAATCGTGACCACCCGGCCAACGGATTGTCCAAGCAATCCCACCAGGGACAGCCCGCCGCTGGACGCGAGCGCGGTGCTGCCTCGACCGCTCGGTGCCGGTGCCAGTGCCGCTCAAGCGCCAGCAACGCCAGTCAGTCCGAACATGGGCCAACCAGCCGTCCCTGCAAATGCTCAAGTGCTTCATACTACCAAGATGAGCGAGGCTGTGTGGCAGCAGCCGTTTGTCGCGACGCCGCCAAATCACTCGCCACTGACCAAGTTACACGCTGTGCACGAGCCGGTGCCGCCAGTGCAACCATTGTCAGGAAGATCGTCGCCATCCTCAAGTGCTCGTACTGGAGTATTACCACGACAGGCATCATCGTCATCATCACCATCATCATCATCATCGGACGTCGAGCAGCAACCCAAAGCAACAACCCCCTCACCATCCTCAAGACTGCGCATCGACCATCGAATGTGGCTGCAACGCGCAGAGATGGCCGAGCACGAGCGTCTGGAACGCCAGCGAAGGCAGCTGTCGTTTGTTGGGCGCACGCTGCTGGTCAAGGAGCGGCTCATGATCACCCGCATCGACTCGTCCATCCGCAAGAACATTCCGTTCAACACCCGCATCGCCGCCGTCCGTGCGGTGACGTCGACGCGCTTTGGCCGGGTGCATCATTCCTACGTCATCTCTGTCCAGAGCGAGTTTGGCGTTTGGCACGTCGCTCGGCGCTACTCTGAATTCCGGGTTCTGTACAACCACATTAGCGTGGCCCATCCCGAGCTCAATCTTCCCGAATTCCCCGCCAAGAGCCTGTGGGGCTCTCGCTCGGAGGCTGTTGTGGAGCAGCGGCGCACCGACTTTGAAGCGCTCCTCAGCGTCTTGATATTCTCGTCCGCGGCCATGCAGGACGAAGCCTTCTGGCGCTTCCTCGATGTGAATCCGCTGTTCTGCATGGTTGACGGCAAAACCTACAGCGAGCTGACTGAGGTTGCTTGTGACAAGTCCTTCGACCAGATCGACGATCGGCTGCTCGACAATGGTGGCGCCAACTTGCCTGCCTTCCCTCCGACGCACTCCCAATCGGCGTCTGAAATCCCAACGTTCCTCGCCAGCAATGGGCCTGGATCACCCGTCTTCTCCACTGCGACAGACCCAGATTCAGAGCGCGGTGCGGTCTCACGAGAGCTGTTGCACGTTGCGAGCGTCGATGGACCGCCTTCCTCCAACCGTTCAGGGACTTTGGCATCCGCCACAACCACCCACACCAAATGGATTGAGCTCAGTCATGAACAAGTCGCGTGCATTGATGCCACGCGAAATGCTCGGCTTCTCGTTTCGTTTGTCGACATGCTCTGTGCGGCCGCCGCGGCCTTGACTGTCTCACTCCCTGGCGACGAGGACGGGAATCCAGTTGGCTTGGCGACCGAGGAGAATGAGACTGCAGAGTACTTTGTGGTGGAGCCCGATGCAACAGACTCGGCTGCTGCTTCTAACAAGGTTGATTCTTCCAACGACAACGACGAGCATGGAGGCGAGCCATTGGACGCTCGCTCGCTCCTCTCAGCAGACATTTATTCTGCCGACGAGGAGGGATCGTCAAGCTTTGATGGCTATGTCGGCATGACGACTGCCGAGAACGAACCCCTGCCGCCTCTGCAAGAGTTTGCAATGACGCTGCTGGGAAGCAACGAGTCTCAAATCTCGCTCATGACAGTCACGCTGGCGTACGTCTACCTCTGCCGCTTGCGAGATCGAGTCCATCGAGGCCAAATCCAACGCATACAAGCTTCGCCACATCTCGCCCTCCTGGTCGCCCTCGCTCTGGCCAGCAAAATGTATGAAGACATCTCCCTTCCCGTGTGCAACTACTGGTTTTTGCCCGAGCATGTTTGCGCCATGGAGCGCTTGATTCTGGTCCTGTTCTCGTTCAACCTTTACGTTTCGCCGCGCGACTATGCCGAGGCCGCGTTGACCGTCGAGAAGCGCGTAACGCAACTGTCGCAAGGAGCCAACTTCCAACCGCGTCCGGCACAGTACACTCATTTGGTGCGAAAGAGCGCGCCGAGCTCCCCGGCCATTCAACCCGCTCGGCTTCCCGCCAGCAGCAGTACACCCAACGATTTGAGTATTTAAGCCAGCAGTGTGGTTGTGCTTGATTCTGCGAGAGTGGCTTCAAAAGCAAGCTTGACGTGAAAAATCCATTGCCTTTTGCCACTATTGTCGTCCGTTTCCCCCCCCCCCCGCTCGTCCGCTGCTGCATTATTTTGCGTTTGTTTTTTGTCAATCTTAATAGTAACGAATCGATTCTTTCTTTGTTTGTCTTTTGCTTCAGTCATTGTTCTCGCTGCAAAACTCATTCACTCGCTTATGAATCCGGCTTACAAGGAGCACAAGCAGGCGCAGCGGCAGACGGTCGATGCGTGGTTTGACTATGCCGACTACAAGATTGGCGAAGGCACTTACGGTGTTGTATACAAGGCCAGGAAGAAGATCGTGTACGTGGAGCAGCAGCAAGACGCAGCAGCAGAGTGGTGAAGCGACGGGAGTTTGGCTGAACGCGACCGAGTCGGAGGCAAACGACACAACTTTGAAACTTGCTCAGAAGGGCTTCTGAGTGATGTGGGTGCTAGAGCGGCGGGGCGATGAGCGTCGAGGGGCCGGGGGGCGACCAGGGCGAGTTCTCAATGCAAATCCCATACAACGTCAACCATGGCTCACCAGCATCCCTGTCTGTCATCGTGCATGTCAAATATCTGAATCAGAGATCCTCATACAACTCCAATTCCGTATGCGCTCAAGAAAATCAAGGCGACAGTGCAGACGGAAGGACTATCAACGTCAGCGTGCCGCGAGATTTCGGTAACCAACCTCGAAGATTGGATGTGTGAATGTATACAAGTGCATGTATACGAGTGCGTGCGATCTGGAGTGGATGATCTCGACCAACTGAACAGTCCCGAGTCAATCAATCCAGCCAGTTGCAGGATTACTTTGGAACGTGCCGCCCAGCTCACGTCTCTGACCTTGTCACCTGTTGATCATTACAGCTGCTGCGAGAAATCAAACACGAGAACGTCATCTGCGCGCCTGAAATTTTCCTGAATCCGTTGACGCGCGACGTTTGGCTCCTGTTCGACTATGCAGAATACGATCTTTATGTCCGTCGCTAGTCTCTTTTTTTGTTTCACCGTTTGTCTGTTGTCCGAAATGCTCTCTCTCACTGTCTCTAGTCTTACTCTTCGCTCATGTTTGCAGCAAATTATCGAGTATTATCGCGATCGCAAAGGCCAGGCAAACGCTGCCGCTCAACAAACGCAAACACCGCCACAGCCCGTGTTCTTGGAAGAGCACATGATCAAATCACTGCTATGGCAGTCCCTCAATGGAATTCATTACTTGCATTCGAATTGGATATTGCATCGAGATTTGGTACGGCTGTCTTCTTTGGTTGACGTTGCATGCTGTTGCCAAAGTCGCCGACCGTTTGTCTACATTTGCCGTGGCGCAGAAACCCGCAAACATTCTAGTCATGGGTGCCGGGAAGGAGCATGGGCGAGTCAAGATTGGTAAAGGCGGATGAGCTTGTTCCTTTGATTCATGAACGATTCGTTGCTTATTGTAATCGACTGTTTTTTTTTTTTTTTTGTTTTTCCTTGAACGGATTCTTGCAGGTGATCTGGGCATGGCTCGTCTCTTCCAGTCTCCTCTCAGAAACCTGGCTGATGTGGATCCTGTTGTCGTCACCATCTGGTACCGCGCTCCAGAGCTTCTTTTGGGCGCAAAGCACTACACCAAAGCCATCGGTAAAGATGATGGTTGTTTTTGTTCGCAGCCGCATTTTGTCCGTCCTTTGTGATTGGAACGTTCCTGTTGGCTCAAATTACCTGAATCGTTTTTTTTCTTTTGTGCTCAGATATGTGGGCGATCGGGTGCATATTCGGAGAACTCATTACGGCCAGACCGATTTTTCTTGGAGAGCAAATCACCACCAAGCAAACCAAAACCCCATTCCAAGGCGATCAACTGGACAAGATTTTCCAAGTGCTCGGCTTTCCCAATGGTATGCGCTTCTTCAGCTTCCAATGTCTATCAGGACCAGTGCTCACAAACCGTTGTGTGTAATTTACAGAAAAGGACTGGCCCGAGTTGTCCAGCCTTCCTGACCATCCTATTCTGATGCAGAACTTTTTAAACAAGCAGCTGTGCGTTTAAAATCCAGCTATGCTGTCCCCTTCTCCCTGTGGTTGATTTGCTTTGAGCTGTTTTTGTTGGTTTTTCTACTTTGGTGCTTCTCGCTGCGTTCTGGCTGACTCTATTTGCGGAACTGCCTGTATTTTCCCCCGTAGTTACGACAAGTGCAGCATTGAACACTACTTTCGTGGCTACATGAAGATGCAACGTGGTCCTCTCTCTCCGGCTGGTCTCGGACTGTTGAGCGAGATGTTGACCATGGATCCGAACAAGCGCATCACCGCCGAAGCCGCCCTTCGCTCCAATTACTTTAAGGAGTCGCCCACACCGAGCGCCAAGTACGTCAGCATTTCCTCTGCTTGCGTTCATTTTTTTTTTTTTTTTTTTGATTGTCCTGATTTTCTGACTTTGGTTGGGGGAAAACCTTAGCGCGTTCGAGCACCTCAAATTCTCATTTCCGCCTCGAAGTCCAATTCGCGAAGACAAAGACAAGAACAACAGGCCCAAACCAAAGGTCAGTCCTGGGCAGTGAAATGCACACGATGCGCTGACTCGAAAGTCCACCTTTTTTTTTTGTCTCAACGTTGATTGTTGTTGGCTGACAGACCGAGGCACGTCCAGCAGCCGCCCCACCGAACCAGCAACAATTGCACACACAGCGCGTCGCGCATTCACAGCCGCCATTACACGCTGGTCTTCCAAACTCCGCCAACCGACCGCAAGTGCGAGGGCCAGGGCAGCCTGGCAGTGGCGTCCATCCGCATCCCTCGGCGATGGGCCAGCAACACCAGTATCACAGATAGCTTAAGAAGTGCGACACACAAGAGTTTTCACGCCATGCTCGCTCGACCGAGTTCTGTCAAAAATTGTGATGGAATTTTTGTTTTTCTTGCAACGCACAACAAAAAACGCTGAGGTCAAAAGCCAATAAAACGACCCAGACGTTCAAAAGCCAAATGACCCAGACGTTCAAGTAGCTCGGGGGTTTCATCACAACAACGAAAATGCCCGAGGCCGCGTGTTCAAGCCGGAGAAAGGTAATTTTCCGGAAGTAGGCCTAGACAAACCAACAACGCAACCAGACATCAGATGAAAGTGGAACGATGGGTGACGAACAACGTGGAGTCTCCCCATTTTTTCTTTACCTTCTTCGCCGTTGCTGTTACGACACAGCCACCAGCCGCCTTCATACTGCTGTACAAGTTCCAGAGTGTCGCCTTCACGGATTGACAATTCGTCTTCCTTGGAGGCATCATAGTCGTACATTGCACGATACGATGTTGAATCTAAAACGCAAAAAAACAAAACACCCAATGGGGAGGGACAAGGATTGAGCCAAACACCCAATCAATGAAACAAAAAGTGGCAATCCATTTCCAACTCCAAACTCACCTGCAAAGTCGTTTCCAGCCGAAGCAACAGAGGTGGTCGACTGGGCAGCTGCCATCGCAGAGGATCGAGGCTTTGAGTTGCCCACGGACGGCACAACCGGCACGGGCGAGTCGGACGGCAAGGCGAAAGTGGAAACGAGGAAGGACGTGGATGTATCGCGAGAACGCTCGATATAAGGAGCGAACGGATGGTCGCCTTTGCCCTGGTTTTGTGCTTCGGCCAGCGAGCACTGCAGTTTGTAAAGCACGGCCTGCGCCGAATGCAAGGCGCGCTCAGCGTCAGCGACCTGGTTGAGGACATCGGCTTTTCCCTTCTCGTCCGAGAAGCTCGGTTGGTTGCTGTACACGTCCGAGAGACCCCGCACGCCAGCGAGCGTCTTTTCCTCCTTGCGGACATCGTCCTCTAGTTCGTGGACTTTTTCTTCCAATCGTCGTCCTCGGCGGTCGGCCTTCATGCTGTGCTTGGGATCCTCCTCCTGCGTTGCAAAGTGGAGTCAGCGAGTGAGCGTTCCAGTCAGAACCCAGCATTTCCCGGGGCTCAAAAATACAACACAAACTCAGTACTCACATAGCACTCGTACAAGACCTCGCGTGGTCGGTTGGGGCCGGTACCCTTCATTTCTGCTGCAGCCGAAACGTCGCTCTCAGGGTTGATGGCTTGCAGCGTTCCCTGCAACTTTTCCATGAACTAGATGGGCCCGAGGCCGACAGCAATAGGGATAAAATAGTCAGCTCTTGGATGGACGGCAAAACAGCACGTTCAGCAAAAACAACGTAATGTCGAAACCTACCTGGGCATACTCAGCTGGGAGCGTGCTCGCAATCTCGTGCAACTTGAGCAGCATCTCACGAATGTGCTCGACGCGTTGCGCTTCGAGAACTTGCATTTCCTGTTTCAAAGGGTTTGAAGTGAGAGGACTGATCTGTCTGAGTTGCGAACCTTGCGAAACAAGCAAAGTAAAAGCATTACCAAACAGCCTTCTGCCATGACGGCCTCCCACTTGCGTCGAAGCTGCTCGAGCTTGCGCACGCTGTCGCGATGCTCCTTGTCCGACTTTGCCGTTGCTTCTTCAGCCTTTCGTGCAGCCTTTTCGAGCTTGGCCAAATCCTTCTCCGAGTACGGGCGCGTTGTGCTCGACCTGGCTTCTTCAAACTGCAAGTACGCACCTTCCATTTCCTTGCATTTGGAGAAGGCCGACTTTTTGAACTGCAAAAAACACAACCGACGAACAAAACGTGAGCAATGATTCTTAGTTTGAGGCATCGAACCGAGCAGAGCCAATACCTTGAGTTCGGTGCTACGGGCATCAAATAGCTCGGCTGTGATCTTGTCGACCTTGGTCTCAATCTAACAGCAAAAGAAAGGAGGATAAGATGTTGAGCGACAAAATGATCGAAAAAAACAAAACAAAAACAACCGATGCACGACGGGAATCATTCGTACTGGCTTGCGCGCCTTCTTGGACTCCTTGTGGAAGCTCTTCATGTGGACGACAATCTCGTCGTGGATGCGCGTTGACGCAGTGAGGTGCCACTTTGCCTCTTGCTCGAATGACGAGCGCATTTCAGACCAAGCGTCGCGGATGGTGCTGCAGTTCAAAAGACGCAGAAATTTTGCAGAAATGCAGCTTGCAGAGTTAGTTTCAACCATGATGAGCGACCCAAACGTCGCAATCTGACTTCTCGTCGCACGAGGCAAAACCCTGATTTGTTTGAAGAACGTCGAAATTGAAATTGAAATTGAAAAAAAAAAGAAAAAAAAAAAAAAAAGAATGAACGGCAATTTGTGGTTCGTTTCTGACGTTCAGCCACTCTCCGTTCCGCGCGCGCATCACAAGCACAGTCGAGGTCCCGTTGTTTGTTGCTCCACCGGCAAACGCCTGGGGTGGTCGCCCTCGGTTTGGACACGGAGGACAGCAGAAAGCTCATTGTTGAAAGGCTGCCCCCTTTCCCCCCCTCTTGTCCTGTGGTTGTGGCTCACCCGATAAAGTCCTTGCCGCCAGACTCGACCTTGGAGGAGAGCTTCTGGAGGTTCTTGGCATAGTCCTTGGAGGCGTCGGCGCGGTCGGACAGAATCGACATGACGTGCTCGAGCGCGTCCGAGCCCTTGCTCGCGAGCTTCTTGACCTCCTCGAATCCGTGGCCTTCCTGCAACCAGTTGGACAAGAAACGAAGCGCGAAAACAAACGTCAATGAGCTGGCCAACAGGGCAAGAGCAAGGGAGCGAGAAGAGAGACAGCGACGGCGATAGAGTTGTAAAAAAAAAAAAAAAAAATAAAAAAAAAAGCCAATGTAATGCAATGCAATTGAACAGAATGGAAAAAAAAAAAAAAGTTACCCAGAAATTGGTGTCAAAGCCAACCATCGAGGAACAACAAAAGTAAAACTGAGCCGAGTGAAGTTGTTACGGTTGAGACCCGTTGGGTCTAACCCACTCTTGTGATTTTGTATTAAAGACGAGAATCCCATCATAACCCATCCATAACCAGCTGTGGGACCTGAGGTGCCAGGGTTTGCTCGTAACATTATGACAAGAGTCCAAACACCTCAGATTTCACCAGCTGAACACAGCATGTGAGTATGTCCTCGTTCCGCGTTCGTGTCGCGTGTACTTGTCTTCGTCCTGCGTTCGTGTCGCGTCGAATACAGAATTGTCGCGCCAACTCTACGCCTCCTCAACCAAGACCCGCACCAACCGACAAAGAGCACCACCCTCTCACATGAGAGACTCGCCACATGAGGAGCTGCGATATCCGCCCTCACTGGTAAGTCCATTGACAAGACCGGCTGGACGTGGAAGACGCGACTATCCGCTCCCGCCAACCGGCCCGCTTAGCGTCATTCCTAGCGGCAAAAAGACCTGTTGGACGAGGTAGTCGCGACTATCCGCTCCCGCCAACCGGCCCGCTTAGCGTCATTCCAAGCGGCATTCGCTCAGGCGAGGAAGTTGCGCCATCCGCTTCTCGCCAGTTCCAGAATATTCGTGCGAAAATCTCCGTGCGAGGAAGCCGATTTTGGCCACTCGCCGTCAGCCAGTCTTTTTCTACAATGTCGCAAGCAAACAAACTCAAGAAGAAGACCGTGCAGGCGCCCCAGCGCGAGAAACGCCCGGTTGACGACCCCGCTGCGCCTGACTCGCCCAAGAGAGAGCGCATTGAATCGACCAGCGAGAACCTCACCCGCGCCATCATGCATATCGCCGTGTACTCTGGCTCGACCATGCCCACCATCTTCCTCGACGAACTGCGCAGTGCACTGCTCGCGTACCCTCCGAGCTCTGAGGACGCGCCGCGCATCTGCAAGCTGATCGCATCGCGCCTCACAAGCGGCGCTCGCGCTTGCATCTCCAGACTGGCAGAAGACGCTCCAGAGCACAACGACCCGGAGTTGTTGCTCGAGCACATCAAGAATCACTTCGGTCCCTTGCGCGGCCGCGTGGAAGCTTTCGCGAAGCTCGAGGCGATGAAGACCCAGACCATCCTCGAAGTATGCGACACGGCAGAGGCGCTGCTCGATCAGGATCAGTCCGAGTTTGTTGACTCGGCTGCTGTCCTCCTGGCCGTATCCAACGCCTTGCCACCGGCCCAGCGTGAAATCGCGCTGCGCACCGTCCATCCTCGCGATGCCGACGCGATCCGGGCTTTGGTCGCCAAGCTCCGCGAAGAAACCCTCAACTTGCGCGCCATCGAACAAATCCAGGACCAGTACCACCCGCGCCAGCAGCAGCAGCAGCAGCAGCAGCAGCAGCAGCAGCAGCAACAGCAACGGCGGCAGCAACGCTTCTCGAACAACCGTGCCAACCGTGCGCAAGCCGCAGTCCGCTGCGGCCACTGCCGCCGCACCGGCCACGCCACACACGAGTGCCGCTACTTCCGCAGCGACATCAACAACAACAACAACAACAACAACAACAACAACAACAACAACAACAACAACAACAACAACAACAACAACAACAACAACAACAACTTCGACAGCAACCACTCCGCACACGGCTACGGCAGCAGCTTCGCGCCTCGCGGTCAGTTCTCGCGCCCTGCCAGCGGCAACCAGCGCCAGGGCTTGCTCGTAACAGAAGTGATCGCGTTGACGATGAAACGAACAGGGGATTTTAGGAGTAGGAAAGATCAGACACACATGGGACGGGAAATTCAACGAGAGGTGGAAACTGCTGTGCACTTGTCGGGATCGGCACCAGGCAATCTGACATTGTGCAGTGTTCAGGTCAAGACATTATGTAGTGCTCAGGCTGAGAAGAGCGAGGCTGTTTATTGTTGCGTGAACTGCTCTTGCTCGAGCACGCCGAAGGTCATTTCCACAGACACAAAATAGATCAGCGCGGCTCCAGTAGCAGCTTGAATTATACATGCAACACAATGTACTCTCAAACATCAAACAACGAACACCAGTGTTCACAGAACAAAGGGTTATACGTCTGTCGAAACGAGGTCGCAAGGACGCGGCAAATCATGCACTTGTCTCGACGTTGGATCCTCTTTTGAGCACATGCAACGCAGACACATGCGTGGCTGTGTGATCTTGGTTAGAGTAGCTTGGCTGGCTGTACACTAGGGTTCGAGAACGGTGAGTTTGGAGAACTCGACAACTTCCCCTTGGTTTGAGTCATCCTGAGCCAGAAAAAAAAAGAAGAAAAAAAAGCAAAAAAAAAAAAAAAAGCACAGCAGCCTGATTTCCAGCCTTTGCTTTTTGTGGTTTTACATTTTCCTTGACCTCATATAGCGTGACCGTTTACGCACTCTTTGTGTGTTGTTGTCGTTACCAGGACGGAGCACCTTGTGGGAGCTGGAGTTGAAGTGCCGTTTTGTGTTTTCCGGGATTTTTTTTGTTGTTGTTTTTTTCCCCAGTTGCGTCTCGCATTTTCTCATCTCTTGCGTGACCTCGTCTGCACACCGACACACCACGCACACACAACAACAAAACTCACAAACACCATAAATGCATCCCCCCCTCGTTATGGTTTGTTGAGCTCGATCGTCCATTTTAGGGTTCGGAGGGGTGTTGCTCATTTCTCATTTCTTTTGCTTTGCCTTTTTTTGGGATTGTTGTTTTTGTTCAAGTCGATTTTTTTTTTTGGTCTTTTTGGTAACGTCCCTCTCGACCACCAACCCACCCATCCACAAATGCCCCATCTGCACCTCTCCTGTGTCTCCTGGTCTTTTGCATAGCCTTCCCGCTTGCCCCAGCTTCGCACACGCGCAACGCAACGAACGGTTGCTCAACAACACCTTGTTTTTTTGTATTTTATTTTATTTATGTTTTTATTAGCTGTTTTGTCCTTTTTTTTTTTTTTTTTTTGTCCATCGCCCCACTCTCGCATCGGCACAGACGACGCTGCTGCGCCTGGTGCTACACGGCCACTTTTGTCTTCTTGTACGTGCTGCCCCGCTCTGCACTCGGCGCCCAAGCGGTACAGAGAAGCCGCCGAGAAACCGCGCTTGCAGTGTTTTTTCGTTTCCTGTTTTTTTTTTCCGTTTTTTTTTTTTTCATTTTGCTACCGCACCCTTTGCACGAGACTGCTGACGCTCGCTCGCGGCAGGCGTTTGACGCTGCCTGTCACGGTTGGCCGCCTTCATCAGTGATCTTCCTTTGACACACGGTGTTGTGTGTCTGGGCAGCAGGTGACACGGGGGACAGGCAGGGCGAGCACGATACCGCATGGGTATGACTCTTGTCGGGTTTCGTTTTTTTTTTTTTTTTTTTTTTTTTTTTGCTTTTGATTTTCCCAAACCGACACGCTTGCGGGCTGCCTCTCCCCCCTGTTGGCACTGCTCCTCCTGTATCGTGACCTTGCCTGTTGCTGCGCCCCGGCTGTTGGGCTCTGCGTAGGCGCAGTGCAGAGGGCTGCGAGAGTCGCAAAACAACGGTGTGGATCTAAACTTTTTTCTTTTTTTTTTTCAAAAAACAACTTCTCATCGTCATCTTCCCCGCTTTTCTCGCATGCATTCAGAGCGCGTGCACCGCCACCCCTCCCCCTCGCGCACCTCCGTCTTGACCCTTGATTGAGACTCGTGCTATTGCTTGCGCACCTGCTCATGCGCTCGGCTCCCCGCCCACTGCTCGCCCCTCCACATCGGCTTATCTCGCGGCGATGATTCGTTTTCTGAGGGGTGACTTTTTTTGTTGTCTGGTGTCAAGAGAAGAAAACAAAAAAACCAGCAGAAAAAAAAAAAAAAAAAAAGGCACGCGCCTCGTTTATTTTCGTCGTCGCGTTGTTTTCGCATCAGCGAGAGGCACCGAGTCAGTGCCAATGCGTGGACGAGGGAGGAGTGAGCAAAAGTCAATAGACTCTCACTGTCGTTTTTGTGGCGGCGGTCGAGCGCATGCTGGCGGTGCGCGGCTGTTTTATTTTTTTGATTGATTTTTTTTTGCACCCAATTTTTTTTCTCTTTTTTATTCGCAAAATCGACTTTGTGATTCACTTGGCAACCCCCCTTCCCGACGTCGAATCTCGCCTTCCTCGCTTCCACTCCTTCGCTTCCTCTCTCTCGATCTCTTTCCTCTATCTCTCTCTATCTCTCTCTCTATCTCTGACTCTTTTGCTCTGTGCACGTCGCTCCTTTGTGATGTGTGTCTGTTCGGTCAGGCTGTCTCGCACTTCCATCAGGCGAGTCAAAAGAAAAGCCGCACGCAACACCTTATTTTGGGTTTGTTCATTTTCCGAGCTCCTCCTCCTCCTCCTCCTCCGCTTGTGTGCCTCGCCCCTCTCCTCGTCGTTTGTCTGCTGCACTCTATGACAGTGATACACAGCTCAAGTGCGAGGTGTGTGTGTGTGTGTGTGTGTGTGTGTGTGTGTGTGTGTGTGTGTGCCCATACAAAGTGGGAAGCCGGGTCTGTGCTACTTGGGTTTTTTTTTTTTTTTTTTTTTGCGGGTTTGGCGCTGAATTTGACCACCGCCCAATTCCATTCTACCTCCCTCCGTCGCACGCGCTTCGACCGTTCCTCGGTTTTTTTCTTGGTTTTCCTGCTACTTTCGCCGATTCTCGTTTCCTAATTTTTTTCTTGCATTCACTGCTTCCATTCTGTTGCACTTTGCTTTTCGTCGTGCTCGTCATCGCAACAATATTTTTATTATTGTTTTTTTTTTTTGGATTTGTTTGATTTTGATTGGTGCGGGAGCTGACCGCAATTCGCCAATCCCGCTCGCTTAGCTTTTTCGAATCGCAAACCCGCTGCTCGTTTTGCTGTCCGCCAACGTTCTTCTCTCCACCACCATCCGCTCCATCACACACCCACACTACCGCACACCCACACTGCCGCACACCCGCACACACACACGCTGTTTCTATCGTTGTTATTTGGCTGTTGCTCACCGTTCGTGTTTTCGTTGGTTTTGTTTTGTTTTGTTTTGTGTTTTGGACAGTTCGCGGTTTCTAGATTTCTTTTTTTAAACTTCCAACAAACCAAGCTGCCATTCCGGCTCAAAACAAACCAAACCTTAATTCATGGCATTCATCGGCTACCCTTCGCCGACCGGGATGGTCGACCACCAGGCAGCATACCCTCAACCATTCATGTACCCCATGACGCCGCAACAACCGCATGCTGCGGGATGCTACACGATGCCGCCAACACCTGTGTCGTCTGCGTCGAGCTCCGCGTCCTCCATGCCGCCCGTGGTTGCAAGCACCATGAGCACGAATGATGCTGCGGCTGCGCTGCAAATCATGCAACGGTCGCCTGTGACACATCGTACACAGCCAGTCGCACAGTTTGCAAGTGCCCAACCTTCAAACCCGACGTACACGTATCCGTACTATGTCCAGCCGCAGCAGGTCCAGCCGCAGCAGCCTCAGCACATTCAACACGTGCCGTCGGCCTTCACTCAGCCGAGCTACCAACAACAACACCACCACCAGCAACAACACCAACCACAGCTGCTTGTGCAACAAGCTTATCACGCGCAACCCCAGCAACCGCAGCTACTACAACAACCGCAGCAAATGCAGCAAATGCAACAACTGCACATGCAACCGGCCTACCAACAACAACAGCCTCAACAACCTCAACAGCTCCAACAGCAGCAAATGTACTTGCCACAGCAGAGCCAGCACTTCTTGCCACTGCAGAGCCAGCACTACTACCAGCTGCACATGCAAAAGCTCGAGCACGCCGCCGTGCAATACAACGACGTGACGCCCCCGCTGTCCACGACTTCACTTCAAGCGCCCGTGAACCTGTTCCAGCAGCAACGACCTCCCGTTGCGCATGCTGCCAATCGGCTTCCTTCGCCCGCTCCGTCCGGGTCGAGCGTCGCAAGCGAATCAGTCCGCCGCTCGCTGAGCCCCGCTGCCTCCTTTGCGGACCAAGGCCCGGGCGTCGTCAATGCCAGTCGCGTGCGAAAGGCCTCTTCGTCAACCAAAAACCGCAAGGCGGCTCGACCAAATCCCATCTATTTGGACAACGAGGTGCCCGTCATCAAGTACGCCAAGCCAACCCAACACTCCAAGTTTGTCATTGGCTCCATCACAACCGAGCTGGACGCTCGGTTCTTCTTTGCCGAGTGCATGGAGGGACGTATTCACCTGAACGCGTGCCGCCTGGATCGCGATGCTCCCACCGAGGTGGAGGCTGGCCAGATTTATGTCTTCCAGTCCGAGGAGCGTCCGAGCACTGACGGCGATGCTCAGCCAGCCCCAGCGACCAAGGCAGACTCAAAGACGAAAAGCAGCCTCAAGCGCTGGACTGACACGCTGCAGTGGAATTCGCGCAAGTACTGGCACTTGAAGAACATTCTCAAGTATCGCCAGACGATGCCCCACCCCGATTTTCCCACGGATCCGAAGCAGAACATTATCAAACCCGATGGCTTGACGAAAATGATCATCTGCGGCACTGACAAGTACAGCCATCTTCGCGCGGTTCACTACTTTTACGACACTTCCCGCAAGTCCAAGTAGATTGGCCACCACTTGTGTGCCAATGTTGTTAGTGTTCATTCGGTTTTATTTCAGCGTCTATTTTTCGGGGTTTTTTCGCGTCAGTTTGGTTTCGGCCTGCATGTTGATTTTGTTTTTTTTTTTTCATTGTTTGTTTTCGCCTTTTTTTTCTCTCTCTCTCTCTCTCTCTCTTTTCGATCCATTCAATCTTCGTTCGTTTCTTCTCGCGCGACGCATTCTTGCTCTCGCACACCCACCCACCCACACTCTCTTTATCGATTTTTTTTTCTGCCGCTATTGGCCATTGCATTGCCACCTCATTCGCCTCGATACCATCTTTTTTTTTGCATATTTTTTTTCATGTTAGCTTCCTTCATTTCGTTTCTACCCTCGCCATCAAAACTGTAATCAATAGGATTCCATTGTAGTTTTCATTGTTCTGACGTACAACATCCAAAAACAAAAAGAAACGAAAAGACATCCAAAACGCTGCAGCGCACTGAATCATTGGAAGCGGTCGCTGATATCTTGCCAGTTGAATCGCAGATTGTGCATGGTTTTCACTTTTAGCGGCCAAACTTTGACAGGATTGTCGCTGTACACCGGCAATTCAACAACAGGGGGAGTCAGTGGCAAAAAAAAAAAAAAAAAAAAAAGCGAAAGACAAAAACGAGAACATACCACAAGTCGAGCGTGCGCACCATAAACAGCTCAATCATATCCTCTGGAATGGCGTCGAGCTTGTTGTTACTGCAGCCACACGAACATTCAGAAGTGAGCAATTTGTGTTTCCTTTCAAAGTCGCAATCTCTCGCTCTGGGTCGCACCTCAAGTCAATCTCTTTGATTTCGCCAATGTTCTTGGCCAGTTCGACCAAAACCTCCGGCTGCAGTCGCACCAGCTGGCAGTGTGACAAGACCAGTTTTTCAACCTTGTTCATCTGGGAGATGATTGGCGGCAATTCCTTAAACTTGTTGTGGTGGATTTGGAGGTTGGTAATGTTCTGCCCAGAACAAAAGCACACAAAAGCGTCGCATCATCAAAATGAGACAACTGATAACAGAAAAAAAACCAAAAAACAAAAAAAAGAGACGTCGTTGAGCGGTCTCGTTGTACTCACCCGGCACTCCTTCAGCCCCGGTGGCAAGGACGTTAGCTGGTTGCCGTCAGCGATGAGATCCGTGAGATTGTGGAGCAGCCGAATGGCGGGATTGATCTCTAGCAACATGTTGTGCGAAATGTCGAGCATGCGCAGCTGCATGAGTGCGCCAATCTGGTCTGGCAGCGCAGTCAGCTGGTTGTATCCAATGTTGAAGCGGCGCAAGTTGGAGAACATGGCAACCTCGGCCGGGAGTGACTTGATTTCGTTGCCTGCGAGGTTGAGCTCGGTCAGGTTGACGAGCGTCGTCAATCGCAACGGGAATTCGCGAATGAGGTTGGCGTTCAGCGTCAAGATGGTCATTCCAGTGACGTTGAACACGCTTGACGGTATGCTTTTGAGCTCGGCGTAGCTGTGTGATGGCATTCAGGAATGATGGTGATGTGTGAGTGGAGCAAATCAGCTGAGAGGAGCATTTTGTGTTTTTTTTTTGTTTGGTTGTTTTTGTTGTTTTCGTTACCCCAACCCCCCAAACCCCCTCCATCTCCCATCTCCCAATCTCACGCCCTTTCCCCTCGCAGCTCTTCTTGCAAATCCCTCGTGTTATTTTGTGTGCTTGTTTGAATGCTCGTCGCAGTCAGCACTCAACCCCCCCCCCTCTCAACCGAACTCTCCTTTGCCTGACTCCCACCCGCTCCAATTGCGGTAGATTGAATCCGCTTTTTTTTTTCCTTTTTTTTTTTTTTTTTTTTTTTTTTTTTTTGGCTTTTTGACTTTACTGCCTGTTGGTCTCTGTTTCCACTCCTTGCCTGCAACTGCCGTGTCCGCGACCCGCCACTCAAACTCACGTCCCTCCAATTCAACGCCGCATCCAACCAGCAGCTGATAAGCCAAAGCAACGCGTTGCATTGTCGGATGAGTTGCAGCTTCAACCAAACAAAAGGGTTTTTTTTTTTTTTTTTGTGATGGCTTTTTTTTTTTTTTTCAAGAGTTGTTTGGAGAACGGGTCGATTGCTTGTCTTCTCGCTCTGCTGCAGTCGACCTCGCTGGATTGTGACTGAGTTTAAGCTGCTTTCGCGTTGTCACACTGGGCGATGAACGGCAGCGGCGGTGCGAACGAGAGGCAGCCGCAAAACGGTGCTGCTTTGTTTTGTTTTCAAAAACAAAAACTGGTTGCTTTACCTGAGCTCGAGCTGGCCAGTGCGCTTGCTGCGCTCGATGGCTTTGGAGTGTGCGCCGCCCATGATGGATGTGAGGACGAAGAGGGGGCAGTGACAGAGAGTGTGAGTGTGTGAGTGTGTGTGTGTGAAGCACGGGTAAAAGGAAAGCAGACTGAGTTAACAAAAAAACCAAATAATTTTAAAAATTAAAAAAAAAAAAGTAAAGGGAAAGCTGGAGTCAGCTTCTGTTGTGAAGAGTGGTCACTCGACTCGGTCATCCAACCATGGTCGAGGAACTCAAAGCCTGCATCAAGAGCAGAGCAAAAAAAATCTGATCGACACAGACAGGGGCGAGCGACACAAGTGACGATTTGCAGAGTGCATCGAGATCAACACAAAACAATGTGCTAGCATTGGGAACAGTGCGTCCTGACAATCTGACAATGAGGTAAAATGCATACAACAACAAACAAGTAACAACGCAAGCCATTCTAAAGCCCTCGGAAACTCCCCCAGCCTCTCTCCTTCCCTCGCTCTTGTTTCTCAACACAACGACTTTTCTCGTCACTCTCATGGGCTTTGAGAGTCCATGGCCCCTTCGCTGTCGGCGCTCACGCTTCGGTCACGCGAGAACTGCGACAGATTGGGAATGGTGGCATACGCGCCGTCTTCTTCATCTTCAGTGTCCGAATGGGCGACGTTTGCTCGCTGCGAGGCCAGCGGCTCGGGCTCGGGCGACTCGGGGAACGGATTGCCTGCTTGTTGCAACGCAGGGGGCGAGGTTGGTGAAACTGGCGCGGGAGACGTAGGGCGAGCACCTGCAGTAGCGGGATGCAGCTGCGGAATGGCTTTCGTCGAGGTGCCAATCCGCCCTGCGCTGATCGTGCCTGCGACCTCAGGTTCCTTGCCGGCAGAACTGAGCTGGTGGCGCTCGCGGTGGCCTTTGACCTGCAGGCGAATGGTCGAAAGCAATTGAATCCCTACCAAAAGGCAGACGACTGAAAGTCAGACAAGAAACAACGCAAATGCCGCGGACACGAAGGCAACACAGGGACATACAATCGCGTCGGCTTTGCTCGCTTTCCGCAGACAGCAAATAGGTTCGATCGGCAGTGACAATTTGGAAGACAAACTCGTGCCCTTTCGACTTTGCCTCAGAAACACCAGAGCACTCGGCCAGATCGATCACGCCCATCAATTCTTTTTCCTGTCGGTTGTCCAAACCAATCAAAATGAGAGACCTGGACAGACGAGTAGACAATCCAAGCATTCACCCGCAACCCCCCCCCCATATACCTTATCAGTGCGATAGTAAAAGAGCAGACCAAACACATCGATCACAGGCGTCTTGAGGTATTGGTTGTGATGCAGCAGCTGCATGACTCGCTGAGGGAACTGTTGCTCGCGCAGCACAAACCATCGTCGTTTCCAGCCCTAACAAAAGAAAAAAACGGCGATCAGTCAGCACAAACCTCTCGAATTCCAAGAAAGGCACAACAGCTCCACCCAACACCGCTTACCTTGGAAGTGCCGACGCTGTGACCACCGCCTTTCTTGGAGAGGTAGGCACTCCGGCTCAGTTTGAGCATCATTGCATCGTCCGTCTCAGTTCCGTCCAACAGGTCAACAAGAGGCGTCTGGGCAGGGAGAGCTGGCAACGACGAGGTCGAGGAAGGTGACAAGGACGGCATCAGAGGCGACGGCGGGCCGCGGATGGACTTGCGAGCATCCGCAAGATTGTGCTGCTCATCCAAGTCATCACCAGAGGTGTCGCCCTCCAACGTGGGCGAAATCAAGCGACGTTGCAGCAGCAACACCGTCAGGGCGTCCCTGAAGGCCGAAAACCACACATCGAGCTCCTTGGCGTTCGATGCAGCCAAGTAGTAGATGCGCTTGCTGGTGCGGATTTCGAATGGAAAGTTGTTCTGGAACCGATCGACGGCGCCGAGATAAACGGCGTCGGGACCGGTGCAATCCGTCAGTCGAATGCCGCCCATCAACTCGCGCTCCTTGTCGTCCTTGTAGTACAGCACGTTCTCAAGCGACTCCTTGCCAAGCACAAACCAGCGCTTTTTCCAGGACTTGATGCCGCCGCCTTGTTTGGTCAAATAGCCCTTGACGACGACCTGTTGGCAGTGGATGAATTCACCCGTGAGTCAGGCCTTCAACGAAGCATAAACACCGAGTTGGAGCGCATTCCAAACTTACACCAGCGTCACTCAGAACAATCTCGGGACCAGCGGCATCTGGTTCAGCATAGACGGCTTCTTTGAAGGCCTCGACGTTCGACTATTCGCCGCGGCAAGCTCTCGTGTCAGAAAAAACAACAAACAGCAAACAACAAACGACCAATCTGTTTTCAATACATACCTGACGCGTGCTTTGCATGCACAACGAGATCGCAGACATCCACTGCGTGCGCCAAAAACATCAACCAAGGCGACAAGGACATTGTGAGCTCTCTCTCCACGCTTCCCATCAGCCACAAAAAACAACGTCAACAGTTCATACCTCAGCTGCCTCTGCGTCGCTTTCACAGCTGATAAAGTAGGTGCGATCGGGCGTCACGAGTTTGAAGCAGAACGAACGCTTGTTGGTCGCACTCTCAACGCAGGAGATCTCGTTGAGATCGATTTGTCCAAGGAGATCCGAATCGTCGTCAATGATACAGTCAGACGTTTTGAAATACTTGAGCTGAGTCTCGGTCAACACAAACCATCGTCGCTTCCAGTTCTGAAAGAAGAAACCGAAAAAAAAAACACATCGAGGTGAAATTGGATTCGCCACAAAGAACGACCACAACCAGAATGCGACTCGCGCATGCACGGTACCTTGTTCGCCCCGCCCTGCTTGGTCATGTAGCCCGTCTTGTGCACTTCATTCACAAAGGTGGTGGAGGTTGTGGTCGTCGGAATCACCGAGGTCACTCGCTCCGCAACCGGCTCCACGCTCGCGTCGTCTGTGTCGCCGGTGACTTTGATGGCAATGCCATTTTCGGGTTTGGCATTGTTGCGTGCCAAGGATCCAGAAAAGATACCATTCAATGCAGGGCCAGAGACAGACATGTGAAGCTCGCGAATGGAATGGATTCGCTGCGCCTGCTTGAGCTGCTGCTGACGCAGCTCCTCTGGATCCATAATGTTCAATTGCTGCGCAGGGCTGATACGAGTTTGACGAAGCGACGGCTGCAGATGACGGGGGAGGGGCGTGAGAGCTGGAACGAGACAACAACGCAACAAAACAAAAAAAGCAGACTTCAAAAGCAAAATTTTCAAACTGCTTACATTGGATCGCAGAGCCGGCGGCGGGGCAGCCGGGGCGGCGAGCGTTTGCTCGTCCACGGCATTGCCGGACAGACCCAGAGCATTCGGTTGAGCAGCCAAGGCCGCGGGACTCGCGAACGCATTCAGAGCGGCGAACGAGGACGTGTTTGCACTGATGGTCGGAACACCCATGCTGTTGGCTTGACCGAAGAGAGCTGGTGCAGGTTTCGCGAGTCCGGCCGCAGATTGGACCGAGGGGGCGATCGGCACCTCCACACGCCGTTCAATCTCATCAAGCAGATTGTTCACCTCTGCAATCGACTCGCGCGGAGCTCTGGCGTTGGTCAAGTATATTGCCGAGCCATTCGTCTGACTGACACTTGATGAAGCTTCGTAGACGTGCATCTGAAACAAAACAAATGCATCGAGACAACAAAGCATACAAACAAAAAAATAAGCGGTTCCGAACAGGACAGGAGCAACAACAATCATTATGCACAGAGCAAAATGGACCGCTTACAGAAAAGTCAACGGAATCGGACGCTCTGTCGACTGGAGAGCGGATTGACGGTTGTGCCACTGCGTAAACCTGACCGTCGTCGGTGGCCGTGTTGGAGAAGGACGCGCGGACGGCGGCCATGTCTGCTTTGTACTGCTCGCGTAGTCGAACCACATACTCTCGTAGGCTGCTCGCCGTGCTGTGCAGCTCTGTGATTTCTCGTTTGAGCTGTTTTTGAAAAAAAAAATGACAACAACAGGGAAACACGAATTCAGTGAAAACGCAATTCCAGCAGCAATAGAACTGTGCGAGGCTCAAGCATCGAAAGTAAGCAAACAACAAACCATGCATGACATACCAAGTGAACGGACTGGACCTCAAGCCGAAGCGCTGCCAGCTCGGATCGCATGGAGGCAACCTCCTCATTGTCGGCCTGCGCGATCGGATGAGGCGCGGGCGGCGTGAGCACTGTGTAAGTGTCGTCGGGCTGTTCTGCCGCCTGCTGGCGATTCTGCTTGTTCGGTTGCGTGTACGTGTCGTTGTCGGAATTGACAATCTGAGTTGCTTCACCGTCGACCTGCGCGTCTTGCTTGACTGCGCTGGCAGAGTTGCCGCCGCCATTGGCATCCGTGGCACTATCGCGCTCGTCCTTGCCGCCATGACCTTGAGCAGGAGGACTCTGTGCAGCAGCAGCATCAGCAGCACGGAGCACGTCATACAAGTTGTCGCCAATCTGCTCATTCGCAGCAGCAGCAGCAGTCGCAGCAGCAGGCTCGTCGGCGTCGGCTGTCTTGGACTGGCGCTTGGTCTCGTCATGGGCTTGGCTTGCGTCTGCAACTGGGGCCACCTTGACCTCGACCTCGACCTCGACCTGGACCTCGACGGCTTCAGAGTGAGTGCTTCCATTGCTGCTTCCATTGCTGCTGCTGCTTGTGTCGCGCTCTGTCGTCGCAGCAGTGCTTCCAGTGACGGCGTCCACGGGGCTCGCAGGAGACGTCGCTGATGCTGCTGATGATGCTGATGTTGATGCTGATGTTGATGCTGCTGATGCTGCTGATGCGCCAGGAGTGAAGGACGTCGAAGTCGAGATCGCAGCAGAGCGCCGATTCGCAGCAGTGACATCGACCGTCGACCGCTGCAGCGCCGCCCGCGCAATCCTCGACGAGCCCACTCCCGCTGGTGATGATGATGGAGATGATGATGATGATGATGATGATGGCGATGACTGGGCGGCGGCGGCGGCGGTGGGCGACGGCGGCGAGGATTCAAAGACGCTGCGCAGGCGCGAGACGGACGGAAGCCGCCAGCTGCTGGGCTGCTTGGCGCCCGTGGACAGCGTCGCGACCGCGGAAGAGACGCCCGGCTCGGGTGCTGACGGTGATGAGGCGGCGGCGGGGTCGTCGGAGCCGGGAGACGCGGCCGACGCAGGCAAATGCCAACGGGACATTTGTTGTTGTTGTTATTGTGCTAAAGTGCTCAGACAAGTGTGAAACTGAGATAAACAACAAAAATGAAGGAGGGAAACAAAAAAAAAAAAAAAAAAAAAAGAATGACACGCCGAAAAAAAAAAAAAGAAAGCTCACACGTTAAAGAAAAGGAAAAAAGAAAAGAAAAAGCAAAATCTGATCACAAAAAGACAGAAGCGAAACAAACAGAATCTCAGAGAATAAAGCAAGGAAGGAAGGCAGGAAGGCGACGACATGGAAGAAACACAAAGGACGACTCGACATAACGAAACCAAGAAGGTACGAAATGGCAGCGTCGAATTGAACAAAACAAGAAATCACACACACAAAAAACAAACTCAGACCATCCCAGACCAATTCACAGAGACAAGCTCAACGGCGCCTTGCTCAGTCACTCCGCATAGCAAGACCGTCTTGCGAACAGTCGTGCCTAGTCGCCCGATCGCCGCAAGATCCACGGCAGAGAACGACTGCCCAGCTGGCATGACGATGGCCACAAACTGGGAATGGTAGCGAAATGGGTCTCCTGCGAGAATCAAAGCGGACAAGACGGCGTCAGATTGCATCGACAAGATGAGGGACGTGACATTTGTTTTTGCTTCCTGTTTTCTGCAATCTCAGAACCAAAAGCCCCCAAAACCAATTCGTTTACCTGGATAGACGAGAAAATCGCCACCGAATTTGGAGGCCGCAGTCATGTAGTGGCCGCGCTGCCATAGCTCCGAAAAGACGCGGGTTCTTAATCGTTGCTTGAATGTGATTGGGAATTTCCACTCTGCATCTGCAAGTGGCGGCTCGGCTGAAAACAAGGAAATTGGCGCGGCAACCTCAATTCGACCTGCGTCGCCAGCAGCTGTGTCCTCCGCTACTGCATTAACATCAACTGCTGTTGTGCTTGCTGATGGACCATCTGAAGCCTGTGGCTGCTGCGGTGCATCGACAACCATGGCAGTGTTGCTCGAAGACGACGACGACGACGGCTCAGATCCAGCCGCAGCCCGATTGAATCGCTGCAAAAAGACGGCGCGGTCATTTACCAGATGAATGATGCCTGTTTGTTTGTGTTCCAATCGATGCACGCACAGCCATGCGACGGTCAGAATCAGCTCGAAGCCTCATTTCAAGTCGCTTTCGTTTTGAAGCTTGTCACTGAGCCACTTTTGCGTGTGATTGCTCTGCTCTCGATGAATTCGCCATCATCATGACCATCATCATCATGTTTCATGCCTGATGGTGATGATTTACCGTGTTGAAGCAGGACGGTCGTCTGCTCGGGCATCAGCACCAGCGGATACGTCTCAACGCCCAGCTGCGTCGACTCGCTCACGGCAATCTCGCCCAGCAGTGCGCCCACAATGCGAAACTCGCGCCGTAATCGATACACGTCTGTATATAGTTAGCACAAGCCAAAGCGCGCGTTTGAGCAACGCAATGCAGTTTGTTTGAGTCTGCATTGGATTCGCAGTGGATTCACTTGCCGTGCTTGTCGTAGACGATCGCGTGGTCGTCCTGGCCGTTCCAGAACGCGCGGATTGGCTCGGACAGCGGACTGGGTGGCCATTGCAACGCCGACTGCGGCTGGCTCGGCGGAGGCTCGATCGCACTATGGCTCATAGGCTCTGAGCCACCAGCACAAAAACGAGGAATGAAACAGATTCTCAGACTAAAACAAACAAAAGACATTTACAGTATATGACAAAATGGACGCAGCGCTTTCGATTTTACTTTGATACAACAACGCAACCTCAGGACTGCACCAGGCTCGCGTACTCTGAATCAGCCGGAACGAGCGAAGGATCAAGTCCGGCAAGGCGCATTTTGACGGCAATCTCAAAGAGGTAGTCGTAGCACTCGCTCATTGTCTTGCATTGGACCCAGTCGTTGCCCCAGACGTAGACGCCGTGGCGCCGCACTAGCACGGCGCATGCATCGGGGTACTTGCGCATTTCGGCTGCCATTCGGTCGGTCAAGTCGCGCTCTTCGGCAGTGTTTTCAATGATGGGGACGACGAGCTTGTCGTAGAACTTGTGGTATCCTCCGGACGTGTTTTTAGCAATGCCTGAACGACGCAGAAGCGAAAGAGAGAGAGAGAGAGAGTCACTCAACGTTAGCAAAACACTCTGGACTACCCCGATCGCTTGCTTGGCACTAGCTTGCGACTTGACCTCACCTTTGATCATTTCCTGATGCGTGATGCAAAACTCTGAGCCGGGAAACAGCAGCGTCGCCATCACGGCGTGCTGCGAATGCGTGTGGATGACAGCTCCGGCATTTCGCATCTTGTACGCATTGAAGAAGAGCGGCGTGCACTGACTCTTGCGCAGACCTCGCTCGATGGCAGGACACTCGATATCGTTGCCGTCCCGGTCGCACACAAACAAGTCGTCCGGTTGCATCCGCTCCTTTTGCACTCCGGACGGCGCAATGTAAATATGCTCACTACCAAACCAGTGTCAAAGTCAGAGCATTTTTGTGTAGATGATCTACATTTGTCACTTTCCACAAAACTCAGACTCGCGTTGTTTTTGTTCAATCTGAGCAATCTGAGAATTGAGAATTTTTGGTGGATGCGCGCACCTGTCCCGGATGGTGATGCCGCCGCCGGTGCCTGTGACCCAGCCCTGGTGGTAGAACAAGCTGCATAGCTCTGGAATGAGGTTGCGCGGGTGCTCTGGTCCGAGTTGCTGCGTGGTCGTGGTCGGCGTTTGAGTGCAGTTGCATTGGCAGCAATTGCTGCAGCGCGCCAATGCCGTGGCTGATGACGCTGCAGTCGCATTGCTAGAAGAGCTAGAAGAGCTAGTTGAAGACGAAGCGGGGTGATCGCAGCAGTGCGCGCTGACTGCAGACGGCGACGGTCGCTGCTCAGACATTGAGTGATTGAACACAAAAAAAAAAGACTGAGACAAACGCTCAGAGCAAGTGCAATGGCATTTGAATTTCATCACTACTGTATTCTATACGAATGAGTTGCTTTGGCAGTCCTCACTTTATTGTGCTTGGGGTTGTCGACAATGACAGTGCAGCGAACTGTGAATCTCGCATCATCAGTGCTGCAGCGAGTGGGCAGCAGTCACCTGGCTATCGTCCGCCGTGTTGGCGCATTGAATTCACAAGCTGCTCCAGGACCAAATGCGATTGTGCCAGGGCGAATCACACCAGTGCCAGCGCGGCTCGGTTGGCGCGGGATGAGCACCTGGGCAACCGAGTTTGACATCCTCCACAAGCCTGCAGACACTCGCGCTATGGCTATAGCAGAGCAAGTGCAACGCATCAAGACACGGCTGGTACCCGAGGAAGCGCCAGAACGCGAGACGCCGACCAAAGGCACCAGCACACGATCAGACTTGCCAGAGTCAAAGCTCGGTCGACACAATACTCAAGCAATTGTACCAACGTACGGTCGAGTTTTGACAATCGATCCAACTTATATCGACCATGTTGCATGCGCGATGCGGGTCCAGGACAACCCAGATTGCTCGAAGCAGGTGCTCTGCGCCGAATCGTTCGCACCCTCACATCGCTCTAACAAGCTGGTAATCATCGATAGACCGCCCGTCAAGGCTGCAAAAGATGTCTCGTCTAGCCCATTTGAGCATGACCATATACCACGGCGAACACGAGCAAACAATCAAGATTTTTCAGCGAGCTCGAACGTCGCCTCTCTGTTGCAAAGTGCGTCCACCGTGCTCAAGCAAGCCAAGCGCTCTGAAGCAGAGTTGGGTGCAGAATACCTGCTGGCGGCAGCTTTGTTTGGCTCCAGTGCCCCGCGAAGCACCCTCACGAACGTATCGCCAGCAGTCCTTCGTCAAGCTCTAACCGGCGAATCCTTCGTTCGATTCATCTCGTTGCTCAACCAGCGATTGGAAGGGAAGCCTATCCAGCACATCTTGGGTGAATGGGACTTTGGTCTTCACACGCTGCACATGCACCCGCGCGTGTTTATTCCTCGCCCAGAAACTGAGGTGTGCATGTTTGTTGTTGTTTTTTTGTTGTTGTTTTTTTTTTTTTTTCCCTTCGTGAGAAAACTGGGACGGTGCTATTTGGCAGATGTACTCACCTGATGTGGTGTTGGGCTCTGATAGAAACTCGTTGACATGGTTGTGAAGGACTTGAAATCTACGCTGCCCAGTTCGGCCGAGAACAACACCAGCAGCTGGATCAACACCACGCCCAGTTCTACGCCCTCGGCACTTCAGATCTCACTACTTGTCAATCGACCACCTTGTATTTTGGAGGTTGGACCTGGCACTGGCGCCATTGGTCTGTCCATTTTAGCAGAGTTGCCTGGGCTGCACTACCTCGCGCTAGACGTCAATCCGTTCGCCTGTGAACTGACCCGTGTCAATGCACAACGGTAGGTCATATTGATCAAATGCTTTATCATCGTTTTCAAAGTTTTTGAACTGCGTGGCTTACTTGTACGGATTCCGATCTGTTGTCTGCAGGTTGGGACTTGAATCCCGGACGGCCGTGCATCACGTAGCCTTTGAGCAGTTCACTCTGCTAGAAGGCCAGTTTGACGCCATCGTCTCCAATCCACCCTACATCCCATCCAGAGAGATTTCCGAGCTCGACATTGAAGTTCGCGGGTTTGATCCTCACGTCGCCCTTGACGGCGGCGTCGAAGGTTTGGACGTCATTGTACAGCTGCTAAAACGCGCAGCTTTGATGCTTGTTCCTCATGGCAAACTATGGCTCGAAGTGGACGAAAGCCATCCGCCAAAGATCGAGAGCTGGCTTTCGAGCCATCCTTCCTGCGGGTTGCGCTATCTCAAGACCCATGCCGACTGCTTTGATGTACCCCGGTTTTGCGAGTTGATTCGTGTCGACTGAGAGCAACTGCTTGTTGTGTTGATCGCATCATCAGCCTTCCACAGTGGTTTGTAAACCAATGATGCGAACTCGATTCACACTCGATGCACAGCCGCTGCTGTCCAAAATCCGGTCGGTTTCAGAGCTCAGTCTCACTTTCACTCTTCCAACTCCATATTGCAGAGCTCAGTCTCAGAATCTCAGACACTCAGACACTCAGAATCTCGTTCCATTCATTTCCAAGCTTTTTTTGCAACCGAAACCTCCAACCCCCCGCTATCACCTTTTGCTTGTCGCTGCCGGTTCGCCTTGTTGTGTGAATGATGCAGAGCGCCGTGTTCTATGGCAGCGACCAGGTGACGACCGTCTCGTTCAAGGTGCCCGAGTCGCTGTCGGGCGATCTTGTCTACGACGCGTCGCGCGAGTCTGCCGGGCGGTCGTTTGCGCGCTACGGCGAGCTCGTCCAGTTCCTCATGATTGTCGGATGCCCCATCCACGACATTGGTCGCATGCCGGCGCAGTACGAAGCCTGGCGAGCAGAGTTCTCGACGCTCCAGATTGACGTTCGCGTCCAGCCCTTGCCCCCACTGCCCAACGGCGGCGAGGAGGACCAACCCCGTCCAGGGCAGAATGCTGCTGGTGCTACCATCACGAGCACGCAGGCGCTACTGCACGCGAGCGGTGCGGCGTCGTCTTTATCATCAGGTCAATTCGTTCCCGACACGCCGCTCGCAACGCTGCTGGCGTCCCCGACAGCCAAGATCCAGCTGCAGCCATACTCGGTGAGCAACTCTGCACGGCGGTATGACGAAGCGGATTTCCAAGAGCGGGCGGCAACTTTGCCGGATCCAACCGACGCTCGTGCTTCTGCTTCTGACGACGCGACGAAGCATCACGATGCTGCTGCAACCAGCAAGTCTCGTGCGCTTCCTCGTGACGGCGGTGTTCGGCGAAGTTACAGCGTTGCTTACGGTCCAAAGACGCAGCTGTCGCATTCGTCCATTCCCCTCGCCCACGCAGACAATGGAGACATTATTTACCTCGTATCAACGTATCTTGGACACATTCCCCAATGTCAGCGTATTCAATTCACCATCAACACCAATTCTGTGCAGGCTGGCAGCGCCATGGACTTGACGGCACTCAATCTCGTCACGCCGAACGAATTCCTCGAAGTATTGGCATCGCGGTCGGTACCCAATCAAACTCTGAACAATCATGCTCTGCGCGGGGCTTTGACATCATCCGCTGCTGGAGAAGCTGGGGGTCCCACAGCCCTGTCTGCCGCCGCCATGTTGCTTTCTCGACGCGCTGCGCTGGTAAACACGGAACAGGCAAAGCGGCCATTCACCTGCACAGCCGACTTTGTTCTTGATCTCATCCCACCGCCTCGCGTTGAGAGCTCTGCAGCACGTATTGGAAGGAGCTTGTTTTTGAGCTTTCACATCTCCAATCCGCACGAACGCGAGCGAATCAGCTTGCATGGCGTGGACTTTTCGGTTGCTCGAGGAGGTCCTTCTGCAGTTGTGTCGTCGGGCTTGGCGCCGGTGCCTTCAGAAGACGCGGGCTCGACACTGCAGCTCTGGCTCACGGGCGATACCGAGTTTCCAATCACGCTCAGTCCCGGGGAACGCTACACTTTTGTGTATCGCATCGACGAGACGGTGCCCCGAACCACCTTCATTCACAGTAGTGTAAAGAGTGCGCGCGGGTTGCTGTTTGTGCGTTGGAATCCGAGCACGGCTGGCTGCACTGAAGATCAAGTCATCACGTGCGACTATGGCATTTCTGACCTGGCCGAGTTTGCCAATCCGCAGTTGACCATTTCGTCGTGCGTGGTTTCCGAAGGGACCGAATTGCAAGCCAGCTCTGATGGCACAACGTTCGTCCAGCGTGCGTCCGTCGGTGTGATTTGTGTTCAGTACACTGTCGGCAATCTCAGTTTGCAGTCCACGGAGGCGACGCTCTTACTGGGCGGTTCCGATGCTCATTCGAAGGAGGAAGTGGCTGTATTGCAAGGTATGTTGGCGTGGTGCTTGTTGATGTTTTTGTGTTCTGTCATTCACCTCTGTGTCTATGTAGGCTCTGAGGTTTCCAGTGCCCAGTTGGAGTGTCTGACACCTCGAATTCGATTGGGGTAACTTTTGAAGTTTCAGTTTTGCTTGTGTGGAAGTTGGGGGGGGGTTGCTGCCGATCCTCAATTTTGATGGTTGCCTGTTTTCATCTTACAGCCCGCTAGCAACTGGCGCTTCGCTCGTTGTGACTGGGCAATACATTGCACGCTCTGCTGGGGTGGTTACAATTCCATTACCGCGCGTGTTCAACCAGCAGCTGCAGCAATACGCATCCATTAGTGGCTCCGATTTGATTGTTGCCGTGTCATAGTTCTTGACCCTTTGTTTGTTGCGCTGTCAATACTTTCGCCGTTCCTTTACAACCTTTTGTGCGTTTTCGTCAATATCATTTAATAAATGCTACATTTTTCATGCAAAGCGATTTAAACCGATCGATTTTTTTTGTTTCAACTTTCTGCTCAAAGCATTACTGGCGGTTGTGCACGAGCCCGCTGTTCAGCTGTGGCGCGACGTTGCTCAACCAACTCGGAGAATAGCTGGAATCGAATTTGTGCAGGCAGAACGCACTTGTTAATCAGCGCCTTGCGAACATTGGTTGTGATGATCGAGGCAAGCTTTTCCGAAGAAAGGTGCACGCGTTGACCAATGGCCGTGTCAGTTGTGAAGGAGAACTGTGGCTCTTCCACAAAGGCAAAGGAAAACATGTTTTCCGGCGCCTCGGGCATGTCGGTGGAGCGGATCGGGCACGGGAGATGTAATTGGACCTACCAAGAAGTAGAAGAAGAGGAAGAAGAAGAAGAGAGGTTTTGAGTAGCTGTAGGTTGCCAACAAGAATATGTTGAACGCGAGGATTTCTCGCTTACCTTGGCACGAACGCTGGTCAACCGAACGGTCGCGGTGACTGATGTGGAAGCCAGTCCGTCCACGGGCCAATTCAAGACCAGCGATGTGTTGCAGGTGAGTGCAATTTCGCCCTGGAAATCGATTGTGAAAACGGCTCGCTGTGTGTTGAGATTGGCAAAGGTGAGCGGAACGGCATAGGTCAAACACAAACCGTCCGATTCACCACACATACCAGGTCCAGCGGCTGAGAACCGCTTGGATTGTAGTCAGTGTTGACGACGACGTTCTCAATCACAGGGATTGCGTCGCCGAGCACCAGCGACTCGACCGAAATGGGACCCTGACCAAGCCAAAGCAAAAAAAAAAAAAAAAAATGAGAAAACGAGGCTTGACAGAACAAGGCGAAAAACGCCAGAACACCACAAGTCCATGCCAATGTGCTCCAAAGTCTGTGCATATGTGGCTCCTCACCAGGAACGGAGGATTGCGCGCCGAGTTGAGCGAGGTCTTGAGAAACCGCAAGAGCCGATCCATGACCGCATCTGAGCTGGTCACGTCGTGATAGATGCGTGCGAGCACCACATTCAGCCACAGGCAAGTTTCATTCGTTGCTTTTGTCTTGGCAAACGTCTGTTGGTGCAGCGCTTTGAAGAATGCCTGCGTTACAGAGAGAGAGAAAGGGTGAAGCAGCAATGGGATTTGAGTGATGACACGAAACTGAGTACCCCCGAGCTCACTCAGACACACAATTATGTAGCACCAGCTTCAAACGTGAACTCCATCCTTGCAACGAATGCTTCACTGACCTGCTCGCTCTGGCGTGAGACGCGGACTCGGATTGGGGATTTCGAGGCTTTGCCATTGGCGTCTGTTGTGATTGACCCAGCTGATGCTGATGTTGACCCTGATGCCGATGCTGATCCCGATCCCGATGATGGTTGGCGTGGGTTGTTGCGCAGGACGAGCAGCCAGAGCAGTGTGAGGATGGTCGCAATGAGCAGCGTCTGGCCGACAATCATCCCGGCCAGGAACGGCACCACCGCCGACGACGACGACGACGACGACGACGATGATGCAAAGCCAAGCATCGACGACGATCCAGCAGCCGAAGTGTCGCGCGGCGCGTCGCTCGTCCAGTACGACAGCCAGCCAGCCTCAGCTGCTGCTCCAGCGCCAGAGCCAGCCTGAGCATCTGTGCCTGCGCCAGTGATGGCGGCTGCTGCTGCCGACGATACTGCTTTGGTGGCTGCTGCACCGCCACGCAATATGGCGTCCATGAGTTGTTTGGGGAAGTGAGACTGGAGCGTGAAGATTGAGATTGAAAAAGTAGACTGAGGTTCTAAGATTCTGACGGGCCAACCCTTTCTTTCGCTTCAAGCTGACTGAAGATGTCGAATTGCGACTGTTTTCAGATGGGTTGAGTTCACACCGAGGTGTGTGCTGCACTCTGAATGCCAACTTACAACAAAAACCCGAATCGGCGAGCACTTTTCGCGTCTGACTGCGCCGTGGATGTCCACATTGTACTCAACGGCTGAGCCAGTATATCGAGCAAGGTTTTTTCAGCCTATGAGCAGGGTCGCAGTTTGCCCAAGCGTTTCAACAGCGAACAGGGAACTTTCGCTTTTGGCGCTGTTTTGTTTTTGGAATTCCCCTCAAACAACAGCATTTTGTCGTATCTGTTTCAATCTCTTGTTTCGATGTGTCAAAATGCATCTCTTTGCCGAGTTTGTTATTTCGTTCGTTTGTTGCTTCAGTCGTCTTGCTGCATTTTGTCAATTCATTCACCATTCACAATGCTGTCTCGTCTGTCGCTCTCTGTCGCTCGCCAGGTAAATCCCCTCTTCTCCATCTTCTCCCTCTTCCAGCAGACCCCCATCGCCGTCCCTCTTCTTCTTCTTTGTCTTCTTCTTGTGAATGTGATTGCACACCCAGACGCTGCCTCTCTATCTCTCTCTCTCGGCTCCAACCCCTGTCGCAAAGTCACAGTGACCGTGTCGCACGATTCTCCTGTTCCCACTCTCTCTCCCTCCTCCTCCTGCCCCTCTCTGCCTTTGTTCCCCCCCCCCTGTTTGCTGTTCCCAATCGTCTTTCCTCTCTTGCCACAGTCGCAGCGCCTCGTCCCCTCCCTCTCCCTCTACCTCTCCCTCTCCACACGCTGTTGTTCACTCACTGTCAATCCAGTTTCAAACATCAACGCCAAGATACAAAAAAAAAAAAAAAAAAAAAAAAAAAAAATTCACGTTTTTTTCTTTTTGTGCCGATCTTTGCTTTTTTTTTTTTTTTTTTGCTTTTTTTTTTCAGTGATGATCATCTTCAATGCATTTTGGCTGCAAAAGTGAGATGCGATCGAATTCAACGTGTGTGCAGACGAACGATGTGTGTGTTTGTTGCAGCAAACGCAGATCAGCTGGAAAAGCAACAACAACAGCAAGTTGATCAATGAGAAAATACAAAAAAAAAAAAAAAAAAAAGAGCAAAAGAATCGATTTTTAACAGTCGATTTGGAGTCACGTTCGGTCAACCAATCGCGATACCTTTTGGTACCCTGGCGATCCATACGCTTTAGTGACCACCTTGGCTTTTTTTTCCCCCAACAAACCGATCATCCCCCTTCAATGCAACATCACACTCCCACTTCATGCTCACCCGCTTTTTTTCTTTTTTTTTTTTTTCTGAAAACCTCGCTCGAATCTCAACCCCCCTTTTGGACAGGCCCCCGCTCTGGCCCGCGCTTACTCGGCCAAGCCTGCCACGTCCGGCCTCAAGGAACGCCTCCGTGAGATCATCCCCAAGAAGCAGGAGGAGGTCAAGACCTTCCGCAAGGAGTACGGCCACGTCAAGATTGGCGAGGTCACCATCGACCAGGCGTACGGCGGCATGCGCGGCATCAAGGGTCTTGTCTACGAGACTTCCCTGCTCGACGCCGACGAAGGCATCCGCTTCCGCGGCCTCTCCATCCCGGAGGCCCAGAAGGTCCTCCCCAAGGCCCCCGGCGGTGCCGAGCCCTTGCCCGAGGGTCTCTTCTGGCTCCTTGCCACCGGCGAGGTCCCCACTGCCGAGCAGACCAAGGCACTCTCCGCCGAGCTCGCCTCGCGCGCCTCCCTCCCCGCCCACGTCGTCAACCTGATCAACAAGTTCCCGGCCACCCTCCACCCCATGTCGCAGCTCGCTGCCGCCGTCGCCGCCCTCCAGAGCGAGTCCAAGTTCGCCAAGGCGTACGCCGCCGGTGTCAACAAGGCCGAGTACTGGGACACCACCTACGAGGATTCGCTTGACCTGATTGCCAAGCTCCCCATCGTCGCCGCCATGATCTACCGCAACCTCTACCGCGACGGCAGCATTGGCGCCATCGACCCCAACAAGGATTGGTCTGCCAACTTTGTCCAGCTCCTCGGCTACGACAACCCCCAGTTCACCGAGCTCATGCGTCTCTACCTCACCATCCACACCGACCACGAGGGTGGCAACGTGAGCGCCCACACCGTCCGCCTCGTCGGCTCGGCCCTCTCCGACCCGTACCTTTCCTTCGCCGCCGGCATGTGCGGTCTGGCTGGCCCGCTCCACGGCCTCGCCAACCAGGAGGTCCTCGTCTGGCTCACCAAGTTCCAAAAGTCGCTCGGCGGCAAGGAGGTCTCGGATGAGCGCCTCTCTGAGGAGATCTGGAAGACGCTCAAGTCTGGCCAGGTCGTCCCCGGCTACGGCCACGCCGTCCTCCGCAAGACCGACCCCCGCTACACTTGCCAGCGCGAGTTTGCCCTCAAGCACCTCCCCAACGACCCTCTGTTCAAGCTCGTCGGCCAGCTCTACAAGCTCGTCCCCGACATCCTGCTCAAGCAGGGCAAGGCCAAGAACCCCTGGCCCAACGTGGATGCCCACTCTGGCGTTCTCCTGACCCACTACGGCATGACCGAAATGAACTACTACACTGTTCTTTTCGGCGTCTCCCGCGCACTCGGTGTCCTCGCCTCCCTCATCTGGGATCGCGCTCTCGGCTTCCCGCTTGAGCGACCGAAATCCCACACCACCGAGGATCTCAAGAAGATTGTCAAGAAGATGGGTGTTGAGCCTGCCAAGGGTGACAAGCCCGTCGCTGCCGACGATTAAAAAGAGCAAAAGTTGAACCTTCGACCTCGGTTTTTTTTTTTTCTTGTTTGTGAAACGGTCTCCCTCTTTTTGACTCTGCCATGGGTTTTTTGCGTGTGTGTTTCAAGTTAGCCTCTCTTGCTTTGCTTTTTGCTCTCGAGTTGGTTTTGAACGATGTGGCTTGTGAAAAATTGGGCATCGCGATGAACAAGAAAAACAAAACAAAAAAAAAGTTCCATTCATTCATTCATTTCTGTTGTACAAGGTTTGACTGGCTCCTCTTCGATACACATCGACACGACCATCTAGCTGGTTGACTCTGCTGCTTGTTTCAACGCGGCCATGAGCTTGGCTTCATCGAATCGGTGTTGCATGGCAAACTGGTCGTTGATGTGCAGAACTGGAATGTCGTACTTGTACTTTTCAAACCACGTTGCGTTTTCTGGGCGTGTGATGTCAATAAACTCGATGGTACATGGGATCTGTGTGTATGTGGGCATGTTCCAAAAAGCGATTCGTTGTCGGCGTTTGCTCAGACATCATCACAACAACTCACCAATCCTGCATCGCATCGCACGCCTCATCCAAAAGCCTCAGAAACTAATAGCAAACCGCACCTGAGCTTGACACTTGTACATGACTTCCTTGGCTGGTACGCAGAGCGAGCATTCATCCTGTGATCGAGTGAAGTTGACGTTGGAAGTGAGCTCAAACACAGTCAGTCCATGCTGTCACCCAATCGGACAACCGACCCGTACCTTGGTGAAAAAGCTCAGCTTTGGAAGTGGTTTGGCCGATCCACTGCTCGCAGCAGCGGCGGACGGAATGGCGGTCGTGGAGAGCAGCCGCCGCGACAATGTCGGAAGCGTGAGTCGAGCAAGTGAAACAACGGTCATTCTGAAACAAAGCAGCAAAAAGAGGACGACTGGACTGGAAGACAACGTGCATATGTGAATGGACTAAATCACAGATGGAATCGGTTTGGATTTTGTATTGGAACGAGCACAAAGGAAATCGACAAAACTCTCTTCCTGCCTCGCTGTCGCTCGCTCGCACTCGCACTACACGGAGCGATTGTAATGGGAGAACTCGGGCTTGAGCTGATATGTGTTTCGGTTGGCACCCCGAGTGTTGTAGTCACAAAGCTCGCTAAGCACTTGCTTGAGATAGTTCTGGAAAACAAGCACAAAAATCAGCACAAGATAGTCAACATTGCGCTGCACATAGACACAAAAGACACACTCGACCAAAGCACAAAAATACGCACCGGTGGCTGGTTGGTAAGTTGCTGGAGCTGTTGAAGACTAGCAAACTGGTACCGTTCGAACACGGCAGTGATCTGGTCCTTGAGCTGCTCCTTGTCAATGCGCTCGCGCTTGTCGACGTCCCTGCGCTTTTCGCGTTGCTTTTCCTGTAGCGAAAACAAACCCAGCATTCAAAGGTCAAGAAGTAAGTTTTGTTTGAAGAGCCGGGAACAACTTTTATGCATGGTGGACTTGCCTCTTCCGCGATGGCCGACACTGGCTCATACAAGGCCTTCACAACCGCGACTTGCTGGGTCTCGAACTTGGGCTTGGCTTCGAGCTCTCGTTTTCTGTAGATTTTCACCAAGTGATGATTGTGAGTTGTGCGAGATCGCTGGAGCGATGCACCCCCCCCCCTCCATGTTGGCCTGAAAGCTTACGCCGACAGGTAGGCGCGATACTCGTCGTTTAGCACAGGCATAACATCGCACTTTTGAACAGCAGTGCCTTCGAACGCAAGGTTGCCTGTTTTCACGAGCAAAATTGTGTGAGAAGTGAAGCCCAGCCAAAAATAAAAAATAAGCTGTCAAGCAAAACCGCTTCCCCTCACCTGATTCATCCTCGGAAAATGCGGCAGCTCCTAGAGTGTTTGGCAGGATTTGCATGCGATACTGATGTGGCAGCAAGAGATCGTTCTGGTCGGTCAGATCGAGCTCAATGTCGATTCCAATCTGTGTGCCCCAGGCAAGTCAGCCACATTCTAGCAGCGAGAGTACACACAGTAGCTTGCAGAGAGTCCTTTGCGCTTACCTCACGAGGTGCACCAAAGCTGCGGATGGATGCGGAATGATGGTGAAGTAATGAACATTGGGGTTTCCAATAAATCGACAACATGGAGTATCAGCAGTGCTCTCCCAGTCTGAGTCGCACCAACAACACTTCTTTTTTTGTCCATACGTACCGCGATGGTGCCGGAGCACTCGTGGGCATCTGGAGTGTGGCAAAGTGTGTTTGATCTTCGAGGTGTTCAAGCGCATTGGCAAAGTACTCTGGCACCTATCAAACGAACATCGCCAAACCCCCATCATCAATTGAATTAAGATTTCCATGTATCATCATCATGAGATTGGATTCAAGTCAGGTCCCAGTGATCAGAGTAGTTATCGTATTGAACGTCATTGAAATCGGTGGTTGGACGTTTGTGTGGGTTGCTCGCTTCCTTCCTCACCTTGACAAGCCAGACCTGGCGACCGAGGCGCGAGGGCTCGACTGGCTGTGGGATTTCATGCGGCTGCAGCGGGCGTCCGTTGGGACCGAGGACGACTGGCCTGGCGCCAAAGCCGGGCTTCTCGTCGAGCGTGTCCATTGGCTTGACATCGAGCCCTGACGCTGCTCCTGATGACCCTGCTCCTGAGCCTGAACCTGAACCTGAACCTGAACCTGACCCCGACGGCCCTGATGCGGGCGACTCGAGGGTTGCAGTTGGACGGCGCACGGGCTGGCGCACTGCCATCATCCGCTGCTGCTCCTCGCGCAGGAACCGCTTGGCGGGATGCTCGTCGTCGTCGTCGTCCATCATTCCGTGCTCTGTGCTTTTGGATGAAGGAAGACTGGTCACCAACAACAAACAAGAGACGGAAGAGAGTTGTTTCATTCAAATGCAGAGTGTAGCCATGGAACGTGCAAGTCGCGGAAAAGGGGGGAAGGAAGTGTGCGTCGGTACTCGAATCTCAGTGTAAATCTCAGGTCTGTCGCTTTCTGATGTGAGTGTGTGTGTGCAGCAACAAGTACAGTATCAGGCACTTGTAATGGGCACATCAACAAAGTTTAAATGGCGAGTTCACTCGTTTTGTTTTTGTTCTGAGAAACTCTGGATATGGAGCTGTCAATCCGCGCATCTGGTTTGTGCGCTTTACTGCGATTCTGCTCCAACAACCAGCTTTGTCTAGCAAGCACTTTGAACTCATTCGGTTTGCATTCGTTTGCAGATGCGACTGCAGTGTGCGCGGCGCTCGCGGCTCGTCTCGAAGACTATCTGGAGCGACCTCAGTCTGAAGCGACTGCTCAGGCACTCTGCGCTGCGTGCGCATTGCTGCTCGCACCCGAGGCTGCCGTGAGTCAAATGTCAAAATGAGTCTGAATCTGCTCAACTGTGTCTGTTGTTGAACGAAGCGCCAAAGTTGGGGCACTCTGTTCTATTGAGAAATGGCTGACAAGCTCAAGTCAATGACAAACGACGTGACAGACCCTGCTGGGGGAAGCATCGCTCGAATTGGCAGCCGCGATTGGCCCAGCACTGCAGTTCATCAGCCGTGACGAGTTTCAGTCCAGCACGGGTGGATTGGTCGCTCAGTCCACATGCCAGATCCTCGAACAACTGTTCATCGCAGGTATCTGGATTCGATTCTGAGATGGTTGGATTTTGTGTCGAGCATTCTATTATGGTTGTGCTGATGCGTTTCTGTTGCATTGGAGCAGTTCTTGAACAGAGCGGGTTGCTTGAAAGCCACCTCATTCTGCTCGAGCAAATCGAGCTGTTGCGCTCGCAGCACATTGAACGCTGCCAGACCACGCCCCACCAGTTACCACGGGTTGCGATACTCTTCATCCAACAATTGGGAGCGTGCTTGTTGAAAATGGCGCCAAAGCGTCGGTCCAAATTTCTTGGATCGTCCGTTAACGCACTCGTGCGGTTGTTGCCTTTCGGCGTCATTCCATCAGCTACGCAGCAAAAACAGTCAGCTGGATCCAACCCGACGAAGCTCATTGACACCACTGGCACATCTGAGCTGGACTTGACAATCTTTTCGGCGATGGTTGACATGATCGTGCCGTTGATTCCGAAATCCTTATCGCCGGATGAAAAAGCCCAACCTGCCGACCTCGAGGGCGACGTTCATTGGACGCGCAGCACCGACCGACCTCTTGTCTTGCTATTGTTGCATGCTACCGCCAAGCTTGCCACCGTGCGCTGGTGGGCAGCCGAAGGTGCTGACATTCCGACTCCTGCTCCCGCCAGGCCTGCTTCCGCTGCCGTTCGAAGCGAGTCAGTCAGATCTATTCTGGTCATTGATCGAGCCAACCCTGCTGACATCTACGATGAGCCGGCACTCGCATTAGCCCGAAGAATTGCGGCTACACTCGCCGATGCGCCTTTCAGAATTGGCACTGGAGAACTTGCGACCGCCATTTCATCCCAGACCGCTGCGCTCGCCTCTTCTTCCACGCCAAGATCTGCTGCTGTGCAGAAAGATGAAACTTCAGACGACATGCCCGAAGGAGAGCCCATCCAAGAGAGCGAGCTCATTCCTGCCACCAGCATAGTTCTCGACCTTTTGCTGTTGGACCACGCATCTCGAAGGCAAAAGACAAGCTACGAGCTTATTGGTCCGCTTGCAAAAGCCGTGCGAGTGCTTCTGCGCCACGCCGAGATGCGATTTTTATTGACAAAGGGCTTGATGCTTTTGAACGGGCTGACCAATTGGCTGGAACAGAACAAACTGCCTCCCCTTTCGACCAGCGAGGCCGAAACCGCCCAAATACAACCCCTGCTGCAGACTTTGGTCGACCTTCTCGCTTGCTGCCCACACGAAGGTGTTCGACGGCTGATACCTGGTATTCTGGTGCGCTTTTTGAATCTGGCTGCTGACGAATCGTATCGGTGTCGGTTTGCAACCACCACCCTCGTTGAAACATGCCCATATCCCTTTGTGACAGCACTGGTCCTCGATGCACTCCGCGATAGTCGTCATGTACCAGCGCTCAAACTTGGCGCACAGTCGTGGATGGTCGTGCTGCAGGCAGCCATGCACAAGTTTGCTCCTCCAACAGCATTTACGCCAGATCAGGTCAACGCACTCATGGACCCATCGTCTTCTCCCGTGGACGTCTACCAGAGCTTGATGAACGAAATCCTGTTCATGCTTGCGAGCACTCGGATTGGCGATGGCGTCCGGGCCAACACGGCTTTTATTGATCGCATCCGCACGTATGTTGCCGGCTTGGGCTCCAGTGTCGATGGTCTCATCACACTGCTCCATCGTGTCCCTGCCGACGCTCCCGGTGCGCGATTAGCCGGGGAGCAGCAATTGCGTCTGCTTCTCCTGAACAGTGCGATCGACCGCCTCAAAAGCGCCGTTCCCGGCATGACTTTTGCCGTGTAGTTCAAGCTAGGGGGGGGGTGATCAGGATGACTTGAAGCGATTTGTACATTTTGTGTGACTCTTTGGCAATCCAGCCATGTACTCGAATACTCTTACTCGCACCCATGCAATTTCTGACCTGTGCACTGACTTAGCTCTAGATCTGTACACCTCTTCGACCCTTTCCCGACCTCCTCCTCCTCTCTTCCCTTTGCTAGTCTCGCTCCCGGGAGCTGCTCCGACTTTCGTGGTAGATTTGGGTCGAAAACAGGTCAAAATCGAATCAATCCGTTGGCCAGCAACTCTTCCTGTGTATGAAACTTTGACACGCTCGAACAGAAGAGTGCGAGAAACATGTGTGGTCTTGGTAAGAAAACAGCATAACGACAAAAACAAAGTGGGGGACGGGGGCGTGACGAAACCAAGACGGAAGGGGCTGGAATGGAAGCGAGCCAAACGGGAAACGAGCCAACCACTTCAAATGTCGTCCGACTCTCGTCCAGCTCTCGTATCTTGAAGCTCTCCGCCTTCCAATATTCCCCGCTTGCATGTAGATCGCCCGTTGGACGCCGCACGTCGCAACAGCGCCAGCGTCAAATCGTACTTGTGTTTTGTAGTGTTTGACCACTCCTTTTTTCTTTTTTTGTTTTTTTTTTGGGTTTTTTGTGGTTTTTTTTTTGTGGTTTTGGCTTTTTGTGGTTTCCTTACTTTCTTTTTCTGTTTTGTACGTTCCCTCCCCCTCCCTGCCCCTTGTTTGTAACCCAACGCACATCCGCAAACCCAAAGAAGCGCTCTACTGCTCTCTTTCGATTCTCTCGCTGATTTTGCAGTGACATCTGCCTGCCGCTTTGCAAAAGTCGAAGTCGAAATTTTGCTTGTCGCGATTTCGAGCTCGTTCTGTCTTTCCCTCCCAACCCCGGTTTCTGCTCCCATGGTGCTCTCTGTTTGCTGCACACTACTAAAAGCTACTCAAGTTCAGTAGAAGAAGCGAAGGATTGAAACGAACAACGGGCTCTGCGACTGGCACCCAACCAAAGCAAAAGGGGAAAAAACAAAACCAAGGACAAACATGTCTAAACTGCGCCTTGCTGTGGTCGAACAGGTCGCGCCGTCTCTCACCGGTGCATTGTTGAGGAATCAATGGGGGAAGTGGTCAACAATCGCACGCGCGGGCACAGAGAGGCGCAGAAAAGGAGCACGCTTCGTTACGGAGGCTCGGGCACATGTGTCGTGACGCTGCTGCTTCTTGCTTGGGTGATTCACACGCTCTCCCCTCTGAAGTCAGCCCCTCTTCCACCACGCGGACGCGGGGGCGAGTGTTGGTTTTGTTTTTTATGTGATTTGATGCTCACTCTCTCACTCTGCCAATTATTGTCGCAGATCCAAACACTCAAGATGGGAACAAGAGGATTTACCTTTTGTCTGCTGCTTCTGCTGCTGTTCTGCGCGACGAACCACGTCGAGTTGGCACAGGCGGCCAATGATGCTTGCACCGTGTGCACTTGCTCGGGAACTGATGTCAATTGCTATGGCCAATCTCTCACAGCCATTCCGAGTGGAATCCCAACCCACACAACACAACTGTAGGTGTTGCTGTTACGCTAAAACTTGAGGCAAAGCGTTGCCCTCCTGACTGACTAGCATATGGTCAATAGGACTCTCGACCTCAACTCGATCACTAGCATTTCGGCAAACGCATTCACCGGTCTTACTGCCCTGACTTACCTGTAAGCAAGCAACTGACAGGAAAGGCTACGAGCAGACGGCTCACTCATTTATCACTCCATCGGTAGGTCTCTGCAATACAATCAAATCACCGGCATTCCTGCTGGCACATTCACCGGCCTGACTGCGCTGACTGCCCTGTAAGCACGCAAAAACACGATGTACCACGCACAACCGGCTCACTCGTTTCTGACTCTATCGGTAGGTTTTTCGCCTACAACCAGATCACCAGCATTCCTGCTGACACATTCACAGGCCTGACTTCGCTGACTTACCTGTAAGCGAGCAAACATGATGTATCACGTACAACCGGCTCACTCGTTTATAACTCCATCGGTAGGTCTTTGCAAAACAACCAGGTCACCAGCATTTCGGGAACCGCATTCACCGGCTTGACTGCGCTGACTTCCCTGTAAGCGAGCAAAAACACGATGTATCACGCACAACCGGCTCACTCGTTTCCGACTCTATCGGTAGGTCTCTGGGACCCAACCAGATCACCAGCATTCCTGCTGACACATTCACCGGCCTGACTGCGCTGACTACCCTGTAAGCGAGCAAACACATGATGTACCACGCACAACCGGCTCACTCGTTTATAACCCCATCGGTAGGTCTCTGCAAAACAACCAGATCACCAGCATTTCGGGAACCGCATTCACCGGCTTGACTGCGCTGACTTGCCTGTAAGCGAGCAAAAACACGATGTACCACGCGCACTCGTTTCTGACTCTATCGGTAGGTATTTCGGCTCCAACCAGATCACCAGCATTCCTGCTGGCGCATTCACAGGCATGACTTCGCTAACTTACCTGTAAGCAAGCAAGCACATGATGAACCACGCACAACCGGCTCACTCGTTTATGACTCTATCGGTAGGTCTCTGTATCTCAACAAGATCACCAGCATTTCGGCCAACGCATTCGCCGGCCTGACTGCGCTGACTTACTTGTAAGCAAGCAAACACATGATGTACCACGCACAACCGGCTCGCTGGTTTCTGACTCTATCGGTAGGTCTCTGTTCAACAATAAGATCACCAGCATTCCTGTTGGCGCATTCACCGGCCTTACTGGGCTGACAGATCTGTAAGCAAGCAACCGACAGGAAGGCTACAAACAGACGGCTCACTCGTTTGCGATTCCATCTTTAGGTATCTAGACGGCAATCAGATCACGAGCATTCCCTCTTCTTCATTCACAAACCTGACTGCGCTGACTGCCCTGTAAATATGAACTCTCGTTGCACGCATTCGATCCGCTTCTTACTTTTTGCGTACCTGCAGGGCTTTGCAAAACAATCCTATCACGACTTTGCCACCTGGTCTGTTCAAGGGCTTGCCAAATGGCTTGGCGTTGTCGAATCCAAACCCATATCTGGCCCCCAATAACTTTACTTTTGGTGGCAACACTGTTGCTCCGCCCAGCACCTACGGCAATGCATCGAAACCATACAGTAAGAGTTCGAGATGACCACAATTCCCATTTTGTTCACTTTGCTGACATTTGTGTTGTTGTAGAGTGTGATACAGTCTGTGCCACCTGCTATGCTGTGGGGTCCAGTGCGTGTTGCGAGACCAATTGCCTGTACTGCACTTCATCGTCTGTGTGCACTCAGTGCTATGACGGTTATGGCATGCTGGGTGGATCTTGTGTTCCTCTTGCTTCCATCGCTTCGGTCGCTTCGGTTGCGTCCACGCAATCTGCCTCGGCAGCCTCGATGGCCTCTGATATTTCCGCTGCCTCGGCGTCCGTTGCCACTGTGTCCTCAGCGTCAATTGCCTCGCAAATGTCTGCGTCCGCCGCCAGTGCTTCATCTGTTTGGCAGACATCGGCTGCATCTGCTGCGTCCAATGCTCCAAACGAGTCAAGCGATGCATCTTCTTTGCCCATTATTCTTGGAGTCATTTTTGGCGTGCTAGGTCTTCTCTTGTTGGTTGCGCTGGTTGTGGCCCTTCGGCGTCGTCGCTCGCCAAACGCATTGGCAACCAGCAGCACGGCCACCAAGCTCCGCGAATCGACACCCGGCTCGGAGCCGACCTATCAGGTTGTCGATAACAGCGGAACTGTGGCAAACGTTGTGAATCCAACCTACAGCACGTTGTCTGCGACTGGCGACCACGCCTTGTACGAACACGTTGGCTCACAGCCTCAAGGTCCTACGGGCTCGGAGCAAGTGTATGCCGAAGCATCTGCACCCGGCGTCGAGTACGCTGATCCTTCGCTGCCCAATGCCTCGTCTGTCCGTGTGCCGCCCACGCCCTCAACAACCACTTACTCGACGATCTCCGGTGTAGTTTCCACCACCAGACGGTAATTTGTCGACTCCGCGCCGATCGCTGACTCGCGTGTTCGTTGGTTTGTGCTGATCGACTGGCTCCTTGATTGGATTGTGATCTTTTTGTCTGTCATTGTCATGGATTCCCCTTTCTGTCTTCGTCGTGCGTTTACACTCTGATGTGTGCTTTGTTCAATGCCCAATGCATCAATTCGACGAGTCAGTAGTAGCTGAGCAAACGACCAAAAGCCGGAAGAGATCAGTGCAACTTCTTACAAATAGCGTTCAATCACTGTCCATCGAGATACCTCTATACCTCTCGATTACATTAACCACCATGTTTTGCTCACAAGCGAAACCAAAATTCAATCCCAGCGTACTCTGTCTCTTTGCTGAATGGCTGACAATCTCAAGCGATCGACTTGAAAGCGAATTGCACACAGAGTGTGACTCTTTGGCTATCCAGCCATGTACTCGAATACTCTTGCTCATATACACATGCAATTTCTTATTTTGGACTTGTGCACTCTAATTTCATTCTTTTTTTTTTTCTCAGACAATGCTTGTGCGATCAAGGGTCTCGTGGAGGTCTCCCGCTGCGATTGCTGCTGCAGCTGCGCTGTCGCTGTCGCTGCTGCTTGTGCTGCATGTGGCTGAGACCGAGGCCAACCTCGTTCTGCGCACTCCGCTCAACCAGACGATCAACGTTGACACTGCCGACGCTGACTTTGGCTCGTATGCGAATGGTGGGTTTTGTTTTTTTTTGGTTCCGCTTTGCCTCTTCGTCCGCTCTCGTTCCCACACACCCCCCCCCGGCACCTCCTTCTCTCCTATTGCTGTGACTGTATTCGTGCCATTGTAATGTTGTTGGTACAGTCAGCGAGGGGGTGCAATCTTGTTGTCGTTGTGTTCCTATCTGCTGCCGCTCACCGTTTTTACGATGTGGCGTCATCACTCCGACACACTCTCTCTCTCCGACTCGCTGATGCACTCTCCCTCTCTCCCTCTTCCCACTCTCTCCCTCTCTTACTCTCTCCCTCTTTACTCTTCAGCACTTGTACGCAATCATTGTCCGCGTGTCTTTTGCTGCTTTTTTTGTTCGACCATCCATTTGCGTTGCTCGCCTTCGCACTGCCCTCTTGCTTACTCTGGCTTATTGCTTCTCTCTGCTGAACTTTTCAACACCCCTCGCTCGCCTCGCCTCTTCGTCCCTATCTATCTTCATTGCATTCCTCGCCAAATCCATTCGCCTTCTTCAAATATGGTTGATGCATGCTCAATGCAACGTTGAACCTTTTTCCCCGCAACGCGCTCTCGTTTTCGAGTGTTTCTTGGCACTTCTCAACGTCATGAGATTGCATTCAATGCTGTCTGCAGTAAAACTCAACATTTTTTTCTTTTCTAATGTTTTATGTTTTATTGTGGGGGGCGGGGTGGTCTCTGTTTGCAACCACAGGTCTCAGAGCAACTCTCTTCTTGTCGACGCCCGATATCCGAGGCTGCTCCCCGATCAAGCCGCCCGCCAACTTTACAGGTAGCTGGGCAGTGCTCGTCCAACGTGGCAACTGCTCATTTTCCGCCAAGGTAGGAGCATCGTGACAGGGTTTTCTGGGTGGGATTTTCCCCCAAAACCTTATCCAAAACAACAACAACAAAAACAAACACCATGTCCCGACACTCGGCAGCAGCTCGTCGATCGCTCGGTCGGTTGCTTTTTCTTTCGCAACCTTGTGGCCACGTCAATGCGTGCACGAAAAAGTAGCGGCATTGATCGCGGAATGGGAATCGGGGGGGAAGGGGAAAAAGCGAGATCAGACAATGTGACTCGCTTTTGGTTTTGTTTTTGAATTGGTTTTGGTTTTGCGCCGTGACCCTCTCCCCAAACTTCACTCACAACATGTGCTCGGGATGCTCGATGAAACACAGGCATTCGCGGCACAGCGTGCTGGCGCAGCGGCAGTCATCATCTTTGACGACGTTGACGAAGACTTGATTGAAATGGGCGGCGACTCGGACGTTGCCATCGTCGCCGTATTCATCAGCCGAGACGATGGCGAGCTTCTCCAAGAATATGCCGAACAACAGGGCTCGACTGTGACCATTTGGCAAAAGTATGTCTTTTTGTTGTTGTTGGAAGATGCGCTTTTTTTTTTTCTTTTTTTCCTTTTTTTTTTTTTTTTTTTTTTGGTGATCGACCTGACAATTGTCTGTCTGTTTTCCTCCTGTTAGTGACGACATCTTTGGAGTGTGGCCGACCTTCGTTCTGCCCTTCATGATTATGATGCTCGTGACCGCGTCCATCTACGGAGTCTACCTTGTGTACCGCCACCGCCGGATGCTTCGCGCAAATCGCATGCTCGAACCAGAAGTCATTACCATCCCGACGCGTCCCTACAAAATGTCCGCCGACCAACAGGAGCCAGACACTTGCGCTGTCTGCATTGAGGAGTTTGCTGTCGGCGAAAACCTGCGTGTCCTGCCGTGCAATCACCTGTTCCACGACGCCTGCATCGTGCCATGGCTCACCCAGCAGCGCAGCACCTGCCCGATCTGCAAACGTGACGTTCGCACTGGTCGGTCGTCAGGTGCTGGTGTCAGCACACCGACTGTGATGGTTGCTGGCGAACGGACGCCGCTTCTTCGCGGCAGCACCAGCACTGGCCAAACTGCCAACTCGTTGCCGCCATCGATTCCGCCGCTGCCTGCCTCCGTTTCAGAGCAAAACTCACGCCTGACTCCTTCTCTCAGCCAGATTCAAAACACTGTGTAGCTGAATGGTGCCGGGGGTGGATGAAGCTCTCTGTCGTTGAGCATGCACAGCCAGAACAAACAAAAACACACACACAAAAAACCCAAAAATACTGATTCCTTCGATTGACGTTTTGCTTTGAGTTGGGATGTCGTATGTATGTATGATCAATATCACCTGGAGCTCTGCGACCAGGTCGGTAAAATACACAGCTTTCGCTTGCATTTGTATCGAGTGTTCAACACGATTTGCAAGGTGGCAAAGTAAAAGGTCGACATTTACATTGGAGAAGAAAAAGAGCAATCACAACACACAAACAAACAAACAAACAAATAAAGCAAACAAACAAACAAACAACCAATCAAAAAAAAAAAAAAAAAAAGGACGGAAAACACCAAATAGAAACGTCACACAATGATAAACAGCAAAGCAAAAAACAAGCATAAGCCACATCCAGGCGACGGAAGCGCATGCGGCCTACATGCAAAATTAGCCGACAAACACCCAACAACGCTTAGCGTGGCGGCGGTGGTCGAGCTGTTGTTGAGCAAAGGAACATCAGAACAACAACAACAACAACAGCAAGCGAGCCAAGTTAGAGGTGAGAACAGCAACAAACTGGCAAGCGCAAAACGCAAGTGACGTACGACTACTTCGGTTTGGTGGTGGCGGGGGTGCGCTTCCGCGATTGGGAGCTGCTGGTGCGGCACGAGCGGCAGTGCTTGTCCGTGCTGCAAAACAAAGTCGTCAACAAAAGTCAGAAATCAACCGCAAAGAAGAAACCCCCAGAAACCAATGGTGGGACAAACAACATTTCAGCAAACAACGCATCACTCACCGCCTGCAGGACCGGATGTTGCAGAGATATAGGTCTTGGGACCGGGAGTGTACGGCTCTGGGTCGGGGATGGAAGGAGGGTTCGGGAAGAAGCGTGATTCGAAATCGCCGCCCTGGTTGGATCGGGCTGGCGCCGGCGGGGCATTCGAGGCGCGAGTGGGTGGAGGCGGGGCAGCCGAGGTGCGGTTGGACGGCGGCGGTGGTGGGCCTGCAGTCCGGCCGGGTGGCGGCGGAGGGCCTGCGCGCTGTGCAGCCGGTGGTGGTGCAGGGGCAGCGTCACGGGTTGGTGGCGGCGGAGGAGCAGCGTCACGTGTTGGTGGCGGCGGAGGGCCAGCCCGACCAGGCGGTGGCGGAGGTCCAGCGCGGCCAGGCGGTGGTGCGGGCGCAGCGGATCGTGTTGGCGGCGGAGGAGCCGCGGCCCGGTTTGGCGGGGGCGGGGCGCCAATTGCGGACGATCGAGGCGAGTTGGACGCGCTCGAGCTGTCGGCGTCGTCGCGTGCCGGAGGCGGGGGAGGGCCAGCGCGGCCGGGAGGCGGAGGAGCGCCACCGCGTGACGGCGGAGGAGGACCTGCTGGCCGTGGTGCTGATGAAACGGGAGACGGGGCTGCTGGAGGTGGGCCAGCGCGGGAAGGCGGAGGAGGCGCGCCTCCTGGACGTGGTGCGCTCGGCGGGGGCGCCCGAGCCATTCCGGGGGAACCCGCAGAGCTGGTAGGGGTGGCCATGGGCGCTGGTGGTCGTGGTGCCGGCGCCGCTGCAGCAGGAGTGGGAGCCATCGGAGGCCGTGGTGCGCCGCCCATGGCTGGAGGTCGCGGGCCAGAGTTCATCGAGGGAGGAGCCGGTCGAGGAGCGCCGCCTGCAGAGCTGGGGCTGGACGTTGGGGGTCGTGGCATGGCCATGCCTGGGGGTCGAGGGCCAGGAGCAGCAGCAGCGCCAGCGCCGCCACCGCCACCCTTGTTTGGGAGCTTTGGGATGCCACCAGCAAAGAGGCCGCCGCCGCCGCCGCCGCCGCCGCCGCCACCACCGCCACCGCCGCCACCACCACCTTTAGGTGCTGTTGCAGGGCCAAAGGAAACAAGGTGGGAGAGTGAGCCAAAACAAAAGGGAGAATTACAAGGCATTGATTCCAAAGTGCGATTTGCAACCTACCGTCGAGGACGGGTCCAGATCGGTCGTTTGTAACAGTCTTTTTCAACTTTGTGCCACCTCGAATGTCGCCGAGGAGCGCGCCGCGAGCCTTCTCGCCGCCCTTGGTCATGGGCGGGGGGCCGGCAGCGGGCGGCGGCGGGGGGCCCGGAGGCGGGGGAGGCGGGGGAGGCATTGTGCTGGATCGAGACTAGGCACCCAATGTATCCGACTTTCGGCCAAAAAGGGGGATTGAGCAAAAAGGGGGGGTGGGAACCGACGACGACGCTCTCTTTTTGCGTTAGCGGGTTTCGAGCGAACGGATTTCAAAACAATTGGGGAATTGTCTCAGCCACACGCCAACGAAACAAGCAAGTCAAGAGGCGGACGACGGAACCTGTGACGAGCGAAATGTGATGAGACATGAACGCAAGTGAGAACCATCGAGTGAGGCAACAACGGCATCAAACAGGGACGATTTGGACGAGAATGTTGGAACAAAAGGGGGGCAACTTGTGCTTTTTGTGACTTGTCGAGCTGTCAATGAGCCGTCAATGGTCACAAGGAGGCTAGCATCAATGCATGAAAGCGGGGTGTATGTGTGTGGAGTGGGAGTTGGAACGAGACGCACAATGGACACAAGCGGAAGGGAAAATCAAAAAAAAAAAAAAAAAAAAAAAAAAAAAAAAAGAGGCGGGCTTTGGCTTTGGCTTTGTTTGCCTTTGAAGAAGCCCAGCGGCTGCAACTCGGGCTGGTCCGAGCGGCGAGGCGAGGCGAGGCGAACGCAAATCAAGCAAGCACAAATGCAGTCCTGCGGCGACTGGACATCCCCCTTCGACGCAGCCCACACTGAAGGAGCGGAAGGAAGAGAAGCAGTAACAGTGAAAGATCTCGGCTTTTTTTTTATTTTTTATTTTTTTTTATTTTTTTTATTTTTTGTGATTTATTCTCGTCCCATCCCATTGAACGACGAATTGTGGCTGCGAGAGATCGGATTGATCAGCCACGGTTGGAAACCACCGTATCGACAGCGAAAAACGGGGACAAAAGCAAGCGAACGAAGGGCGAAGGACAGACGCAAAGGCAAAGGGACGAACAATCACAAAATAATCGTAAAAAAGAATTAAAAAGAATAAAAAGAATAAAAAGAATAAAAATAATGCAAGTCCTACTCGTGCGAGCGACAGTGAGACGGACGAGAGGGCGCGAGGGCGAGGCAATGTCAGAGTTGTTGGCTGCTCAACACTACATTGCACATGGATGCGCAACCTGGGACACGCCAAAATGGACGTCGTCTCGCTGCTGTTTTGCGTTTTTGGCTCGTGATGCATTGGAAAATAGAACGGGCAGAAAAAAAAAAAAAAAAGCCGCAAAATAATAAATCAAACAAATAATAAAAATAATAATAATAATCTTCAAAATAACAATCTCGCTCTGAAGCGAACGGAAAGAGACGAGAGACGAGAGACGATGAGAGAGAGAGAGAGAGAGTGCGAGCGAGCGAGAAAGAGACAGTGAGAGGAACGTCATCATCAGCAAGAGCGATGAAGCAGCCTGATGGAAGCAAAACCCGCATCGCGTTCATTCACCACCAAAAAAAAAAAAAAAAAAAAAATCAAACATTGCTGAAAAAAACAATCCAAGCAAAGGGTAGCACAGGCCGAGTGAAATGGTGACCGCTTCGTATCAGCTGTAACTGATTTAAACAAAACAAAAACAAAACAAACAAACAAAAAAAAACTCACAAAAAAAATCAAAAAAAAAAAAGAATGCTGGCTTTCCATTTGCGGCAAATTCTGAACACGAAAAACCGCGAAAGTCGGAAATTCGCAGCATCAGAAACTCAGAAGTGGAGGGTTGGAAAATATTGGAGTGTTGGGGGTGGGGGTGAGGTTGCAGGATGAAAGCAGCGAGAGATTTCTATCGGTCCTCGCGGGGGTGTTGTTGTGTTGAACGAGCAAATCGACAATCGGTTTGACTTGGATGTTTGGATGTTGCTACCTTTTGTTTTTTTTGTTTGTTTTTCGATGCAAGCTCACTCTCTGTCCATTTTGCAATGCAGCGGTGGACGCAGCAGCTCGGAGCAGTCTCAACCAGCCGCGTGCTGGCGTGCTTCAGAGCGTCGACGCTGCTGCACCACCACCACCACCACCAGCAGATGCGACACCATGTCACACTAACAGCACCCACCCCCAGACAGAGTCGCTTGCGTGCGATCGATGCAGCCCGAGCAGTTGGGTTGGCTGGGCGCCCAACACTGCGCGCGCTCTCGTCCAACGCCGCCGGAGCCCAAGACCACAGTCCCAAGCCCACCACCCATGAACCGGCTGCAGCCACCCTGCCGCCACAGGCCATCACGCCAAAGGACTTGGATCCCGCGCGGTTTGACATGGCAAAGTATCCGCCAAGACTGGTGCGCAACTTTAGCATTGTGGCACACATTGACCACGGCAAGTCGACGCTTGCAGACCGACTGCTCGAGGTGACGGGCACGATCGAGCGCAACAAGGACAACAAGCAAGTCCTGGACAAGCTGCAGGTCGAGCGAGAGCGCGGCATCACCGTCAAGGCACAATCCGTGTCCATGTTTTACAAGAACAAAGGCGAGACGTACCTGATCAACCTGATTGACACGCCTGGCCACGTCGATTTCAGCTACGAAGTCTCGCGATCACTGTATGCATGCCAGGGCTGCATTCTGCTTGTCGACGCTGCGCAGGGCATCCAGGCGCAGACCGTCGCCAACTTTATGCTTGCCTTCGACAGCAACTTGAGCATTGTCCCCGTGCTGAACAAGATTGATCTCCTGCATGCGGACGCCGCGCGCGTCACCAAGCAGATGCAGTCCGTGTTTGGCACAGAGCCGGAGGAGGCGCTGCGGATTTCCGCCAAGACCAACCTCGGCATCGATCAAGTGCTTCCCGCCATCATTGATCGCGTGCCTCCGCCCAGCGGCAACCCCGATGCTCCGCCCAAGGTCCTGCTGTTTGATTCGTGGTACGACGACTTTCGAGGCGTCGTGTGTCTGATTGCAGTCGTCGACGGCTCGCTCAAGGTCGGCGAGAAGATCACGTCGGTGCACTCTGGTTTGTCGTACGAAATTCTCGAGCTGGGTGTCGTCTCGCCGGAGCGAGTATCCACAACCGAGCTGCACACGGGGCAAGTTGGCTACCTCATCACTGGAATGCGATCGACGTCGGAAGCACGGATTGGCGACACGCTGCACCTCTTCCAAAAACCCGTGGAGGCGCTCCCGGGCTTCAAACCCGTCAAGCCGATGGTGTTTGCCGGTGTGTTTCCGATGGAGCAAGCCGAGTTTGACGACCTGCGCAAGGCCATTGAAAAGCTGACGCTCAATGACGCCAGTGTCACCGTCCATCGCGAAAGCTCGGTTGCGCTCGGCTCGGGCTTTCGGCTCGGTTTCCATGGCATGCTCCACATGGACGTCTTCCAGCAGCGCCTCGAGCAAGAGTATGATGCCAATGTGATTGTGACCTCGCCAAGCGTGCCCTTCCGGGCCGAAATGCGCGACGGCGAAATCAAGACCATTGAGTCCCCTGCCGAATTTCCCGACACTTCGTTTGTCAAGCAATTCCAAGAGCCGGTCGTGATTGGTACCCTGGTCTTCCCAGAAGAGCACCTCGGGGCCATGATTGATCTCTGCCAGCGGAGCCGCGGCGAGCAGGTCGACCTTTCCTATCTCGATGAAACGCGCGTCATGCTCAAGTACCGCCTCCCTCTCTGCGAGATTGTCACTGACTTTTTCGACGCCGTCAAGGGCGTCACGTCTGGCTTTGGAAGCTTTGACTATGACGAGCCGACGTTTGTTCCATCCAAGCTGGTCAAGCTGGACATTGCGCTGAACGACGTGAATTGCGATGCTCTCTCCGTCATTCTGCATGACAGCAAGGCGCAGGAGCATGCCAAGAGCATCTGCGAGCGTCTTGCCGAAACCATCAGCCGCCAAATGTTCGAAGTTGCCATCCAAGGTCGCATCCACTCAAAGGTCATTGCAAGGGCGACCGTCAAGGCCCTGCGAAAGAACGTCACTGCCAAGTGCTACGGCGGCGATGTCTCGCGCAAGAAGAAGCTGCTGGACAAGCAGAAAGAAGGCAAGAAGAAGATGAAAATGATTGGCAGCGTCGAGCTGAGCAAAGAGTCCTTCCTATCAGTCATTTCCAAAGCGCGGTGATTCTGGTGTGTCAAATGATACTGGTGTTTTTCTCTTGGTTTTTTGAACAATGAAAAAAATCAAATTGTAATTCTGGCATTTTCATTTTGGTCAAGAATCTAAAAACAAACAAAAACCCCAAGTTCATCACCCCTCGAACCCTTAAGGGCAAAGACGCTCCACTTGCCAGCTCTGCAGCCCGTCGGCAGTCAGTCCCGGAAGGAGACGATATCGCAATCGGTCGTGCAATCGCGAAGGACGACCCTGCCAAAATTCAATCACGGTGGGGCGCACGAGATATCCACCCCAATTCGCGGGCTTTTCGATGACTTCCGCGTCCTTGAAACGCCCAGCCGCTGCTTCTGTGCGAAGTTCGAGTGCCTGGGGTTGCAATCGCAGAGAGAAATGCAAAAGAAGTGCGACGAATTGAGCGCGATTTCGGGCGCGAACAAAGTTGAGCTGGCTGCACCTGCTCATGCTCACAAACACCATCCATTACCTTGCGGTCAGGAATGACCTGGCTTTGCAGGCTGGCGTGGGCGCCAATTTGACTGCCTCGTGGACGTGATTGGAAATAGGCCGTAGACTCTTCTTCCGACAAGCGCTCAACGACGCCTTCAATGCGAACCTGGCGATCCATCGGGCCCCACCAGAAGGACAATGCCACATGCTTGTTCTGGACCATGTCGGAGCCCTTGTGGCTGCCGTGGTTGGTAAAGAATTGAAACCCGTCCACGCCGTAACCCTTCAGCAGGACGACTCGCGAAGAGGGGCGACCGGTCCTGTTTTTCGGTCCAATATTAATAAGCGTCAGAGAACAAAACAGCACGGGTTAGTATCCACCGATCGTAATTGGAGAAAGTTGCGCAGAATGGGAAATCGTTGCTTTGAAGGGTTTGGCAAGCAGTACTCACGCTGACACTGTGGCAAGGGTCATGCCGTTTGGCTCGTGCACGTTTGCAGCAACAGCCTCGCGAAACCATCGATCAAACTGGTCAATCGGTTGCGATGCCAAATCCTAACATCCGAAACATCAAAGCGAACGTGAGCGAGTGGCGTTCGCTTTTTGTGTGTTTGGCCCCCCAGCCAAGCCAAATCGTCCTCCCTTGCAGGATTCAAAATAGAAGATGAAAACGCTATTGAGTATGTCAAGAACCGACCTCTTCGTTCAGCTCGCCGTAAGTGTAGTTGAGGCGCATGTTCGCCACGGCTTGATGAACGGCGGCTTGTCCAGTTGCAGCAGCGGCAGTAGCAGCAGCGGCGGCGGCGGCAATCACAGCGGCGGCAGCAACTGCGTTTGCATCGTCGCTCGTCGGTTCAGGATCACTGGTGGCAGCGGCAGTGGCGGCCATCGTCGAAGCGTGCATGGCGGGAGTGTTTGTGTTTGTTGCGGCTGATGGATGCGCGGCTGCTGCTGGTGGAGGAGGAGTGGCGGTCGAGAGCGAGGCCGAGGCCGAGGCAGTTGGGTTGCTTGGCAGCATGGCAGCAGAGGCAAAGCGCGAGACACGGAGGAGGGAAGGCAACGACGACGGACTCGTGCTGGAGAAAGGACGACTGATGACGACGAAGGCCGACACGACCGGATTCGGATTCGGATTCGGATTCTGAAGCGGATGCGGATGCGGATGCGGCAAAGTGGAGCGCAGTGATGAGAGTGACTGGATGTGGATGCGGAACGGGCGGCGGTGGCGGCAGTGGTCGAGATGGATGGAGTGCCTCGTGCGACTGGAGAACAACGCAGCGAGCCCAGCGCCAAACCGCACACGATGGCACAATCGCATCACAGCAGCAACAAACAACAAGAAAAAGAATAATAACACACACACAAAAAAAAGAGAGAGAGAGAGAGAGAAAGAGAGAGAGAGAGAGCGGCAAAAGGAATAAAAGTAGAATTATGGAGCTCAAATGTTGGAGATGAAAAACCATAGTTACAACACAAGGAGGTCGATGCACAACAGCAAAAGGGAAGAGCAACGGAATTGACAACCAAAGAAGAAGGAAGAAAATCAAAGCACCAGACCATCCAAAAGAAACCACGAAACAAAGTGGGATGCATGTACAAACACGAGCAACAGCCAAGCACAAAGAAACCAAACGAGACGGACGGGGGGAAAAAAAAACAAGGAACGACGACGACGACGACGACGAAGCACAAAGAAACCAAACGAGACGGACGGGGGGAAAAAAAAAACAAGGAACGACGACGACGACGACGACGACGCAACTAGAGAGAGATTGAATGCTGAAAGAGCGCACTGAAAAAAAAAAAGCGGGGCAGACAAAGCCTAACCTGTTTTTATGCAACGTTGTTGTTGTTGTTGTTGTTGTTGTTGTTGTTGTTGTTGTTGTTGTTTTAAGAAACCGGGAAGGGCGTCACAAGAAGAATACGCTCGCCCTCGGGAGTGGTGAAAATGGGGTGCTCCTTGTAGTGATCCACCAGCTCAAAGAGGTTGGAAAACTCGCGAGGTCCAATCTTGTACCGGTTGTTTTCAAACATGATGCGGAAGTGCTTGACCATGTCGTACACGCGGAGCGACACGGAATAGTCGCCTGACTTGGTCTCGCTGGCACGCAACAAAAAGTCGCCGTGGCGGGACCGGCCGAGCATGAGCGCCTCCGTGTCGCGGCGCGAGAGGGGCCCGTGGAACCACGACTGGTCCTCGACCACGCGACCGGCAGTGTTGGTGTTGTTGTTGGCGCGCTGTTGGTTTGAGCCAAAGCCACCAGCGCCGACGCCGCCGCCGTTCATGGGCTTTGGCGGCAGGTTTGCCGGAGGGAACTTTGGGGCGCCACCCACGTCGTGAGCAGAAGCCACGGGGACTTGTCCACGGTGCGAGTTGGGAATAGTTTCAACATAATTGGAAGGGATGACGCCAGTTTCGTTTGTGCGGCGACTCCGTGCGGTAAACCACGAGGCGTCCGCGTTATCGAGAATATCCACAATGTCGCCAGGCTCGAGGTCGAGCTCGTCCGTCGCGCTCTTCTTGTAGGCAAACTTGACAGTGGCAGAGTATAGTGCGGGCTCGACGTCGTCAAACTCGGGCTGCTTGCCGCCAGCGGCCAGTGTCTGGTTTGGCCGCAGACCTCCCGCCGGCTGTGCCATGTTTGGGGGCAGATTCGGCAGTGCGGGGCCGTTTTCAGGCGTCTCCTCGGCCACATAGTTGCTGGGGAACCAGCCGACGCGACCGTGCACGCGCGCCTGCCACCAGCCGTCGTCCTCCTTTGTGAGCACGTCGACAATTTCACCCTTGTTCAGCGACAACTCGTCATCGCGTGTGGCCTGGTACTGGAACTTGACACGGGCCTGGCACAAAACCTTCATGGACTCGACCGCCAGCTGATCCGAGTGCGATGGGGCGGCAGCAATCACGGGCATCGAGTCCTTCTTGCCCGATCGCAACCGGTCCAGCACGGACGGCTTCTTCTCCTTGGGGGCATTCTTGTCTTTTAGCAGCTGAAGGTAGTTACGGGGCACAAATCCGCTGTTACCGTTGTCCTTCTCGACCTTCCACCAGTTCTTCGAGTCGAGCTTGGCGTCGTTCTCGAGCAGCTTGAGCCGGTCGCCCTTGACAAACGTCAGCTCCTCCGAGTTTTTGGCGACATAGTCGTACAGCGCAGTGGCGTATCGAATCGGGACAGCCATCGGTGTGTGTCGGGGTGTGTGTGTGTGTGTGTGTTTGAGTGACTTTGTTTGATGCGGGGGTGGCCTTTGTGGGGCGAGATTGATCAAACAGACAAAAAAAAAGCAAAGGCACCTGCATTTGACACCAAACCAAGAGGCCGCAAACAGGAGGATGAGACAGAGTGACGAGATCATCATCAACAACGACAAGCCATAATAGATCAAATGGAAAACCAAGCCAACCCTCAAACCCAGTCCCAAGCCCCCACAGCCCCAAACGCCCCAAAACTCGTGCATTGCCTGACATTCGTTGTGCTGACTTTTGCCCCCCCCCCCCTTGTCGTTCACAGCGAGCCAGCCATGATCCATTTGGCTGGGTTTGGATGGTCTTTTTTTTTTTTTTTGGCTCCATTTGCTTTTGCTTTCCCCTTCTTTTCCTTGTTCCCGATCTTCCACCATCCCGAGTCTAAAGTGCCCATTCGAACCCCCTCAGTCTCGCTCTCTGTCTCTGACTCTCTCTCGTTTCTTCACTCAACTTCCATGACAAGTGGCTTTTTTTTTTTTTTGATTTTTTGATTTTTTTTTTCCCTTCCTTTTTCTGGATTTTTTTATTTTATTTTTTTTTCCCTTCCTTTTTCTGGCTTTTGAGCGTGTCGGCTTTTGTGTTGCTGCTGCTGCTGCTGATGCTGCTGTCGTCATACACGCGTGTACCACATTGGCACCAGCTCAGTCGCAGCACGTTGCTCGTGCTTGGCTCTTGGTTTGAAGCAAGCAAAGACCAAAATCGCTCGCACAAGAAACAAAGCAAGTAAAGACCAACAGCGAACAAAAAATAATAAAACCAGAAATAAAAAAAATCAAATAAAACAAAAAAAAAAAAAAAAAAAGGAGCGCATGCTGCAAGCGCGTGCTGGTTGAAGGGGTGAAGGGGGGGAAGGGGGAAGGGGGGAGAAGGGAAGGGGGCGCTGCGAGTGGGGGGATGAACAGACGATGGTCGGAAGGGAAGGGTGCGAAGGGAGAGGCCGATGGGAGGAGCGAGAAAGAGAGGCAAACGAAAAAAAAAAAAAAAAAAAAAAAAGACAATGGAAAAGCAATAGAAAAGCAATAGAAAAAAAAAACTCACCAAAAAAAAAAAGAAAAGAAAAAAAAAAGAAAGAAGACTGAGAAAAACAGAAACAGTTTGATCCCACTTCCAAAAACTGAGATTGTGAGTCAGAATCAAAGAGCAAGGAAATAAAAAAAAGACAATCGACTGACTGAGAACGGATTGCTGGATTGAAGCGGAAGAGCTGCAAAGCGTTGAAACCAACCATTGGAGCCTCAACCCCGTTTCATGCTGTTCCCCCTGCCTACTGATGGAGTTTGCAGTTGCTTGGTCGATCAGACAGACTGGAGGGTTGCTTTGAGGGGACTGATACAAAAGTCACTTTGTGCAACCTCGATGGCTCAGTCTGATTTTCCTCTGATTCAATTCCTAACGTCGCTCCACACTCACACACTACAGCAGCTGCTGCAGCTTCACCTTTGACAATCTTCAAAACGAAAAGGGGGACAAAAACCACAATGCCAGACAAGTACCCTCACTTGCCAGGCGGCAGCAGAGACCGATCAGGCCAGCCTCCATCATCGTCGTGGACGACGAGCCAGCGCCGCAGATCACCGTCGCCGACACGAAACACGTCGCGGCAGTCGAGTCACCGGAGTCGATCCAGATCAAGATCGCCGCCTCCACAGCAGCAGCAGCAGCAGCAGCAGCAGACGCAACGCGAGTCCAGCCACGCGAGCTCTGACTCGGCTGCCAACCACACACACCCACAGGCACTGGCAGCAACTACTACTACTACGACTACTACTGCAGCCCCATCCACTGCTGGATACGATCCACGCATGCACGGTCACAATGGCTGGCCCAGCGCAACGATGGGCGGACAACCTCATCCTCAAGCACCTTTTTCACTTGGAGCCAATCCTTACGTCTACCATGCTGCTGCCGACATGCAGGCGCAGTACACGCAGCAGATGGCAATGCACCAGCAATCTGCTGCAATGACGCCGGAAATGCGCATGCAGTACATGCAGCAGCTGGCGTTCTACCAGCAGCAAATGTCTGCACAGATGGCGCAAGGAATGGCGCCCCATTCTCAGAATCCTGCAACATCCGCAGCCCCGTCAACAACAACGTCAACATCCGGATCGCGACCAACGACGCCGCAGAATACTAGTGCCAGCGCGCCTTTGGTTGCACCGATTGCTTCAAGGCCCGCGGATTTCCCACCGGCCGCAGTCCCGCTCCCAGTCTCCAAGCTAAATTCGTCGTCGGCTTTACCACCGCCAGCAGTCCCGCTTTCGGGTGCCAAGCCAATCGCACACCCTGCACTGATGGTCTCAAGGCCGACGGAGTTACCACCGGCAGCAATTCAGCTCCCAGCGACCATGCCAATAGCACCCCCGGCACCAAGCGTGCCGCCTCCTTCCCAGGCCTCTGATCAACTGCGAGAAGTGTGGGCCAAGCTCGCCATGCTGCCTCCTTCAAGGCGGCAAACTCTACTCCAACTTGCAGGAAGCCAAGCTCAGCAGCAGACTGATGCCTCATCTTTAGCCGCATTGCAATCGTGGCAACAAGCGCCGCCGGCTCCAAGCGCTCGTCAAGCCGCCCTGCCGCCAATTTCTGCGTTGCAAGCCCTGGCAGTTTTACACAACAGGCCTGTAGTGCTACGAGAACTCTCCGATGATGGATGGGACCAGTATGTCACCCGGGACGGACAGGTCTTTTACTTTCATCGCTTGTCAAACAGAAAGCAATGGGACCCACCTGCTTCAATGATGGACATTCACGATTCTGCAGTGTCAATGCTGCAGCAACAACAACAGCAACAGCAGCAGCAGCAGCAACAACAACAACTCGCGCCCGTGCAACAATTGCTCAACCTTGTCCTTCAGCTTCAATCGGCACAACAAAACGGATCCATCCCTGTAGCGCCGGGCGCTGTCGTGGACCCTGCCGCCGCGCTTGTGAATGCCGTCGCGCTTCTCCAGCAACGGTCGCAGGGCACAAATCAAACTGCTTTGGCGCAGCCGCCACAGTAGTGGCTAGCCATGGATCAAACGCCACAACATGTTAACAACTTCTTTTTTTGTAAAAGTAATAGAACCCATTGTATTTTTTAAAAACCAAACAAAGCACATCTAAAAACTCGCCGACAAAGAGTCTTTACCATTGACGAGACTTGAGACTCCAGAACGAGTACTGGGCGTCCACCTCCAGCTGAGCCAACTCAACAACGGAAGGGGCGAGTTGAGCGGTGTGTGCTTGGTACTCGTCCACACCCGCTGCTGCGCGCTTTTCGCCATACACGATCTTGCCATCGGCCAGCGTTTGCGTAGAGAGGGCAAAGTCGCCAGTCAACTCGGCCACATTTTCGCCAACATGCGCTTGGACTCCCCGGAGCAGTGCGGGCTCGTCGTACCAGATGGTGCAGCCGCCCTTTTCGGTCAAGTCACTGTTCGTGCAGCCGCGATCTCGGTTTGCGCAAGTGTGGTACCACACCTTTTCGGGCACGTCGGAGATGAGCGAAACCGCCAGACCCATCCGCTCTGCACGGCCGACGCGACCGATGCGGTGAATGTAGACCTCGGGCGTATCGGGCAACGTGTAGTTGACAACAAACGGCAGCCCCGTCACATCAATGCCGCGGGCAGCAACGTCAGTACACAGCAAGAAGCGAACCTCGCCATTCTTGAACTGCTTGACGGCACCATCACGGTCACGGACATCGCTGTGCAGGCACACGCACGAGTAGGCATTCACCAGGGCGTTGGAGCCTCCAGCAGCCAGCAAAAAGTCGCGAACATGGTCGCAGTCAAGCTTGGTGCGGCAGAAAATGATGGCCTGGTCCATCTTGAGCGCCTCAATCACCCGGAGCAGGTAGAACGGCTTGAGCTTCTTCACCTTCTCGGACAAGGCCTCTGGACTCTCGGGGTGGGTGCGAATATTCGGGGCATCGCGCACGTGCACGCCGTCCGTCTGCATCGCGACGCGTTCGGGGCAACCGGCAGTCTTGGCAGCAGAGGCAAGATCCTGGGCGGGATTCACCTTCACACACACTTGATGCACCGTGTCTGGCACGGCGTCTTTGCCCTTGAGGTCAATCCAAGTGGGAAAGTGCATCAAATCCGTCGCCAGCGCCTTGACGTCGTTGGAGTGGAGCGTGGCGGAGCACACAATCATTTGGAGGCGGCGGCCATTGTCCAAATCCTTGGGCACGCCGTTGAAAATCTTTTGAATGAGCTGGCGATGCCCCTGCGCAAGCAGGCCGTCCGCTTCGTCCAAGATCAAAAAGCGGACGCGGGAAAGATCGAGCGAGCCGCTTGTGACGAGATCGTCGACACGTCCAGGGGTACCCACCGCAATATCGACACCTGGAGTATTGTTAATGTTTTGAAAAAAAAGTCATCGGAGCAAAAGAACGAAAATTGTGAGCAGTCGACCAAACGGAGAGTTAAAAAATAACCTGAACTGCATTCGCACCTCGTCGCAACTCGGCCATTTGGTCCTTGGCAGCAACACCACCGACAAACAGTCCGATTCGAATGTCCGATTCAAGGTACTTGAATTGATTGAAAAGGTCAAACCACCGGACAAAAAACAACAACACAAAAAAAAAAAAAAAAAAAGAAGGTCATGTGTCAGTGACGACTGCTGATTTTCCGGCAATGAACAAGACACACGTACCTTCTTGAAGAGCATAAGTTGATCATAAATCTGCGTGGCAAGCTCACGAGATGGCTCGAGAATGAGCGCCGACGGCGACTTTTTCTGATTGGCAGAACCCGCCGCCGACTGGCCAGCTTGATCGCGCGGGCATCGAGCCACAGCCTCAAATCCAGGGCATGGGTGTTTGAAAGGTTGGGCTCCAAAGTTGAAGCGCATCTCTGCATTCTACGTTCCAGGCGACCCGAACAATCGTGAGGGCAAAAGACAGGGCAGCATGAAAGCATGTGGCAAGGAGAGACGGCACAAACCTTCACAACGGCCGCAGGGTAGAATGGCATGCGATGGAGCTGGGTAGGAATGTCAAAGGCCTTGTCAAAGCGAGATCCTGGCAGAACAGGCGGGAGTGGTCCGTGAGAACAATTGTGGTGACGCGAGGCTACATCTCCTGCGCAAGCAAATCATACCGTTCTTGGAGAAAAAGATCTGATGCGCGTCCATGTCGATAAAGCAGCCAATCGTGTCGTTCACGCCGAAAGCAAGGCCGTAATTTTCAAACTGGCCGCCGAACGCCTTCTTGCCGGTTCCGCCAAAGCCGAATCCCTGGTATTTTCATAAGAGTGCAAAGAAACAACCGATTCAGGATGTTAGGCACGTCGATTTTATGCATCACTTTGATGAAGCGTCCAAAACTCGGCCGAAAAAAAAACAAAAGCCAAACTCACCTGCTTGTCAGTGCCAAGATTACGGCTGGCTGTGATCGTCGACCAGCCGAGGCGGCAAAGACCTTCATCAGTGACGGTTGCTTCGTAGTAGTACTTGCCTAGCACAGTACCAGCACAAGGGCAGCACGAGGGATGAGCCGATCGCGAAAAACAAAACCAAAGAGCATCACTCCAAGCTGCGCCTCTACCTTTGGCAATGCCTTGGGTGGCGCGAGCACCAGCCCAGTCTGCAGAGCGACTCTGGCAGAGCAACCCGTCTTCAGCGATGGCAAAGGTGGCATCGCGGTCTGACAAGCTCATCGTAACTTCTGGCATGTCATCGAGCGTTCACACCATCGAAACGAATGGTCAGCCACCCAGCTGCTTCACACAACCAGGAACTACGCCAAAACCCTGCCAACTAAAACTCATACGTGATGCGGAGGAGGAAGAGGAGGAAGCCGCCCCAGCTGTTGCTGCCTTGGAGTGGGCGATCAGCGTGTTTGTCTCGTGCACAATCTGCAGCACAGGCAAGCAGAATGCCTGATTGTGCGGTTATTTGCATAAACCATCATAGCATGGTGAGCATCTCAAAGTTTCATGACTCGAGCGACTTATTGCATCAGAGAGCACAGAAATCAAAGCGTTTTGGACCCATACACCAGTCTTGCCACTTCCAGTCTCGGCCGCCTGTCACCCAACCAGACGCAATACAGGTGTTTGTGAGTTTATGCACATATCGTTGCGATCACGATCCAGCCAATGCCAATGCCAATGCAGGCATCTCGAAGTGAGTGCTGCAGTGATGTAACATTGAAAGGTCTGCTGCTCCCTCCACTGCACTCACCATCAGCACATCGCCGCGCTTCTGCTTGGACATCCCTGGGCAATCTAACGAGACAGAGCAGAGAGAAGCAGCAGCACGCAGCAGTGAGCAAGTGACGTTGTGGGATGGATTTCGCACAGCGTCTCTGGTTATTCAGCACCCCCCCCCCTACCGCCAGTCGAGCTCCTCCACGGCACGGATGATCTCGGGCATGACGCCGTATTCTGTGGTCGGAACGTCAGAAGGATGAGAGTTGAAACAGTGAGACCCAGTGACCCCCAAAAACGCAATGGTGCTGGATTTCATTGGATTTCGTTCGCTTGTTACCTTCAAAGGCAGACATTTGGAACAAACGAGCACAGCAAATGTAAATGTGGACAAGAACAAAAAAGTGAGAGTGGCTCAGTGCGAATGCAACCCCCCAAACCCCCAAATCCCCGTTGCGTAACAGTAACGCACTTTGAAAATCGCTTTTGGCTCCACATTCAGTAAGTCCTGTCGGTTCTGCTGCTGCTGATGCTTTTGGCTCAACATTCAGTTTCTGCTGCTGCTGCTGATGCTTTTGGCTCTCTTCTCGACCTGTCATCATTTCAAGCTCGCTTTTTGGACACGATCGTTAGTTCAACGTCGCTGAGTTTGCAAACTTTGGCATTTTTGCCATCAGCATTGAATTACGTGATTCATTGTGGTTTTAGTGTGCGCACTCTTCCTTTGTTGCTTTTTTGCTGAGAGAACATGTCATCCTCAACAACCGCTAAACCCACTTCCAGCACCACTGCTGATGCGGCTGCGACGTCCCCTGTTGTCGCTAATGCTGCGAATGCTGCTGATGCTGCTGAAGCTGCTGATGCTAGTGCTGCGGCGGAGGGTGCATTGTCAGCAGCCGTGCACTCGCTGTCGATTGCAGTCGGTTCCGTTCCCGATGCGCTCCTCCCCGCCAAGCTGCAGGAGCTCGCCGAGCACTTCCCCGAGCTCCACGCCACCCTGTCGCCGGGTGTCATTCTGGCGTGCTCCAAGCGCAGCGACACGCCGTTCCCGACCAACAGCGAGTACATGGAACACGTAAGCATTCGCAATTGCCAATTTCTAACTTTAGTCAAAAATAATAACAACAACATTGATCACAAGTATTTCGTGTCAACATCGTTCGTCGCTCAGCGAGTCAGACAGTCAAAGATGATAATGTTGTGTGACCGTTGCAGCACAACAAAAAAAAACATGCAGCACTTGATTTTTCGTTTTGATGCTTTGAAACAACATCTTCTCACTACACCCGATTCTGTTTGTTTGTGTTTTGGTTTGAACAGTGGCTCGCATACTTCCATGTGCGCAGGACAATCATCTGCTTGCAAGAGACCATCCGTGGATTGAGCACGTACAACCAAATCCTGAGCAAGAATGTCAACGGCGACGCAGACTACATGAAGCGGGCTGGACGTGTTTTGGGCGAAGTGCTCGATTTCCTGGCCAAACTCATGGAAATGCGCTTGGCTGCGCACGCATCGCAGAAAGTGCTCGCTCCGCGCCTCGTGCGCATGTGCCAGGCGTTCAACATTCCCGAAAACCGCCTCGTGGCCGTCGTGTTCATCGTGCTGCACTCGAGCGAAATGTTTGCGTTTGACCCGCGCGACTATTCCAACGGCGACATTTTCCTGACGCTGATGGCGCGGTACACTGGCCTGACCCTGAGTGACGCCATCCAGTTTGTGGATCCCAGCCGCTCGTACATCAAGGAAGGCCTGATCAACCTGGTTGAGGACGCGCAGTACCGCTACCCTCCGAGCATCCCGCAGCACGTCTTCCCCATTCTCTTCACCGAGCACGTGTCGACCGACGTGCGCCTCAAAGTCGACGGAACGACGCTTGCCAAGATTCTGGACGAGGAAGACGGCGATGAAGCAACCGCGAGCTCCGCGCAGGACGACGATCGCAGCGACGACGACGATGCCAATGAAGGCCAAGAATCTGCCGACGAGGGCGAGCAAGCCACTTCAAGTGGCGACGCTACGGTGGGTGAGGACACGAGCGACGACTTTACCCTCGTTGACGCTGGCAAGCACTCGAAGAAGACCAACAAGAAGAAGAAGACGAGCAAAAAGGTGCTAGCTCGCTCCGGCTCGACTGGCGGCCCTCGCGAGCAGGAGGAGGACAAGGATTTGTACGACTTGCTGCGCGAGCAGCTGCAGTTTGAAGAGGAAGAGCGCAAACTCAAGGAGGCGAGCGGCGAGAGCGCAGAGTCGGCCACCGATTTGGGTGCCTCGGCCTCTGGGTCTGGTGCCTCGGCCGCAACCGACGAGCTCAAGCCGTACACGACCAACCTTGGCTACCTGAGCGACCACTTTGAGTGGGTGTCGCTGCGCTGCCGTGTCTCCACGACCGAGCGCGAGGTCTCGGACGACAACTTTGGTGTGAAGGATGTCAAGGGCGAGCAGCAACTTCGCGAGATGAAGGCCAAGGAGAAGATGCAGCGCGCCCGTTGTGTCAAGCGCATGGAGCTCACCGTCAAGGAGGGCACGTGGCTGCCCCGTCTCGAGCGTCTCGTCCTGATTCTCCAGCTGGACGATTTCGAGCGTCAAATCCTGTGGACGCTTGCCGGCAACAAGCTGAGCAACAAGGTCGGCCCCGAGATGGGCCGCTGGAGTAACCGCGGCTCGTATGTGTCGGCCTTTACGGTCGGGCAGCTGCTGCACATGTACTCGGAGGATTTCGAAGACGAGGTTGGCCGGCGCAAGTACTTTTACAAGAACGCGCGGCTCGTCAAGGAAGGCGTCATTCGCCTGGCCGATTCGGTTGTCAGCGGTGAACTGAACAACTCGCAGGTCGAGATGGACCGCCGCATGCTTGACTTTGTGGTTGGCCTGGAAACGGAGGTGTCTGAAATGCTCGATGGCTCGCACTTGTACACCCCCAACGTCAAGCTCGACCAAGTCATTCTTGCCGAGGACCAAAAGAAGATGGTCATTGACACAGTAACCACCTTTGAGCGCTTCAAAAAGCTGCGCAAGCGCCTTGGCTTTGACGAGTTGGTTCAGGGCGCTGGCATTCTTCTGATGTTCTACGGCAAGTCTGGCACGGGCAAGACGATGCTGTAAGAAGGAGGCATTTTTTTTTGCTTTTTGGTGTTTCCTGTTTGGTTGTTTGTTTGTTTGTTTGTTTGTTTGTTTGTTTGTTTGTTTGTTTGTTTGTTTGTTTGTTTGTTTGTTTGTTTGTTTGTTTGTTTGTTTGTTGTGGGGGAAAGACACTCACCGGTTGTTTTGATTTCGCGTTGCTTGAAATCCTCACTTTTCAGAGCAAACGCCCTGGCTTCCCATCTCGGCAAGCGCATTCTGCTGATCAACTTCCCGTCGCTTGGCTCACAGCCCGATCAGGTCATCAAGTTTATCTTCCGCGAAGCCAAGCTGACCGACGCCATTCTGTTCTTTGACGAATGCGAGGCCCTCTTCAAGTCGCGCGAACTCGGCGGATCGTCCAACATCAATCTGCTGCTGACCGAGATTGAGCAGCACGGTGGCCTCAGCATCATGGCGACCAACCGCCCGGTCGACATTGACGAGGCCATGCACCGACGCATCACGCTCGCGATCGAGTTCCAGCCGCCGACGAACAAGCTTCGCGAGCAAATCTGGAAGGCGCACGTGCCCAACACTGGCGTGTTTGACAGCTCCATTGACTGGCACTACCTGGCCGCCAAGTACGAGCTGGTCGGTGGCCTCATCCGCAACAGCGTTCTGTCGGCCCTGTCGTTTGCGGTCGCGCGCAGCGAGGTGGACAACTCGGAGGTCATGATCACGCAGGCCGATCTGGAGCGCGGCGCGCTGCTGCAGCTCAAGGGCCGCCTCAACATGGTCGATTTCGACCGGCGTGTGGTGCCCACCCGCGGCCTCGAAGACATTGTTCTCTCCAACGATGTGCGCAAGCGTGTTGGCGACATTATTGCTTTCGAGAAGGCACGCCAAGTGCTCATCTCCGAGTGGGGCTTCTCCGAAGCCATGTGTCGCGACCAAGGCACCAGCTGTCTCTTTGTTGGCCCACCCGGCACTGGCAAGACGATCTGCTCGTAAGGGCTCTTGTTGAAAAGAATGATGGTTTGGTTTTACGTATTTTTTTTTTCTGGAGAGCGATTGTGTTTCTGAACTGTCCCTCACGCGCTCTGTCTCATTTGTGTCCGTTTTTTTTTCCTCTGGAATCCGCAGAGAGGCGATTGGTCTCGAAACAGGCAAGGCTTTGAAGATTGTCAACTGTGGCGAGCTCGTGTCCAAGTGGGTTGGCGAAACAGGCAAGAACATTGAGGCCATCTTCAAGGAGGCGCGCGCCGTCGACGCCATCCTCGTGTTTGACGATGCGGAAGGCCTGTTTGGCTCGCGCACCGAGTCAACCAAGTCGTCGACCGACCGCTACGCCAACATGGACACGAGCATTCTGCTCTATCACATGGAGCGCTTCCCTGGCGTCGTGATTCTCTCGACCAACATTGCTGATAGCATCGACCGTGCCTTCCTCCGTCGTTTCCGCTTTATTGTCGAGTTCAAGCTCCCTGACGCAGCCATGCGTGCCAAGCTCTTCCGTGACCATCTGCCGACCAAGGTCCCCATTGCCAACAACATTGACTTTACGGATTTGGCCCAAAAGTTCTCACAGTTCTCCGGCGCCAACATTAAAAATGTCTGCTTCAAGGCAGCATCCCGTGCGGCGCTGCGTCCCGCTGAGGAGCGTCGCGTTCTGCTTTCCGATCTGGAAGAGTACTGCGTGGAAGAAGAGTTTGCAGCGGGCATCAAGGGTCGTCCTCCGACCGACATGTTCTCTTGAACACGTTCTTTAAGTGTGTGTGTGTATGTGTAGGGGGTGGCTCTTTGTTGCGTGATGTGGGTGTATGCATGTAGCACGTCAGTGTTGTAAAAATCCGAGTCGATCATTGGTCAAGTTCACATCATTTGGGAGTTTTGGAAGAAATCGTTTTTGTTGTTTTGTTATTAATGGGAACAGTGAATCCACCAACGCAAAAAGTGTTTAGTGGAGGACGCCAAGAATCTCAACGTCGCGGTACAGAGTAAACTCCTAAGCAACGAATCAAGTTTACAAAATGACAAACACCAAAAGTGAGACAAAACCGAGACATGAGCACGAAAGTTACAACCAAGCGACATACCTTGTCGTCGAGCTTGATCTTGTTGCCGCCGAACTCGGGGAGCAAGACCTTCTCGCCGATCTTGACCGACGGGGGGATGAGGTTGCCAGCCTGTGCGAGCGAGGAGGTCACGGAATTTTGAGCAAAAACACGACGAGACAGTGCAAGAGAGAGAGAGAAAAAATGACCGAATCGGCCATCGAGGTTACCTGATCGCGAGCGCCAGGGCCGACAGCAATAACAACACCCTCGTTCAGGGCAGGAACGGCAGACTCGGGGAGGAGAATGCCAGACTTGGTCTTCTACTCGAGAGAGAGAGAAAAAATCGGATCGATCGTAACGGAGCCCATCGCCATTGATACAAGTGGAAAGTTTGGGGATGGTACGTGTCATTTTCAGACAACCAGCAATCATGGAATCATGGAATCAAGAAGCAGGACGACAGGGGTGAGTGTTTGAAAAGGACCATCCATGTGCTTTTTCTGGCGTTTCCATTGGCACTCTTGTCAATTCACATCGACGGGGAGGACACTGAGACGCACCTGGGGAGCGACGAGACGCTCGACGAGAACGCGGTCGAACAGAGGCTTGAGGCGACGGGCGACGTTGGCAGCCTGAACACAAGCGCGAGGTAGAAGCAAGAAGAAGCAGAGTGAGGCAAAAGTTAAGACAGAACGGCGAAGACGACGAAGACGGAGAAGCGCGATCGCACGGGGCAACACGCGCAGTGTCCGATGAGGGGAGCATTGAATGCGATGGGAGCAGTGCACCATAGATGATGAGATGAGAGGAGAGAGAAAAAGAGCGAGGCGAAGAGCGGGAAGAAGCAGAAGACAAGTCAAAACGTTACCATTTGAACAGTTTCCAAAATGAAGAAAAAAATGGAGTGAACTTTTTGGTTCCAAATCCCCACTTTCAGACATGAATTACGAGACTCTACAAGTGTGATAAAGCAACGAGCTATCAGAATGTTGATTGGAAAATTAAATTTGATTTGAAGGTAATTGGAATTACGGCCAAAATAGGCTGAGAAGACTGCGATCTGCCCAGAAAACAAAGTTGTCACAGTTGTGCGATCGAATGAGGTCTTTGTCGGTGCGCTAAAGTTGCCAATTTACTGTAGAATATAGCCCTGACCACTGGGCAGAGAATGATGAGGTCGAGATTTGGATGTCGCGACTTGTCCGCAGTTTTGTCACTGTGTGCCGGCTCGTTCTTTTGAGTTTCCATCTCCTCAAACGTTCCAAAACAGTCGAAATTTTGATTTTTTTCGTTTTTTTGCTCATATCTTCGCTTTGCCACGAGATTCCATCGTATTTTTTGCAAATCAACACGTAGATCTGCCAGAGGATTCACAATTCCACCAGTTTGATACCCCCAGAGGCTCTGCGCTGAGAGCACAGCAGATGGTCGTTCTAGAATCTTCCGTGGCTCTTAAAATTTTCGTCCTTTTTTTTTCTTCGACTCGCCACATATTCACACTTGTCCGATAGATGTGAAACGGCCTCTTCTCATCCATAGCGATCTGAGTTGACCCCATTTCCACACGCACAGTCGATCTGCATGCAATTCAGTCTACGTTTTCTTAGTCGTGAGTGACCATCTCTTTTTATTATTTTTTTTTTTTTTTCCCCGCTCGCTTTTTTTTTTTTCTCCCTTTGTTTCAACTTTGGTCGCGGCTCGCTCATCCAACGCTGCGCGCTCTGGAGCCCATCATCGATGCATTCACGCACGACACATCTTGCAGTCATTGGATCAGCGCTCCCAATCGCCTTGCGCACGGCAAACACCATCAAACAAGACAGCAAAACGAAACGCCAAGACACGATTTTTTCGATTTTTTCGCTTTTTTTTTTCTTTTTCACCGTTGTGTGCTTGGATGGATCATCGCGGCCATAGGGCTGTCTCACATCGCATGCGACAGAACACAACCCTCGTTTCACGATCGCATGCCAAACGCAATGACCCAACAACAGCAAAAACACTCAACATTGGAAAGCGTTGAAACAATCAAAAAAACACGACGTCCATCCAAAAAAAAAAAAAAAGCCATGTGCTTTACCATTGCGTTTTGTTTGCTTCACAGTTGAAGCAGTTCAATGAGAGAGGATTTGATTCGACCGTCACTCTCTCATTCATCTTGTATTGAACAAAGGATTTGCATCAATCAACAAACACGAAGAAACAGCTGCTTCTGTCGCTCACTTTGTTCTTTCTTGTTTGCTGCAGACACCATTTCACACAGATGCTGAGCCTTCGTGCTGCCCGCGCCTCGCCGCTGATTGCTGCTGCGCTGCCCGCCACTGCTGCTGCTGCTGCTGCTACTGCTGCTTCGTCGAGCGTCCAAGTCCGCACGTACGCGTCCAAGGAGCTCAAGTTTGGCGCCGATGCCCGCAGCGCAATGCTCAAGGGCGTGCACAAGCTGGCCGACGCTGTTGCCGTCACGATGGGTCCCAAGGGCCGCAACGTGATTATCGAGCAGCCCTACGGCGGCCCCAAGATCACCAAGGACGGTGTCACGGTCGCCAAGGCCATCGAGTTCAAGGACAAGTTTGAAAACCTCGGCGCCCGCCTCGTCCAGGACGTTGCCTCCAAGACCAACGATCTGGCTGGCGACGGCACCACCACCGCCACCATCCTCGCCCGCGCCATCGCTGCCGAGGGCTTCAAGAGCGTCGCTGCCGGCCTCAACCCCCTCGACCTCCGCCGCGGCATCCAATCTGCCGTCGACGTTGTCGTCAAGGGCCTCAAGGACCTCAGCAAGCCCGTCACCACCTCGGAGGAGATTGCCCAGGTCGCCACCATCTCGGCCAACGGCGACCGCGAGATTGGCAACCTCATTGCCAAGGCCATGAAGACTGTCGGCAAGGACGGCGTCATCACCGTCAAGGACGGCAAGACGCTTGTCGACGAGCTCGAGGTCACCGAAGGCATGCGCTTTGACCGCGGCTTCATCTCGCCCTTCTTTATCACCAACACCAAGGCCCAGCGCGTCGAGTACCAGAACGCCCTCGTCCTCCTCAGCGAGAAGAAGATTAGCTCGATGGCCCAGATCGTCCCCGCCCTCGAAATTGCCGTGTCCCAGCGCCAGCCCCTGATTATTGTCGCTGACGACGTTGACTCGGAGGCTCTCTCGACCCTCGTCGTCAACAAGCTCCGCGGCCAGCTCCAGGTCGTCGCTGTCAAGGCCCCCGGCTTTGGTGACAACCGCAAGAACACTTTGCACGACATGGCCATCCTCACTGGCGGCAAGGTCATTGGCGACGACGCCATCGACATCAAGCTCGAGGACATTACTCCCGACTGCTTTGGCAAGGTCGGCGAGCTCGTTGTCACAAAGGACGACACCCTCTTCCTCAACGGCTCCGGCTCCAAGCAGGACATTGAGACCCGCTGCGAGTCCATCCGCG